TGTATGCCTTTGAAGATGTTTCTCTTCATTTTTTAAAAGATTTTTAAATTGAATTACAGTGTGATAAACCTGTACAAAGCTGTTCATGATTAGGTTTCAGTCACACAGTATTCCAACACTATACGTTTCCCAGCGGTGGTGTCCCCAGTTCCCTCCCATCACCCTCACCCCCAGCCTGCCTCTATGGCAGATACTCTTTCCCTCCCTCCCTCCCTCCCTCCCTCCCTCCCTCCCTCCCTCCCTCCCTCCCTCCCTTCTCTCTCTCTCTCTCTCTCTCTCTCTCTCCCCCCCCCCCCCATTGTGGTTTTCAATACAGACACTTGTAGGTTATCGTGTATTTCCCTTTACCCACTTTCAACACTCAGTTCTTGTCTAGCATTATAATTTCCAACTATTATTATCATACTGGTCTTGTCTGTATCTTACTTACCCTCCACCCCACATACACTTGTGGTTGATTCCAACCATTGTCCAGTCCTCTTAGCCCATGATTTCCCTGACCATGGATATTAGTCTTCTATTAAGTATATATATTTTATATACCACAAATGAATGCAGTCATTTTATATCTCTTTCGAGTCATTTTACTCAACATGATACTCTCCATGTCCATCTATTTGTAGGCAGATTTCATGACTTCGGTTTTCCTAACAGCTGCATTGTATTCTATTGTGTAAATGTCAGAGTTTCTTTATCCATTTGTTTGTTTCCTGGCACTCAGGCTGTTTCCATATTCTGGCAATTATAATTAGTGCTGCAATAAAAATAGGAGTGCAATTGGTATTTCTTCTGTATGTTTTTGGGCCTCCAGAGTATATTTCTACAAGTGGTATTGCTGGATCAAATGGGAGCTCAATTTCTAGTTTTTTTGAGGAATGTCCATATTGTTTGCCAACAAAGGCTGGACTAATCGGCATTCACACCAACAGTGGAGAGTCCCTTTCTCCCCTCATTCACACCAGCACCAGTTGCTCTTGTTCTTTTAGAACTGTGAACGTCTGTGTGCCAGTTTCTGTAGTGTTTCTTCTCCCCATTTTTTGATGGGGTTGGATTTCTTTTGTATGTTCTATCAGTGCTTTATATATCACATACATTAACAAATTTTTCATTAGAGTGATGGGCAAAGAATTTCTCCCAGTGTTTGGGGTATCTTTGTTTTTTTGGTGACTGCTTCCTTTGAGGTGCAGAAGCTTTTTAATTATTTATTTATTTTTTGCTTTTTGGGTCACAATCAGGAATGCACAGGGGTTACTCCTGGCCTCCTGGCCCATGCACTCAATAATTACTCCTGGCGGTGCTTGGGGGACCATATAGGATGCTGGGAATCGAACCCAGGTTGGCCGTGTGCAAGGCAAATGCCTTAACTGCTGTGCTATCGCTCCAGCCCCAAGCTTTTTAATTTAATGTAGTGCCATTTGTTTATCTTTGTTTCTATTCACTTGGCTAATGGCATTGACTCCTTAAAGGTGCCTCCAGCTTCAGAGTCTCTAGCTTCAATGCCTCTAGCTTCATTTAAGAGTTCTGTTTACGTTTTCCTCAATGGAACTATGGATTCATGTCTGATATTAAGGTCTTTAATATTGATTTGAGGGCTGGAGCGATAGCACAACGGTAGGGCGTTTGCCTTGCACGCAGCCAACATGGCCGACCCGAGTTCGATTCCTCTACCCCTCTCGGAGAGCCCGGCAAGCTACCGAGAGTATCTTGCCCACACGGCAGAGCCTGGCAGGCCACCTGTGATGTATTCGATATGCCAAACACAGTAATAACAAAGTCTCCAATGGAGACGTTACTGGGCCCGCTCGAGCAAATCGATGAACAACAGGAGGGCCTTTACCTTTACAACTGTACCTCATGGTGTTTCACTAATTAAAAGAAAAAAATATTGATTTGACTGTTATGTGTGGTATTAGAAAAGGGTCTGAGTTCACTTTTTTTGGCACGTGACTGACCAGTTTTCCCAGCATCATTTGTCGAAGACACTTTCCTTGCTGTCCTTAGTATTTTTGTTCCTTTATTGAAAATTATACTTGAGAATTTTTTTATGGATTTTCAGTTTTGTTCCACTGATCTGAGAGTCTGTCCTTATTCCAGTATCACACTGTTTAATTACTACAGTTTGAAGTTGAGGAGAGCAGTGCCTTCCGTCTTTTTCCTTAGGATTGCTTTGGTTGTTAGAGGTGGGGAGGAGTTGTTAATCCATGTGAATTTCAGGAGTGTTTGACCTGTCTCTTTAAAAAATGTTATGTGTATTTTTATAGAGATTGCATTGAATGTGTATAATGCTATGGGAGAAGTACTGCTGTCTTGACAGTGTTAATCTTACTGATCCATTAAAAGGGAATGTATTTCCATTTCTTCATGTTTTTGTTTTTATTTCTTTTAGTAGTGTTTTTCTGAAGCACAAATGTGAAAGGGATTAAAAAAAATCTCTCTTCCATGCCATTATTTGTATATTTAAAACCCATGGTGTTTTCCTATCACCTTACTATACAGGTCTATTGTTTCTAGGAGGGTCTCTCTCTCTTTTTTTGGGGGGGGGGGTAGAGCCTTTAGGGCTAAGTATAGTTTCAAGCCATTTGCAAATAGAGTTTGACTTCTTTTTCTACCTGGATGCTCTTACTATCTTTTTCTTGCCTGATTTCCTTTGGCAAGGATTTCCAGTACTATACAGAATATTAGTGGTGAGGGTGGGCATCCATGTTTTGTGCCTATTCTTAGAGGGAAGCCTTTTCGTGTTTTCAACATTGAGTAATTGCTGTGGACTTGTGGTAAATGGCTTTAACTGTGTTGGGGAAAGTTCCTTCAACTCCCATTTCATTGAGAGTTTTTATCATGAATGGATGTTGAATCGTGTCAAATGATTATATGATAAGTATAGGTAACACCCATAACTTCATCAGAAGTGTAGAATTTTTAAGATATATTCTTAGCACGATAGCACAGCGGGTAGGGCATTCGCCTTACAAGCGGCCAACATGGCCGACCCGAGTTCGATTCCTCCGCCCCTCTCGGAGAGCCCGGCAAGCTACCGAGAGTATTCGATATGCCAGACACAGTAACAACAAAGTCTCCAATGGAGACGTTACTGGGCCCGCTCGAGCAAATCGACAATCAACGGGAGGGCCTTTACCTTTAAAGCATGCAGTAAGAACTGTATTGTTAACTCTAGTCCTTACCTGCACATAACATTCAGGAGTTGATTACAGCTGCAAGTTTGTATTTTGACATTCTTCAGCCATTACCCTCACCATTTCCCCTTCTGCTCAATTGAGAGAACCTCTGTGTGTGTGTGTGTGTGTGTGTGTGTGTGTGTGTGTGTGTGTTTGTGCGGTGTTGAGGTTCAAACCCAGGACTGCTTTCACACATGATAAGTCATATTGTCCTCCTGAAGGGACAATTCTTTGTTAAAATTTTATGTGAGGCTTCCTCTACCATTGATTACCACTTCTTGCCTCTCTAGTCTCCTTTTCCTCCATCTGACTCCTCCATTCCCCCAACCACTTGGAAACTACAGAATTGAGAACATTTAAAAATTACTCTCTAAGCCATAGGAAAGAAAGTTTATGAAAAAAAGAAAACATTAAAAAAAATTCTCTGGCTATTTCAGCCTTAAGTTTTTATATTACCATTGATAAGGTACAATTTGTTATTGAATTCTTCATCTTTAAAAGGGATTTGTAGTTACCTCAATTATATTAACATTTAATAATACAGATTATTTAATAATGTAGGGCTGGAGCGATAGCACGGTGGGTAAAGCGTTTGCCTTGCATGTGGCCGACCTGGGTTTGATTCCTCCATCCCTCTCGAAGAGCCCGGCAAGCTACCAAGAGTATCCCGCCCACACAGCAGCACCTGGCAAGCTCCCCATGGCGTATTCGATGCCAAAAACAGTAACAAGTCTCACAATGGAGACGTTACTGGTGCTCGCTCGAGCAAATTGATGAACAATGGGAGGACAGTGCTACAGTGCTAATGTAGAAATATGAAACTTTGTGATCTTTGGTAGATAGTGCCTGGCAATGTTGTCTTACCCAGTTCCTAAACTTGTTGAGTACTAAACAGAGAACATTTTTAGATAGTTGGCCAGTTGACTTACTGAATTTCATCTAGAGGGCTGTCCTCACAGACTCCTCCTGTTTTAAAACAATTTTGTTAAAGATATATTTCTTAGCCATGTTAATTTTGCATTACGAAATATTTTTTCCTTAGCTCATAAAATAACTTTCATTCTTCACTTATAACTTTAGTATCACAATATATTTGTATTCACCCAGATAATATCTCCTTTTTCCCTCCCTACACACACACACACACACACACGCACACACACACACACACACACACACACACACACACACTTTCTCTCTCTCTCTCTCTCTCTCTCTTGCTCTTACATACACATCACACATCTGGTCACAGTTGGACAGTGTTTAATAATTTAACTTGAGCATCAGGTGTAGTGGTAGGATTCTGCTCAACCCCGGTTTCATTCCTTGCACTGTGCATCAGTCCCTGAGTACCACCAAAGTCTACCAAAGACTAGGTAAACCTAGAATGAAGCCAAACTTAGAATTTTTCTGTGGCATAATAGGGAATATTACTGACGGAGTTAATGTAACAATACAAATAGTCTTAAGTATCATTTTGAGACTAGTCTATTTGTGTGTCTAATTTAGGTACTATTAATACTTCCTTGGTATTGTTGGGATAACCCTTTGATAGGTTCAGGAATAATCATCCTCCTCTTATTTTGACCCAGGATTGTTGTAACTGACCTTCTCAAGATGATTAAGTCAGGGCATTACAAATGTGATACATTGTGTTCTATTTTATATTTCATATAGATATGCACATGTTATATATTTTTTTATCCTTAGAGGAAACAATGTGTTTGAATAACTTCCACATATATTAAATTCATCTTTCCCCTGTTATTTTATTTACTTTGTTGCTTAATAAATCTGGTTCTAAATTTGATGTTGGAATTTCTTTAGGCCTTTAGATGCCATTCTGAAGTAAGTTAAGCAATGGATCAAAGGAAGAATGAGAGTATTGTTCCTAGTATCACCCAATTGGAAGATTTTCTTATAGAACACAACTCCAATGTTGTTTGGCTCCTTGTTGGTAAGTAAAATATATTTTCTTGTGCTTTATTATTTTTTTATATATGAATTAACAACTACTGAAATTTTAAGTAATTGAAGTTGCTTAAAATTCCATTGAAGTTTCCATTGAAGTTGAATTATTTATAGTACCACTTGTTTGTGGTGAAGAAATACTGGTATATTAGATGGTGGATATGATATGGTCACATATTTTGAAGAGGTTTTGAAATTATAACCTTAAGCTACCCGTGATGTATGCCAAACACAGTAACAATTGTCACAATGGAGACATTACTGGGCCCGCTTGAGCAAATCGATGAACAGTGGGAGGACAGTAACAGTGACAGTGAAGAACATTCATTGTGTTGTAAACCAATATTACCTCAGTAAAAAAATTTTTTTTCAAATTAAAAAGATTCTAATCGTTGGTTTTATAAACATTTGGTCTGCAAACTGCTCTAAAAGATTCTTTTTTCTAGAAGCTTTCTTTTCTAACTTGGGGGAGGTTGAAAGAAAAGAAAGATGTTCATTAGCTGTTCTTTTGTCTCAAGTCCATTCTTCTACCCTGTAAAAATGATTCTACCCTGTAGAAACACAAATTATTTTTATTATTAAAATGATTATCTTGTAAATACATTTTTGCCTTATCTCGGCTTGGTTCTTAAGCCATTTGCATTTAGCTGTGGACTTTGCCAGTAATTTTTTTCTAATAGTCCAGTAGCTTTCTAGGCTTGAACTAATTCTCTTTTGCTAATACTATAAATTTTATAAGTGAACATAGAAATTTATAAAATTTATAAAATTTACAAAATTTTATAAATTTCACAAAAAATGGTGGGATATAGTACAGCATTAGTTTGTAGAATGTTCAATGACATTCTTTAAAGTACATTAATTTTGAGCTGGGAATATGGCTCAAAGGGGTGGGGTAGAGCACATGCCTATCATGTGTGAGGCCTCAAGTCAAACCCTTGGCAGCACATGGTCCCTATTTGGTATGACCCTAGTGACTTGCAGCAGCTCTAGGCCTGAACATGGACTCATCAGGCCTGCAGAGCTGGGTCCTGTATCCTTTGTAATGGCCTCCAGTTCTCCCTGAGCACTGCTGAGGATAGCCCCTGTAAAGATATTTCATCAATTATCAAAATTGTATAAGATGGCCTATTTAGAAATGTCTATAAGGAGATTGTACTACCATCTTAAATTACTTAAAAAAATCATTGATTATTCAGTTGTGAAAGTGATTTTGGTTTCTCTAAATTAGTTCAAAACTTGTGTTTAGAAAGAGCTGCCTTTTAGAATGGAGTCACCTGCTTCCTTGCAGATGTAGATGCGATTTACATATGCCATTGAGAAAAATCAACTAAATCAAGATAAAGCACTCCCCCCCCCCCAGGTGAAGTAATTAAAAATTGCTTCTTTAAAAAAGAACATCTAAAACTAAGATTACTACCAGAATTGAAGAATCAGTAATGGGAGATTATTCTGTTAACTACAGTCTTACTCAAATGAACTTTAAAAGAATTCTAAATAGGGATTCTATACCTGATTCAGGTTTCTATATTTCACCATAATTTAAGAGGGTTCTTTAAAACTCTGGACGTTAAGAAATAACAAAAAGATCTGAAATTAAATGAAACCACGTTCTGTACTCTTTACCATATGTACAATGAACAGCAGTTTATATTGTTACCATGAGTGCCCAGTATGTTTGGAAAAATTATTTGTTAAACTTTCCTATTCAGCTTTTCTAAAATTGTGGGCCACAAAGACTATTAATGGAATTCTTGGATGCAGCTCTCATTTTATTGCCAGTAAAGTGCTAACTGGTGTCTTGAGTATAGGCTTAAATTTTGGATCTCTACATATAAACTTTGAAAAAAAAAGCCTATTTTTTCCTCTTAGCACTGTACTGTCATCCCATTGTTCATCCATTTGCTCGAGCGGCCACCAGTAATGTCTCCATTGTGAGACTTGTTGTTACCGTTTTTGGCATATTGAATACACCTCAAGGAGCTTGCAAGTCTGTGCGATGTGGCGCACTTGGTAGCTTGCCGGGCTCTCCAAGAGGGATGGAGGAATTGAACCTGTCTCGGCCGCATGCAGGGCAAATGCCCTACCCGCTGTGCTATTGCTCCAGTTTCTGTTAATATATTTTAAATTTAGGTATAAGATATATAAAGTGCTACAATCTTAAGTTACACAGCTTAGTTAATTTTGTTTGTTTGTGGGGTACACTAGTGGAACTAACATTCAGACGAATTCAGACAAAACATTTCTAGCCTACCAGAATGCTCTCATTCCTAGTTTGTTATCCCCCATAGGTAACGATTTTTCTGTTACTACGAATTATTTTACTATCTTTGAACTTTGCATAAGTAGTAAAAATTGTGTTCTTCAGTGCCTAGTTTCTTTCAGTAATGTCTATGGAGTTCATTAATGACATTGTATAAAACAATACCTTGCTCTTGTTTTATGAGTCTACTGTTGATGACATTCAGCACTGAATATTAAAAATATATGTGATTTTTTAAATTTAAAAAATGGTTTGTGTTCTTACTGCTTATTTGTTTTGGGGCCATACCTGGTGGTTCTCAGTGCTTAATTCTGACTGCACTCGGGATTACTCCTGGCATGACTTGGCAGACTATAGGGGGTGCCAGGAATCAAACCCCTGTTGGTTGCATGTCACTCTCTCTCTCTGTCTCTCTCTCACTCTTTCTCTCTCTCTGGGGTGTTATTATTTTTTCTTAATCAATTTAAGTTAAATCATCATGAGATACACAGTTACAAAGTTGTTCAAAATTGGGTTTCAGTTCTACAATGTTCTGACATCCTTCACGTCACCAGTGTGTATTTCCCACCATCAGCGCTCCCAGTTACCCTCTTGCCTTGGTTACCCCCTTGCCCCTGCCCTGCCTGCCTCTATGGCAGACCCTCCTCCTCCTCTTCCTCCTTTTTTTCCTCCTCTTCCTCCTTCTCCTCCTCCTCTTCCTCTTTCTCCTTCTTTTCTTCCTTCTCTTCCTCTTCTCTCTCTCTCTCTCTCTCTCTCTCTCTCTCTCTCTGGCATTGTGGTTTGCAGTATAGTTATTGAAAGGTTATCTTATATGTGGGGGGTGGAGGGTAGTTAGAATAGAGAAGGGACCACTATGACAATAGTAGTTGGAAATGATCACTCTGGACAAGACCTGAGTGCTGAAAGTAGGTAAAGGGATATAATTTTTTTAAGTGATATTGGTCTTATGAAGGATCTCCCAAAACAGTGTTTCACATGGTGAATAAAACTGCCTCCTGGTGGGTGCTGGAACCATTCAGGGTATTGGAATTGGCCTTTGGTATAATGGGAAGTGCTTTCTGTTAATTTGCTTCAAGAAGGGAGTTTCTTTTTTGTGGTGGTGGTAGGGGAGTGGGCACTGAGTTTGTTTTTTTTCCTGAAAGGGGTTGGTAGGGCACCTCTGATTTAGACTATCCAGATGATTTTTTGGATATTTTTAGGATATTTAGAATTTCTCTTCCCAGAACATCTTAAGATATGTTTAAGAATTTTAAAGTACAAGGTATTGATAAAGGAAACAGTATAAAAGAAAGCAAATGTGTTTGAAACATACCTTAATTCTTCTAATTTCAGTCTGTGCTTTTCTGGCTAATGGCCAAAGAGAAGGAGGAAGATAAATGAACTTTTACTAACAAAATTTTATGAATATGCTAGGGTGATTGAGAGGAAATACATAATGAGATCCTTATGAATTTTTTGTTTTTCCTAGCTACCATCTTGTCCTGTGGATGGATTATTTATCTTACATATTATAATTCTCGGAATGTTGGTCTTATCTTAACACTGGTCCTTAACAGATTATACAAACATGGCTATATCCATATTGGTAAGTTTAAGTAATATTTTTCTTATGGGCAATCCTGTTATGTATATTGGAAACTTGTATTTTATAAGCAGTATTTTATAAGTAAGCATTAAACTTTGTTCCATGAAGATTTAATGACTGACCTGGAATCTCACACAGTACTGTGTGACAGGAGGTGACCTATGCTTGGGGATGTTCTTGACTTCTCTTGGCGGGGTGAAAGGCATACCCAGTGGTGCTTGGTGCTACTCTTGACACAGAGCTTAGGGGTTAGTGTGCCTGGCACAGTGCTTGGGAAACTATGCATTGCCAAGGACTGAACCCAAGCCTCCTGCATGCAGAGTATGAGCTCCAACACATTGAGCTGTCTCCCCTCCCCTTTGCCCTTGCTATTTTGTTTTTTTGTTGTGATTTTTTTTGCTTATGAATGTGCACATTGAAATAATTTGGAAAATCCAGATACCTATAAAATATGAAAATAAAAATGTCTTAGGATTCCACCATCTTAAGAAATTTATAATGAAGTGTTTGCTTGCTTTTTTTTTTTACAAACAAATCGGTGCTAAAAAAAGTTTGTTGGAATACCCTGTGTATATAATTTTGTCAGCTGCTTTATGATTTTAGTTTCTGACTACTTGTAAGTAGGAAGTTTGCAGATAGATAAAAGTGGTATATTAGGAAAGTAGATGCCTTGGAAAGTCCTATTCTGGTTGGAAACAGAAGTGAATAAGACTATTGTATCTTTCCTGATAGTTTTTTAATGGGCATAAATAGAAATTCTCTTAAGTATAGGTAGTTTTCCATTAGTTTGAGACACCCACTGACCCATGGGAGAAAATGAGGGAATTAGTGTATGCTTCTTAATTTTATGACTGTAATTTAGAGGATTATCTATGTGAAACAGCTATTTAAGTTAATGTCCTCATGTGGTTATTTAGTCGCTCAATTCTTAGTGATGATACTTGTGCTGCTTTTGCTTTTTGGACCACCCTTGGCAGTGCTCAGGGCATACTCCTGGCTTTGTGCTTAGGGATCACTCCTGGCAGTGGTTGGGGTACCATATGCAATGCTGGAGATTGAACCTGAGCCAGGTGTGTTTGGCAAGCTCCTTACCTGCTGAACTATCTCTCTTCTCCTTGTGGTGTTTTTTGTTATGTTTGAGAAAGAATGATAGAAAACAGCTAAGCTCTTAGGATATCAGGAAGGGAATAGGACGAGAAAGTTTGTTTTTATATAAAGTTTAATTTTATTTTTATAAGATTGTTCACAATAATTTATTACATTCAATATTCAATATTCCAACACTAATTCCAACACCTACCACCATTATTCTGAATTTTTCCAACCACCACCCAAGCCTGCCCCAATAGCAGGCCCTGAATAATTTATTTTGTATTGCTTGTTATGAATAATTCTCTAAAAATGATCAAAGAAGGTTTCCTTAGAAGAAAGTGTGTGCAGATTGTTGTATCTCATCCTGGAGCTATTGATCCCTTGTATAAGATTACTAGCATGCTGTTACAGGCTGAGCCTTGTGTGCTAATACATTTTTTAATTGAGATTGGTTGCTTTCTGCATTACATCCTATCCACTGTGTGCTTCTCCTGGTACATCAGTGGTATGAAGTATCCGATGTGTGGCCACAAATGTGGGTGTGCACTCAGGGAATTCTAAAATTTAAATCAGGTGCAACAACTGGAGTTAAATTTTTAACTGGATGGTGACTTTGGGGTCTGAGGCATTTCTGCAGCCTGATGAGCTCTTCTGAGATTTATTTGTGAATTTCTGGATCTTGGCCAGTTAAGGAGCTTATATGGCGCCAGCAGGGGTTCATGGGTGTGGCTGCCAGGCTCCTGGAAACAGGGACTTAGGGAGGAAATAGCCCATCCACAGCTCCTTGAGAGCCTGGAGATTTTGGTTACAAAACCTGCATATCTGAGTTTTTTTTTTTTTAACAGATTCAAGAGAATGTTTAGTTTTTGATTACATTGAATGTTAAAATTATTTTAAGCTTTTCAGCTGTATAATATAACAGCACCAATATCTCTTATTTTTTCCCCCTACAACAGGTTCCTTTTCTTTCTCTGTTCTCTCTGGAAAAGTCATGGTTCGTGAAATCTATTACATTACTGAAGACATGTCTATTAGGTAAAAAAATAAAACTAATAACATAAAAAGAGCCCATCTTAAATTGGAAGTACTGTAAAATATGCTTTGATTATAATGCTTTATCTAATAACACTTTTTAAAGTAAAATAATAAAAATAATTTTTTCAGTAAATTCTATCTGGTGAGTTGATGTTTTACAATGCTTTTATCAGTAAATTTATTTAGTTAAGGTTTAGATTGGCAAAAAGTTATCTAAAACAGCTGATTATAGAGTAGTCATCTCACTTTGTTCCTCAATGCATATTTTATTTAATTATTTTTTTGCTTTTTGGGTCGCACCCAGTGATGCACAGGGGTTACTCCTGGCTCTGCACTCAGGAATTACTCCTTGCAGAGCTCAGGGGACCATATGGGATGCTGGAAATCGAACCTGCATCGGCCGTGTGCAAGGCAAATGCCCTACCCCACTGTGCTATCCCTCCAGCCCCTTGATGGCAGATTTTAGTTATTAAAATTCATGGCCATATTTATTTAGAATTTATGGTGGTTATTTTTATATAAAGCATGCATCAGGCATGTTAATAATTTTCATCCATTAGATTCTTTTTATAGATAAGTTCTTAGAGAGTTGCTTAGCATTTTAGTAAAGGAAATACAATCTGAATATATTAAGAAATGATAATTAGCAGGTTTAATACATTATTTTCTCTATAGGCCTGCTGAATGAATAGCTTTATATCTTTATATATATAATTTTGTGGGGTGGGTTGGCCATACCTGGGTATGCGCAGGATTATTGTTGGCTTTGTGTTTTGGGGCCCCTATACTGGTGCCAGGGATTGAACTGGGGTTGGCCATGGCAAGGCAATGCAGGAGTGACCTCTGAACATCTATTATGTATGGCCCAAAACCCAAAAATCCAAACCAAAACCAAAACCAAACAAATCCTGAATTAGTAGAGAGATTCTAAGGATTTACAGCACAAACTTCAAGTAAAACAGGTGACTTATTGGTGAGTCTTATGTTATTTTCAAATTAAAGGTAAAAATTAAGTGATTACTTTCCATCTTTTGGGGCATGAGGTATGATATATCATAAATAAAGGAATTATCTGTAAAGGTTTCTCTTTCATGTCCTAATAGCCCTCTTTTTTGGGGGTTGACTCGTTGGTAATTTTTACATCATTAGAAATATCTAAAGAATTTTCTTATTATTCATTTTCCTTGAAATGTTAGCTGGTATTATATCAAAGTAGGCCCATTTGAAAGCTATGCTAAACCCTTTTTCCTTTTATAACAGGAAGATTATGGACATTCAGGCTAGTGTCCTGATTAGTATCTTCTCTGTGTTTCCTTATTCATTATCTATTGTCTTTTATGTAAACTGATCAAGAGATGAGTACAGTAAATTGTTACCTGAGTGGTTGCTTTTGTAATTTCTGTAGGATTCAAGATGGATTTATAATTTTTCGGTGGTGGAAAATGTATAATCCAAAACAGAAGCAACATGGTGAGTTTTCATGTGTTTGAAATCTTCAGTCATACTGGTCAGAGTTTTTTTTTTTTTTATGGGTCGTAAAATGTTTCACATTTTATAATAAAAATAGCTTTGAAAACTTTAGTATACAAACTGATTTTATCAACCTTTGGCTGAAAATCCTCAGCAGCTTTCCTCTTGTGGTTAATTTTAGTAGTTTTTCTTTTGTTTTTGCACCACACCCTGCTGTACTCAGCTGGGGTTGGGCTGCTCCTGGTCTGTGCTCAGGGAATGTTCCTGTCAGTGCTTGAGAGACCATTCGGTGCCAGAGATCAAACTGAGGTTGGCCACAGAAGCACCTTAAACTCTATTTTGTCTGTCCAGCTCAGAAGTTTAGTTTTTTAGCTTATTATTTAGTCTAAATCATTCTCAATATGACACATACATTTCAGCCTTACCTCTAATTACAACCCTGAACTTAATTCCACACTGGCTTCAAGGGTTTGCTAGCATTCTTTCATCTTTCTGCTTGAAGCCACCATGACTTTCACCTGTCTGCCTGACACCATTTCTAATCTTTACAGCCTGCTATGGTTGATAGTCAAAAAGGAGGAAATGCATGCTTTCACTGATCTGGGTTTCACTGTTCTGAGTCTGCTTTCATCATCAGAATTTCTCCTCAGATCTCCTTTCACCACTTGGGTGCTCCTGATGCTGTGCTCTCTGCTCTGTATCAACCGCACTGTAGCCTTCCCTTTTCTGAATAGGGATTCCAAAGTTTTCTAACCCCAGTACCTTTTATATCCTTGTAAATTACTGAGAATCCCAGAGAGCTTTTGTTTATCTTAATTATTTATAACATTCAAAATCAAGTTTGATAATTCTACAGACTTTTAAATTCTATTAAAAATAAATATAATCTTTATGTTTAAAAGAAATCATACTTTAAGTAACATGACTTCTAAAACAACATTTTTAAAAAAAGAAAAAGAAGAGTGCCATTGTTTTATTTTTGCAGCTACCTTTAGTGTATATTTAATGGAAAAAATCAGATTTTTATTCCTGCTCTTCAGTCTGTTCTATTTATTATACATACATAATATTGTCTTTAAAGACTCCTCTACTCATGGGAGAGTGAGAGAAAGTGTAATAATATTATTGGAATAATTTTACCTTGAAGTCCCCTGAAAAAGAGCTGAGAGATCCTCCAAGTTCTTGAACTGTAATTCTGTAATTAATGTTAAAGGAATTTTTTTTTAATTGTGAGGGCCACTTCTGGCAGTGCTCAGGGGGCCATGTGGTGTAGAGAATTGAACCTAGAGTGTCATACAGTTTAGGCTTGTGTTCCACTTCTGAGCTATATCCTAAACCCTTGTTACTATTAATGTTAACATTTCTGTCTGCTCTGTATCATACTGGAGCAATAGCACAGCGGGTAGGATGTTTGCCTAGCATGCGGCTGACCTGGGTTCGATTCTTCTGTTCCTCTTGGAGAGCTCGGCAAGCTACCAAGAGTATCCCGCCCGCACGGCAGAGCCTGGCAAGCTCCACATGGTGTATTCATTATGCCAAAACCAGTAACAAGTCTCACAGTGGAGACATTGCTGGTGCTCGCTCAAGCAAATCAATGAACAATGGAAGGACCGTGCTACAGTGCTATATTTGTCTTCATTACTTTTTAAAAGTAATTTTGCTTGCTCATGTGGTTTGCAGTTGAAAATCGGTTCTATGGCTCCAGTTTCAGCACTGTGGCACTGTCCTCTCATTGTTCATTGATTTGCTTGAGCGGGCACCAGTATCATCTCCATTGTGAGACTTGTTGTTACTGTTTTTGGCATATCGAATATGTCACAGGGAGCTTTCCAGGCTTTGCCGTGTGGGCGGGATACTCTCAGTAGCTTGCCGGGCTCTCCAAGAGGGACAGAGGAATCAAACTCGGGTCAGCCACGTGCAAGGCAAATGCCCTACCCTCTGTGCTATTGCTCCAGTTTCAGAGGTGGTAAAAATTGGTGGTCTACTAGTTATTATTTTTCTAGTTCTGATTATTTGCTCATAGTTTAACCTACCCTTTTAACATTAAAACCTATTTGCTCGTCAAGAGGAACACAGTTTTGGTGAAAGGGCAAAGGTCTTTCTCTTTCCAGTGCTTTCAAAAAAATCCATTACAGAGGATGGTATATTTTAACAACAGGCTAGCAGTAAGAACTTTCAGATGTATAGGAACAGTGCCACAGTACAATGCAGGAATGAACAGTTTGGTCTAGTACATTGTTAGTCTACCACAACTGAGGGGCAGACTTCAGAATATAGTACATAGAGGAATAAATAGGCTACATTTTTTTGTGGTTTTTGAAACTGTTAATCATAGTTCCAACATTTTTTCCACCAGAGTCCCCCCCATCCCTTCATCAAGGTCCAGAAGGGTCCAAAAGGTCCATCTCATCTCCCCCTCCCCCACCCAGTTCTGTGGACTAAATCTCCAGTTATGTTGCATTTTGCTATTTGTGGCTGCCTTACTGTGTTTCTTGACACCCAGTTATGAGAGAGACTGTTCTATATCTGTCCTCCTTCTGACAGAAATTGTTCCCCTCCACCCCCAAAATTGCACCCAAAGCTACTACTTTCCCTTCCCCCCACCCAGTGGGCAGTATCACCCACTTTGGAAAACTAACTTAAAAAATTGTTAATGAGAGGTGGGAAGTCATCAGAAAATTCATGATTGGAAGAATGACGTGATAGCAAGATTTTGGGGGGGCAACCTTGCCATTTTGTAAAGTAGGGATTAAGTAGGGTTAGGTCAGTAGCAAGGATATTCAGAGGGTGCTGTGTTAAGATCAGCAAATACTTGGAGACATGGGTGAGGGTGGTGTGAGAGTGGTTAGATTCTGGATGGATGCTGACAGAAAAGCAGCTGGGAATTCCAGATATCTGGGATCTGAAAGAGAAAAGTCAGAAATTTTGGTTTGTACAGTAAGAAATGTAGACTTGATATTGGTAAGGTAGGAAAGATTTCAGGGTAGGTTGGGATGGGAAAATCAGGGATTTGGTTGGTAGCTCGGGTGGGAGAGGCCTCATTGACATAAAATTGGAAAGACCTGAATTCGACTGTTGGCTGTTTGGTCCCAGCCTTTGGGGAGAGGTCATGAGTGATTATGGAAAGATCATAGATGGTTGATGTACTCACTTAAACATAGACAGTGAAGCTGATTACCATCAAGCCAGCATATTTCCTGTGTATTTAAAATGTACTGTTTCCCTTTGTTTTTCAGAATTTGATCTATGGTAAGAAAAAAGAATGAAACAACATGTTACTTTAGGGTATTGTTTTAGGTTTTAATTATGTACATTCTGAATAACAGGAGGGAACATAAGTTGAGAGCAATTTAAGAAATCCTGGAAAGTTATAGCTACTGAACATTAATGTTTTTAAAGGAATGAGTTGACTTTGCTTTCTCGGTTTCTTTTTTTTTTTTCCAATTTATTTATTTATTGAATCACTGTGGGAAAGGTTACAAAGCTTTCAGGTTTAGGTCTCAGTCATGCAAATATCAAACACATTTCCCTTTACCAATACTTATTTTTTACCATGAAGAACCCCAATAAGACCCACCCCCCACCCCTCCCAGTCCCTGTGAGGCAGATGAATTCTAGTTAACACTCTATCTGCTTTGATTAGATTCATTGTTTCATTAAAAGATTCACCACTATTATTTAGAGTTTACCCCCCCCCCCCCTCAAATCAGACATGCTGAAAAAGCATTGTGAAGTGATTTGCTTTCTACAGCTGGGTTCAAGAATTAAATGTTGGTTTTGGATTTCTGCTATTTTACTTATTGACCCTGGAAATATTTCTACTGAAAGTCAGATAGTTAAGAAATTGGTTTCTGTGTTCTGGAGTCGTGGCCGTGCTGGAGAGCCGCTCGTGGGGGGCAACTGGTGGCCTCGGTAGGGTGTGAAGGGCGGACCGAAACGCCCCCCTTCCCATGAGGTTTTAGTCGCCCCCACACCCCCGGCTCATACCTGCTGTCCACAAGGCTCCCATGCAACCACCATCTTTCTTTCCAGAGAGGAGAGGGCGAATGGGGCAACACCCTTTCCCCTCTGGCAGACTTGATGGCCTGGATTAACGCATAGTCCGTTCACTTTTCTGCTCCAAGCTGCTGAGTTCTGCATTAAGTCCTTGTGCTTCTGGGGCTGTGGCCGTGCTGGAGAGCCGCTCGTGGGGGGCAACTGGTGGCCTCGGTAGGGCGTGAAGGACGGACTAGAACGCCCCCCTTCCCATGAGGTTTTAGTTGCCCCCACACCCCCGGCTCATACCTGCTGTCCACAAGGCTCCCATGCAGCCTCCATCTTTCTTTCCAGAGAGGAGAGGGCGAATGGGGCAATACCCTTTCCCCTCCGGACAGACATGATGGCCTGGATTAATGCATAGTCCTTTCACTTTTCTGCTCCAAGCTGCTGGGTTCTGCATTAAGTCCTTGTGCTTCTGGGGCTGTGGCCGTGCTGGAGAGCCGCTCGTTGGGGGGGGGGGGGCACCTGGTGACCTCGGTAGGGTGTGAAGGACGGACCGGAACGCCCCCAGCCCATGAGGTTTTAGTCGCCCCCACTCCCCTGGCTCATACCTGCTGTCCACAAGGCTCCCATGCGGTCGCCATCCTTCTTTCCAGAGAAGAGAGAGCGAGTGGGGCAAAACCCTTTCCCCTCCGGGCAGACATGTTGGCCTGGATTAATGCATAGTCCGTTCACTTTTCAACTCCAAGCTGCTGGGTTCTGCATTAAGTCCTTGTGTTTCTGGGGCCATGGCTGTGCTGGAGAGCCGCTCGTGGGGGGCAACTGGTGACCTCGGTAGGGCATGAAGGACGGACCGGAACGCCCCCCTTCCCATGAGGTTTTAGTCGCCCCCACTCCCCTGGCTCATACCTGCTGTCCACAAGGCTCCCATGCGGCCACCATCTTTCTTTCCAGAGGGAGGAGGGCGGAAGGGAGCAACACCCTTTCCCCTCCAGGCAGACATGATGGCCTGGATTAACACATAGTCCTTTCACTTTTCTGCTCCAGGCTGCTGGGTTCTGCATTAAGTCCTTGTGTTTCTGGGGCTGTGGCCGTGCTCCAGACTTAACTCTGATTTTCAGGGAGAAACGTTGGGTGGTTTACTTCCCATTGATCACTTTGTATATAGAGAGATGTCGCGTGGCCGCGTAAGTGGCCGCGCGCTTTTGAGGAAAAGTCCTAGTTCCCGCATACTCGATCTGTGCTTGTATTCTGGTCACCAGGGTTCCATCTGGGGGAGGCGGGATTCAGTACCTACCCCATCTGGGACTTCCCGATGATCTCGGCTCTTTTTGGAACCTGTTTTTTTCTTTTTCTCCGGGAGCTGTGTGTCCCGCCCTCCATGTGGCCCTTCTCTTCAGCTGTATGCTGGTTTCTTAGGAACTAATGAAGAAAAGTACACTGGAGTAGTACTTAAAAGTATTGAAATATGAGTGGCAGAGTGATTTAAACTTTTTCATTTGTTGATTTAAAGTGTAGCTTATGTTACTCACGGTGCTTGATTTCATAACTTTATTGTTAATAATTGGATGAAGAATTAATGCTGAAATCTGGTATTATATGAATTTAAACTACAGTTTAGGGGCTGGAGCGATAGCAGAGTGGGGATGGCGTTTGCCTTGCACGTAGCCGATCCAGGTTCAATTCCCAGTATCCCATATGGTCCCCCGAGCACCGCCAGGAGTAATTCCTGAGTACATGAGCCAGGAGTAACCCCTGTGCATGGCTGGGTGTGACCCAAAAAGCAGAAAAAAAATTTAAACTACAGTTCAGACTGAAAAATGAAAGTAACAGCTCTTTAGTTTACAAAAGATGAAATAGTTCTAACTTGTAGTATCTTTTTAATTGCCCTTCAATTAATTTTTATTTCAGAAGGCATAAAAATGGACAAAGGTTAAGTCTCTGATACCACACATAAGATTTATTTCAGAATAAAAGCAAAGCAGTTGATGGTGGTACCTTTCTTCTGACCCCTTTGGTCAACTTAAGTGGCCATTTCCAAGATAATTTCTTTAGTAGAAGCAGATGAGTTTTCACTTTATAGATGGGTTTTTAAATTATGATAATTTATGATTAATTGTGTCTTGCATTTGTGGTTGATGACACCTACAGCTCATTAATTCATTTGTTTTAGCATTGTATATTTGGTAAAAACAAAATGTATAAAAAATTCCAGTACAGGATTCAGAAATTCACATACTTTAAGTGCATTGTAATTTAGACACTTTACTATTTATTTTTCAGTATAAGTTTATATCTCTCTTAGAGAGAAAGCTTTACTTGGGTATTCTTAGCATAAAATATTTACATTTTGTCATTACACATTTCACTTGCAGTTCATTTAGAATCTAAATGTTTGGGTTGTTTTCAGAATGCAAAATTGAAATGTCAGGATTTTTTTTATTTGTGTAGTCTTACATATTAAAAATTGTTTTACCAATGATCTTTGTTTTAAAATAAATCCTTGAAATTAGCTGTGCAGATAATTGACTAAAACTTTGAAGTTTTAAAAAGGTTAACTAAAACCATTTACTTATTTTTGTAATTTATGTTTTTAGATCCAAAGGCAGAAACTAGATTGTACATCACTGTCAATGACTTTGAATTTCATGTGTATAATCGTTCGGATCTTTATGGGCACCTTCAAGAATTATTTGGTTTGGAGCCAACAATAATTCCACCCAAGAAAGAGGATGATAAGACACGGGAAGATGGAAGAACGAGGACCCAGTCCAAAATTGAAAGGTTCATTGTTGCACTTGAAGTTTATTAATTGGCAGTATCCAGCATTCGCTTTTATTAGAATAACATTGAATGTCTCACCTAAATACATATAATTTTTTTTGTAGATTAAAACTTTTATGCACATTAATGATTTGTCTTTAAAAAAACTTAACAATACCCAGCACCAAATATCCCCAGTTTCCCTCCTACCACCCCCAGCTCCCCACACCCCTTTCTTGTTCTCTCCTACCTCTCTTGCTCACTCTCTCACTCTTGCTGTCTCTTGCAAAAGAGATACTGAAAGGTTATCATGTATCTCCCTTTACATACTTTCAGTACTCAGTTTTTATCCAGTGTGATCATTTCCAAATATTATTGTCATAATGATTCCTTCTCTGTCTTATCTACCCTCCATCCCCCCCCCCCCATTTGTGGTAGATTCCAACCACTGTCTAATCCTCTTGGCCCCTGTTTTCCTTGGTCTTGGATATTAGTCTCATACTATTTTTCTTTTATATACCACAAATGAATGCCGTCATTTTATACCTGTTCCTTTTTATGATTGAAATCCAATCATGAACAGTTTTGTAATGGGCTATCTCAAGGTGATTCAATTTAAAATAAATTTAAAAAGATCAAGAGCTACTGTAAAAAAATAACTTAAAAGAATTATGTCTGTAAAAAGAGGTCCTATTCTGTCTCCGCTCACTGTCCTTCCCTCCTTATTGACAACTAATTCTTTTCACCCTTTTGAAACTTATGCATAACTATCGTATATATACATATATATACATATATATGCTTATTTAAAATGTATATACAAATATATGGTTTGATTTTGTCTGTTCTGGACTTTTCATTCTGTTCCAGTGATCTACTTTTCTCTCACCAACACCACACTTTCTTAATTATCATCATTTTATAGTGAATCTTGGAGTCAAATAATAACAGTTCTCCAACTTCATTTTTTTCTCTCCATATTTGGTTGATGAGTCCTGGGGCGGCGGCGGCTGCGGGTGCGGCGGCTGCTGGTGCGGCGGCGGCTGGAGTGGCGGCGGCTGCTGCGGCGGCAGCTGCTGCGGCGGTGGTTGCTGCTGCTGCTGGTGTGGCGGCGGCGGCGGGATCGGGGGCTTGGGGCCGCCTCCGACCGGCCCGGGGCCCATGGGTCCACGGTTCTGATTGAGGCCCATGCCGGGAGGCGGGGAGCGGAAGTCGTGGAGACCTCCGCGGCCGCCGCCGCCTCCTCGCCGGTGGAAGCCGCCACCGCCACCGCCGGGGCTCAGGAACCGATCCCGAGACATGTCTGTGGTCAAGGGGCGGTCAAGGCAGAAGCGGAGAAGTCGCTCGGGGAACGTGGAGGCCACCTTGCTTCGCACAAGATGGCGGATGACACAGGTTGAAAATTGATATGCCAAATCCAGTAATAAATGGATCTCATTCCCCTAGCCCTGATTATGCAGAGTCGAGAAGGATATGGAAGGAGAAGCTGATAAAACACCAAGGCAGACATGGGCTGCCAAAACGCAGAAAAACAAAAATGATTGTCTGTACTTTTAATGCTCGTACGCTGGCATCTGCTGCATCCATTGAAGACCTTATGGTACAAGCACGAAAGATCAAGTACGACATCATTGGTCTGACCGAAACGAGAAGACATCAATCCCATCATGCTGTTTTCGACACTGGAGAAGAACTGTTCCTTGGAACATGTGATAAAAGAGGCGTCGGTGGTGTCGGTATCCTTGTCAACACAAACTTAGTCACAAGCATTGATTCATTTGAATGCCTAACAACCTGAATCGGACGATTACACTTGAATAAATGTGGCTCACTACCGGCAGTTTCTATCTTTGTTGTCTACGCACCAACATCCAGTTATGGTGAAAAAGAAACTGAGAAATTCTACATGGAGCTGGAGAAATTCTATAAAGAAGATCACACCTTCTACAAGATCATTGTCGGTGATTTTAATGCCAAGATAGGACCAAGAAGATCAGTCGATGAACTCCACATCGGAACCCATGGCCTGGAATGGAACGAACAAGGTGACAGACTGTCTGAGTTCATCATGTCAACCAAAACCTTCCATGGTAACTCACAATTCCAAAAGGCTGAATCTAAACGTTGGACATGGGAGTCTCCCGATGGACGGTTCCACAATGAAATAGACCACATCATATTCAATCGGCGGTTTTGCCTAACCGATGTTGCTGTTGTCCCAAAATTCCAAACGGGATCAGACCACCGTCTTCTTCGTGCAAAATTCTACCTCACAGAACGAGGAGAAAAGAATGCAAGGTTTAAGAAGAAGACTCCCAGAACAACCACCAACTGGGAACTCTTTGGCTCTGTTGCAGCAACATGGGAAGATGCCGTCATTGACAACATTGATGAGGAATACGATCGAATGATTCAGCACCTCCATGATTGTGCAAGGAATGCCAAGAGAGAGATAACCACAAAAAACCGTCTTTCTTCGAACACTCTTGAACTTATTCGCCAACGTGGCGTGGCACGTGCCTCAGGCAACCACCAGCAAACGTCCGAACTGGCAAAACAGTGCAGAAAAGCCATCAAGGATGACCTCAAAAACAGGAGAGCAGCAGTACTGGTAGATGCAGCAGAAGCTGGGAAAAACATTCGTAATGCCCGCCTGTCCTTCACCAACTACAAAACCAAGATGACTGCCCTCCGACATCATGATGGATCTATCACATCTTCCAGAAGGGCAATGGAGAAGATTATTCATGAATTCTACTCAGATCTCTTTAATAGCCACATCCACTTGCCCACATACCACATACCACATGATGGATATGTCGTTCCCAATGTTCTCCCTTCCGAAATCCAACATGCCATCTCGTCGATAAAGAAACAAAAAGCACCTGGCCCAGACAAGATCAGACCTGAACACCTGAAGAACTTACCATCAGTACTCATCAATACATTAGCTCGACTCTTCACACGCTACCTGTCTGAATGCAAGGTTCCATCCCAATGGAAAACCAGCAAGACTGTACTACTATACAAGAAAGGAGACATCCACGACATTGGCAACTATCGCCCAATCTGCCTATTGTCTGTCATCTACAAACTATTCACTCGAGTCATCCTGAATAGGATTAGCAGAACACTAGATGAAGGACAACCATGTGAACAAGCTGGATTCCGAAAAGGATTCAGTACCATCGACCATATCCACACAATAACCAAGCTCATTGAGGTATCTCGGGAGTTCAAGATGCCGCTCTGTCTAACGTTCATTGATTTAAAGAAGGCCTTTGATTCTGTTGAGACGGAAGCGGTCATGGAAGCCCTAGTCAATCAGGGCGTACAAACTCAATACATCAGGATCCTTCGTGAGCTCTATTGCGGATTCACTACCAAGATCTCACCATTCTACAAAGAAGTAATCATCCATATCAAGAGAGGGGTTCGGCAGGGTGATACCATTTCACCAAAACTCTTCAGTGCCACCCTCGAGAACATCATGCGACGACTAGAATGGGAAAACATGGGAGTGAAGATAGATGGTCGGCAACTACACCACCTCCGCTTTGCTGATGACATCGTTCTAATAACACCAAACATCAGCCAAGCAGCACAAATGCTTGCGGACTTTGACCATGAGTGTGGAAAGGTTGGACTACAGCTGAATCTTACGAAGACAATGTTTATGAGAAACAGCCTTGTTCCTGACGCTCCATTCGCTCTCAACGGAACCACCATCTCCGAATGCAACAGTTATATATACTTAGGTCGAGAAATCAACATGATGAATGACCTGGCACCTGAGTTACGCAGGAGGAAGAGAGCGGCTTGGAATGCCTTCAAGAGCATTGAAGAAATAACTAAAAGGACAAAGAACCTCCAACTACGAGCACATCTCTTTGATTCCACTATTCTTCCTGCATTAACATATGCCTCAGAGACCTGGACCCTACGAAAACAGGATGAGAACACTATTCGGGTCTCTCAAAGAGGAATCGAAAGAACTATGCTTGGAATATCACGATTCACTCAAATGAGAGATAGAATCCGGAGTTCTGATCTTCGTCAACGCTCAAGAATCAGAGACGCTGTCTCATTTGCCAAGACATCAAAAATCAGATGGGCTGGACATGTAATGAGGTTTACAGACAACCGCTGGACTAGAGCCATTACTGATTGGATTCCACGGGACATCAAAAGATCACGTGGACGCCCACCTATAAGATGGTCAGACTTCTTCGTCAAGACCCTAAATGATCGGTTTGAGGCTCTACATGTTCCTAAAACGAACAGATACCATTGGGCTACGCTAGCACGCAACCGGTATGAATGGAGACGTTACTGGCACCCGCTCGAATAAATCGATGAATAACGGGGATTAAGTGATTAAGTGATTAAGTGATATTTGGTTGACTATTTGGGGTCTTTTGCTTGTTCACATAAGCTATAGAATCAGTTTGCTGTTGTTGATAAGATATCCACCTAAGAGATTTTGATTGGGACTGGAGCAATAGCACAGCGGGTAGGGCGTTTGTCTTGCATGTGGCCAACTTGGGTTTGCTTCCCAGCATCCCATATGGTCCCCTGAGCACCGCCAGGGGTAATTCCTGAGTGCAGAGCCATGAGCAACCCCTGTGCATCGCCGGGTGTGATCCAAAAAGCAAAAAAAAAAGAGATTTTTATTGAGTTGCTTGAGTTGCATTGAAGTGGTAGACCAGAAGTTTTAAAACTTATTTCACTCACCACCACTTTCCAGAAATACAAATTACTCTGCATTTCCCTGGAAATCTACCTTGTTTAAGCGAACAGATCTGACATCTTGTCAGTGTTGGGTCTTCTGATCTCAAACTCTCCATTAATTTGGTTCTTGTTGAGCTATTTGGTTCTTCTTCAGAATTTTGCGTTTTTTCTCATATTGTACATAAGCCAGGCATTTTGGCTTTTATGATAATAATAGAATAGTTTTGCATTTTAAATACCACATTTCACTTGCACATTGCTGGATTATTGGGAAGTAATTTACTTCCCAATAATTTACTACAACCTTGCTGTAATTGCTTATTGATTTTCAGAGTTGTTTGAATTTTTAGTTGTTATTCTTTCTGGTTTTCTGTATAGACAGCTATATTGGCTGCAAATCTCAGTTCTTTCTTTCCAACATATATACCTTTTATTTCCATATTTTGTTAAAAGAACTTGAGTATGAAGTGATGAGATAACACCCTTGTATTGTACCTTATCTTAGTGGATAGGCTTCTGTTTTTTCAACATCATAGTAATTATAGAGTTCTTATAACGATCAAATTGGGGAAGACTTCCTCTATTCCTGGTGTATTAGGGAATGGATGTTAGATTCTGTTGATTGCTTTTTCTGCTTTGATTGATATGCTCACTGATTTTTTTTTTTATACACAGAATTTGTACATTTGGAGGATTTCTTAATAGCCAATGCTCAAGGACCCAGAGTACCTCTTGGTTATTTCTTGACTGACAGTTCTACATAAAGATCCAAGGAATCAGCACTACTTGTAGCCTGGAGTGCTTGGGGTTACTCAGGCCAACCCGGCTATACTCAGTGCTCAGATGACCCAGTGTGATACTGGAGTGTGAACCCGGTTGGCTGTAGGCAGTGGTCATTAAGAGAGTGTGGGGGTCAGTTTTGAGTATAGTATTAAGTGCTGACATCATTTAACTGTCATTGGTCTTGGAAGGTAACCCTTTGGTGAATTGCTGTGAAAGTTTTGTGTCTTAAATTTCTGTACCTTCCATTTTCTCTCTTTTGGCCAAGAAACATTAGCCAGTTCCCTTTTTTTACTCTTGGCCTATAATTTTCATGTTACTTGGTCCAAGATGGGGGAAGGAAAAGGATCTTCTGTGTTGTTAGACTTGTTTTAGATCCTGGAAGACATCATAGTACCTTGATCATTTGTGTGGTGATCATTTGGCTATCTTGTTAAATGTGGTATTGTAGTAAAATGGACATGGTAATAGATGTAATAGCAGCTTTAATATCAGTTTGTAAAACAGTTGTATCATCAAAGCTTGCAGATGTAAAACTTGATAGAGTGCATTCTTTGAGATAGTTTAGGGACATTATTATTCCTTCAGCTGTATTGGAAAGATAGAGCTGGTATTCATGATGTATAGCTCAGAGGTCAGGGGTGCATGCTTTCCTTGTGCAGGGTCTCAAGTTCAATTCCTAGCACTGCATGGTCCACAGAGCACTGTCAGATATGACCGTGGTAAGGCCCCTCGAATTGAACTGTCTGACCTGGTTTCACAAGTATTGCTGAAATTGCCTCCAGATCCTCTGGGCACTACTTGACTACTTGACAGATTTCCTCTTCCTTGAAAAAAAAAAAAAAGAAAAAATGTATGTTGTTAAGAAGTCAACTGTATATTCAGGTATTTAAGTTTTTCTGATATTATCAATTTTTATTTTTTAATTTTCTCAGAGTTAAAGTGAAAACGGAATCTCAAGACCCAGCATCTTCATGGAGATCACTTATTCCTGTCATAAAGGTCAACGTGAGCACAGTAAGTAAATTCTGCTTCAGTGAATGTTTTAGTTTTTAAATAATGATATTTACCAGCGGGTAGGGCGTTCGCCTTACACGCGGCCAACATGGCCGACCCGAGTTCGATTCCTCCGCCCCTCTCGGAGAGCCCGGCAAGCTACCGAGAGTATTCGATATGCCAGACACAGTAACAACAAAGTCTCCAATGGAGACGTTACTGGGCCCGCTCGAGCAAATCGACGATCAACGGGAGGGCCTTTACCTTTACCTTACCTAATAAAGTAATTTTTGGACCAGGGAGATATTTCAAATTGCAGGACACATGTTGGCTTGAGAGGCCTGAGTTTGATTCCTTATACTCCATCCTCCACCCCTCCACTCCCACTTGTTGGGACTCTGCTATAATTCTTGTGGTCCCTGAGTATCAAGCAGACTCCTTGAGCACTACTGGGTGTGAAAAAAAATTTTTTTAAGGGTGTTTGTTTGTTTTGTAGGGTGGGGGAGATATATCACACCAGGCAGCTCTTGAGGGCTATCTTGACTTTGTGTAGGGTTACTCACAAAGGTCCTTGGGCAACTCTGCAATACTGGTCATTCAACTGGGTCTTCTATGTGTAAATCATGCTCTCAGCTTGTTGAGTTGTATCTCATAGACCCCAACAAAAGTAACTTTTGTAAAGAGTTTTGGTTCTGATTTCATAAAGTGTAAAAGGATCATTTTAGCATCAACACTGTTTTAGCCCAATTCACTAGACTTTAAAGTCTTAAAGTCTGTACACACATAAATGTCTTTGAAAATTGGTCTAAATTGATCAGTGTAATTATATAAATAGTGACTAGTACTAAAATGTATTATTTAGTTGTTGCTTTAAAATGCTTGGTATTAGGTCAGCCAAGGAAAAACTAGGGCCTGAAGAAGTATAGTCTAATATCTTATCTGTCTTTTAGGGACGTTTGGCCTTTGGGAATCATTACCAACCTCAAACTCTGTGCATCAACTTTGATGATGCTTTCTTAACTTACACTACAAAACCACCTTCAAGCCACCTTGACCAGTTCATGCACATAGTAAAAGGAAAGCTGGAGAATGTTCGAGTCATGCTTGTTCCTAGTCCGAGATATGTTGGTCTTCAAAATGATGAGTAAGAAAATGTTATAAAAATAAAAAATCAGTTGTTAGTATATATCATTGATGCCAGTTAGATCATTTTAATTGCTACAAGTTGGTCAGTAGTTACATAAACTACAGTTTAAAAACTTCTCTGTAAGATTATGACTATAATTTTTTTTTTACTTTTTTTTCTTATTACTATGTTTGGAAAACTTATGTGGGGCATTCATATCCTGATGTTTGTGTGTTAGGAAATGAACATAGCAGCTAGGTTTTTATTTCCAGAAGAAACAGATTAATAGTAAGTAACAAATTCATTATAGTGATTATTGTTTTGAGTTAATAAGAAGCTGAAAATTGAATGAAATTACCCTTGGACAGCTGGTGAAGTTTGGATGATTCTGTTTTGGAACTCACTTTGCTCGAGTCTTAGCTAGTTTTTCACCTAGCTTTCCAGATCTGTTTTCCTTCCACAAAGTGGGAGGGAGCCTTAGTCTTCTTGGGTGTGTACCAAGTGGATGGGCCTTACAGTTCTAGTGCTCATGCTCATGTTGGGAGGAGAGGTCTCTAGGATTTGTTACTGGGAGAGAGGCTAGGGTTGAAGAATATGTTGGTGTGAAGTTTTACCATTTCTCAGTTTCTTTAGGGTTAGCAAGACATTGCCATGAAAGGATGAGGAATTTCACATTCTGGCTTGCTTGTTAAATCTTTCTGGAGATTGATTCAACTAAAAAAGGCAGAGGGAAGAGTGAGACCTGCAACCTCTCTGGAGCTCAGTTGTGGCTCGCTGGTCCCACTCTGCTGGATCATGGACTTTTGTTAAATTTCTTCTAGACTGTGGGCTCTATGCCCTCTTCTTAATTTATAGGTACAGGTAATAATGCTGAATAAATTTGGATTTTATGAGGTATCTAGAGAATAAGATTAAAAAAGTTGTGCTATTTATGTATTATATTTAAAATTGTATATTTCATGCTTAAAAGTAAGCATGTCAGTTACATGATGTAATTAAACATTAACCTTTGGATTTAATATATAGAAGAAAACTGGTAATCTTTGTAGGTTCTTTTACCTTATGATTGAGAAGTTAATTTTGACATGGAGGAAGATAATTTTGACATTGAGAAGTTAATTTTGACAAGTGACAAAGAGGGAAAGTTAAAACAAGTAAAGATGATGTGAGAAATAGATGTTAGAGAGTTTTCATTCCAGATTTATTCACTTTAGGATTATTTCTGATTTATCAACTATACTTGGAACTAGGTAATCTATGATTGTTAAAAATAGTCTTAACAATGTGATATCTTGGATTTGGATACAGCATCAAAAAAAGTAATAATGACAAAATTAGTATTTTGGAATGACTAAACTTTATATATGTAGAATACTTTTATTCCATTTTATAGCATTAATATAAAATAGTTGATTTTCATTTTGATGTAAAACGGATAGTCACATCATTTATGATATACCAGCAACCATTTTTCTTTCATAGTATTAAACTTTGTTTGAAGTTGCTTTCTTTCATTTAGAATCTAAAATGAAGAACATTTTTTTCTCTTAATTTATGATTTAAAAATTTTAGTTACTATTTTATGTAGTATAATCTGGAAGAGAGTTATGAAACAACTGTCATTTTAAAAGACGTTTGTCCCTTTTCAAAGAGCTGTTTTTATCTCTTTACTTCCATTAATGAGAAGAATGAACACTTTGTATTTGAGGTGTATAATCAGTCTGTTTTCCCTTTGCTTTTTACAGACCACCTCGGTTAATGGGGGAGGGTTTTGTGGTGATGCAGTCAAACGATGTGGACATCTACTACTACATGGATGAACCGGGTATGAGTCTGTGGCAGTCAGTTTTTCATCATCATTTCTGTTAAACTGGATGGACATTGAGGAGACTTGCCAAAATTAAAGCAGTATTGTGGCTGGGAGTTTGATTCAAGTGGTATAGCTCATGTGTGGCATCTGTGAGGCTCTAGGATGCATCCCCAGAACCACCTATATGTAGTTTGATAGTACCTGAATACCACTGGATGTATCCTCTGTTATAAAAAAAGAACACAGTGCCAGCACAGCTAACTAAATTATTTTGTTTTAGAAAGTGACTATTTTTATTAAAAATATTTTAAAGGAAATTAAATTTTATTAAAATGTTAATATTTTAATTAAATTTTTATTTTGTTAACATGATTTTATTTTTAAAAAATAATAAATATTAAAAGAACTCAATTTGAGGGCCAGGGTGATAATACAATAGATAGGAGCACTTGCCCAGCACATGACTGACCTGGGTTTGATCCTCACACCCCATATGTTTCCTGAGTCTGCAAGGAGTGATCCCTGAGTGCAGAGCTTTAGGAGCTAGGAGTAAGCCCTGAGTACTGCTAGGTATGGCCGAAAAATTTAAAAATATTAGTCAGTTCAAATTTTGAATAAATTTTGATATAATAGTAAATTTAATACGTAAAACTCATGTATATATACGTTTTCATACACAAACATATATTCACTTTGAATTCTGTAGTAGATTTTAAGTATGTATATGGATTCCTGAAGGAGAAAAAGTTTTAGCACTAAAAGTTTTTAAAAACTGCTAATATTGGGACTGGAGTGATAGCACAGTGGGTAGGGTGTTTGCCTTGCACGCGGCCAACCCGGGTTCCATTCCCAGCATCCCATATGGTCCCCTGAGCACCGCCAGGAATAATTCCTAAGTGCAGAGCCAGGACTAACCCCTGTGCATCGCCAGGTGTGACCCAAAAACAAAACAACAACAACAAAAAAAAAACCTGCTAACTGCTTAAAAGTTATTTTAATTGACTGCCTTAACATTGTCTATTCTTATATTTTGGAATACAGGACTTGTTCCAGAAGAAGTAGAAGAAAATATTGAAGGAGAAATGAGCAGTGAGGATTGCAAATTACAAGATTTGCCTCCCTGTTGGGGTCTAGATATAGTTTGTGGTAAAGGAACAGATTTCAACTATGGACCATGGGCAGATAGACAGAGGTTTGTTGATAAGTTATATTTCTAATAAGTCATTTAAATGTATTGCAATGCAACAAGAACCTTCTTGAGCTGGAGAGAATAAAGGGGGAAAAATGCTTACTTTACCCTTGACTGATCTGGTTTCGATCCTTGGCATTGCATAAGGTCCCCAAGCACCATCTAGAGTGAACTCTGAGTGCAGAGCCAGGAGTAAGCTCTGAGCACTATCTGTGTAGGCCTTGCCCCCACTCCCAAATTCCTTTAAATCAACTTGAACTTTTTTAATAACTGCAACTTTGGATGCGCTATTTTATTTTGAGCTGATAAGCTAGCACCAACTATTTCAATTCAGACAACTTCTTTGCAGAGAAGTTTGTTCAAGAGGAAGAGGTAATTGGTTAGAAAGATGTTGAGTAAACCCTGTGTTGACTCCTTTGTATTTAATCAATGAAAATGTCTGTCAGAAGTTACTGGGTTTGTGGAGAGTTAGAAACAAAAGTTCTATATAGTTTTAGTTTTTATGGAGAAAAATCAAGGTCATAAGTATGTGCTGTAATAGAGAAGTAGAACAGTTCTCAGGCTCTGTTGCCTTTGGTCATTTGTTATTGCATTTCTGTGCTGTTTTATATCCTACATATGAAAAGTTATTTTGTATCTGTCTCTCCTGCTAACTGTTCAGCATGATACCCACCAGTTCCATCCAGGTAGTAGTAAATTGCATTATTTTATCTTTTCTTATAGCTGAGTAGTATTCCATTGTATTTCCAAACCATAGTTTCTTTATCCAGTCATCTAATCGTGGACACTTGGGTCTAACAGCCTCCTGTCCACCACCATATTTTGGCTACTGTGAATAGTTCTGCAGTGACCATAAAGTGCAGATATCTTTTCTGAGTAGAATTTTTGGGCTTTTCTGATAGATGCCCAGAAGTGTCTGGGGTCATATGAAAGCTCATTTCTTACTTTTTTGAGATGTGCCTTTGTTGTTTTCCAAAAGGTGTAAACCAGTTTACATTGGAGAAAAATGTAAATTGTTAAGTAAGAGCAGTGATGATATCAAGTTAGAGTCCTGATTTTGGTCCCTTATCAGAGGTAATTTTGTTTAACATGTCTTTTTTTCCTCTTTATCTTCTTTTGTAGAGATTGTTTATGGAAATTTTTTTTCCCACCTGATTATCAAGTTCTGAAAGTTTCTGAAATTGCACGACCTGGAAGACCCAGACAGATCCTTGCTTTTGAACTACGAATGAACATTATTGCAGATGCTACAATTGATTTGCTATTCACCAAAAATAGGGTAATTATTGAAAAAATTTAGTAGAAAAATGCTTAAAATCTGAACATTATTTCTCAGAGTGTTTCTCTAGTGATTAGTACTAAGATTTCCTTCTACAAGTTTCTCACGTTCCCCCCCACACACATTATATGTATATTGATTTTATCAGTCTTTCATTAAATTCCAAACAGTGACAAGAAGGTAATTCTATTCATAGCTCCTTATATTATAGTCTGATTACTTTTCTTCTTTACGTGTGGCCAAATTCTTTTAGTGTATTTTTGGAATAAATGTGAATTTTTATTTTTTTGTTTGTTTTTAGGACATATTTTGTGATGCTTAGAGGTTACTCTTGGCTCTGTGCTCAGGGATCACTTCTGGCAGTGCTCAGGGGACCAAATGGGATCTTATGGGATCCCAGGGATTGAGCATCCTATATGCCCTATACACTAGACTAGGGACTTTTATTGTGGGGAGGGAGGAGAGTTTGGTTCATTCTTGGCTGTGCTCAGATCTTACTCTGTGCTCAGGGATCAGTCCTGGTTATTCTAGGGAATTATAAACAGTCCCAGGGATTGAAATAATGTCAGCCACACGCAAGGCAAGTGGTTTAGCCATTATAATATCTCAGCAGGTCGTTTTTAGGAACTTCTAATATTTTTTAAATATCTTTTGACATTTGTATTTTGTGATATTAAATGAAAAGTAAAGATGGAATTAAAATTAAGTTTTATATCAGTGGTTCCCTAAATTATTTGGCTTTCTGCCCCTCTTAATAAAAAACAACAAAGTATTCACCCTGGCCCTCTAAAGACAGTTTGGCGAATAATTTATTTTTATTTCTTTTGATAGGAAACAAATGCTATACATGTAAATGTAGGAGCTGGCTCATACTTGGAAATTAATATTCCAATGACAGTTGAGGAAAATGGTAAGCTGCAGTGAATACTTTTCAATTTTAAGTGATTAAATGAAAATTAATTTATAAATCATAGTTTGTTCATTTAAACTTAAAATACAGGGGTTTTCTTTTTCAGCTTGATTTTGTTGTATCTGTGGTTTCTAATAAACATTATGTAACTAATTTATTTATGTGCCATTTTACAAACCAAGTTAGGTCATGTAGTTCTGTGCTTTCATTATACTGTTTCTTTCTCTTTTGTAAGACTAAACATAATGTGCTCAGGTTAGGTTTTTCTGTTTTCTGTTGCCCCTTTACAGCAAGTGTTGTTTTTCTTCCTTGTGGTGTCTCCTAATACCTGGTACTTTAACATGGCCAGTGATTGAGTGAGTCACTGATCAGATCACAGATCACAGATCATCCTGTTATTCGTCCATTGCCTCGAGCAGGCCCCAGTAACGTCTCCTTCATCCTAGCCCTGAGATTATATTCAAGGCTCTTTAGGAGAATGAGACCCATCATTGTTACTGGTATTTGGCATATTGGGTACGCCACGGGGAGTTTGCCAGACTCTGCCGTGTGGGCAGGCTACATTCAGTAGCCTGCCAGATTGTCAAAGTAGGAATGAGATGTCATAATAAGATGTCGGGCGGCTGCGAATGCGAATCCGAGTAGGCTTGGAGATCTCGGCCCCAGAACCCACGTGGCTTTGTCCCTCTGCCGGTACCTTCAGGTGTGCGGAGAGTGGTCTCAGCATGGTGGTGGCTGGTCCTGGAGGTCTTTGGCTGCCGGGGCCCTGATCAGGGCGGGGAGGAAAGCTCAACCCGCTCCCCTCCAAGGGGCCCCGGCGAGGAATAGCCAGGTGGGGGGGCAGGAGACTGCACTGTTCTCCCTCCGGGAGCTGGTTTTTATAGTCTCTGATAGGCTTTGTTTTAACCCAAAAGCTATGGTTGGTAAGTAGACATCATGAAGATTTGCTAATTTGAATATCATGACTAAGAGAACAACTTTTCATTTTGTTTATTTTGGGCTTTCCAAGCAGTGCTCAGGAGACTCAGGGACCCCTAAAGAGTGCTCAGGATACCTGGGGCTCCTAAAGTTGTGCTCTGGAGACCAGGTGGCCCCTAAAACAGTGCTCAGGAGAACTGGAGCACTGTTAGCACTCTTGGCAATTTGTGAACATCCAGGCCTGTGATTCCACACAAGGAACCAAGGATGCACAATTTACTGGGGTCCCATGGTGTTGGGCATTAGCTAGGCATTAGGTGGAATTAGCTGGAAATTAGCACTCCAGCTTGGGGAGTGGTGGTTGGTGGCTTCCAGGACTTCACCAGGCGATGATAGGGGACCATGTAGTGTCTGGGACTGAGTCTAGATGACTGCATGGAAGGCATGCACTGCCTTAATCTGTGTCCTTTCTCTTTAGCCAGAACTTTTCATTTTTAAAACATTAATGCTTAATAATGATAGCTTTATCTAATCAGCTTTATCTGATTTTGTTATGCATTTGGAATTTGGACTCTGATACAAGTTATCAGTGACATGATTGTATTCTTTTTAATTTTTATTTTAATTTATTTTTGGCTTTTGGGCCACACCCAATGAGAATTATTAGCTCAGGAATTATTCCTGGCTCCAGATATTCAACTAGGTTGACCGCATGCAAGGCCAGTGCCTTCTTACTTTATTGTCTCTCTAGCCCCTAAATACTTCTTAGAAAATTTTATTTTGATTTCTTAATTTTCGATTGAAGCTATATGATTTCTAATACTGTTAATGATGGTTTCTCATACTTATAATTCTAGTAAGAATTCACATCCATCATTTGTGTACCCACCTCCTTTCCTAAGGACTCCAATACCCCTCCCTTTCAGATGAACTACTTCTTGTTAAATTTATCAAAATTTTGTCTAGTCATGAACAGTTTTGCTTTTATTATTACATTCTGACAATAAAATGAAATTCTGCTTTACTTATTTTGTTGTTGAGAATATAGGAATGAACAACTTACCTGCATCTTTGAGTCACTTAGCAGCAGTGTTCCTATAACTAAATGTAACACTTTCTATGTAATTCCTGGCTTTCTTTGCTTTTTTTCAATCACTTTCCCCTGTTACTTGGGCTGTTTTTCTGAAGAGTTTGCCCTTAGCTTGTTTGAAGAGTAATTGTGCGAAGTTGTGACATGGATGCTTGAAATTCTCTAGGTCTTTGGGTGAATCTTTTCATTAGAAGGAGGCATCTTGTAGAACAAACTAAATTAAAGATTTTTTATGGGGAAAGAAAAGTCCAGGGCTGCACAAAATTGAGAGTCGTTCGATTAAAGGGATATTTTAGTATTTTTAGACTGAAGATGTACTGGTGGTACAGATGTTGTTCGTGTAACTATTGCTCCAGGGTCAGTGAACTACTTTAGGTGAGGATGAAGGGCTCCACCTTCAAGCCAAACTGTGATGAATCATTGGAGGTATAATGGGAATGATGTGGACTTCTGAGAAGCTTAGGGTGTATGGGATGCACACCAGGCTTATGGTTGAGAGTAGGTGACTTCTGGTTTGGTGCTGGGGATACAATAAAGGTCCTCACACTTGTAAAGAATATGTAAAGTTCTGGGACTGGAGCGATAGCATAGTGTGCATTTGCCTTGCACGCGGCCAACCTGAGCTTGATTCCTAGCATCCCATATTGTCCCCTGAGCACCTCCAGGAGTAATTCCTGAGTGCAGAGCCAGGAGTAACCCCTGTGCATCACTGGGTGTGATCCAGAAAGGAAAAAAAAAAAGAATGTGTAAAGTTCTACATCTCAGTCAAGATTCGGTGACTTACCATTTTTTAATTTTTTTTTTTTAATTTATCTGGGGAGGGGTCCTCCCAAGCGATGGTCAGGAGACCTGAGTACCAAGGCCCTTGCCTGCAATTCTTAGCCACTTGGCCACAGTGGTTCTGTGTGAGGGGCTAAGGATGCAATGCTGCTCCAGCCCTGCAGTGCAGAGGGTACCCAGGGCACTGGCAGTGCTGAGGGCCTGAGGTCATGAGGACATAAGCTCTAACTGCTGTACTGTCTTCTAGTCCCCGTAGGTTTTCTTTTCCTCCCATGTTGTGATTGTAGCTCCTGCAGTGTCTGGAGGACACACTGCTGTGGTATGCAGCGTGTTGCACTTTTGTTTTGACATCAGGAATCACACTCATGATGTGGTGTGGGCAGTGCTGAAAATTGAAATTGTAAACTGTAATTGAACAAACATGCCTTGCCGGTACTCTACCACCAAACTACATACCTGGGTTCAAGTTAGTTCACCTTATGATGACTTATCTGAGATGACTAATAGACCTAGCTCTTATACTGTTGTAGAGTAAAACTCACTGAAAACATTTTCTAAGATTCATATAAATATTAATAAATGAATACCAGAGCAGTATGCCTGTTGAACTGTCTGTGGAGATATGACTAGACACTATTTATAGGACAGACTATCAAGAACAAAAGTGAACCTCAGCTTTCCTGCCTTTTATTCAGAATGAGCTCTCCTATATCGAACTATGATAAAAAGAGTAGTTGAAAATCATGAAAATGTGTGCTCTAGAGTCAGTAGATGGAGAAAAGATATAGGCATGGTCCATTTAAGATATATAATTGATGAAAACTCTTGCTTGGACAATGGGCTTTAAGTTTTGCATTGGGAAACAAATCAGGGTAGTGTGTGAGGATCATAGTGTATGGGTTTTGCAATGGGAAAAGTCAGTAGCAAATGTCTCATTGGGACACTTTCAAGTAGTAACTATGACAGTTTTTCAGGGTTTCTTTCTTTGGGTGGTGGAGGGTGTTGTTTCCAGTCTATAATTTTTTAACATGTATTTTAGGTTACTAATTTGAACGTTTTGTTTGTCAGGTTACACCCCTGCAATTAAGGGACAACTACTACATGTTGATGCCACTACCAGCATGCAGTACAGAACCCTCTTAGAAGCAGAAATGTTAGCAGTAAGTCTGGCATATATGGTGATGATATGCATAAAATATTCATTGGTTTTTAATTTAATATGAAATTTTAATGAACTCATCTGCTGGTCCATCTTCTCCTTCATAAACTATCAGGTGGTCTTCTGATCTTTTCCTTATTTTATGAACTCTTTGGCATCTCTGGGGGGAGTGAATATAGATTGATAATAAGTGGGGTTTGGGTCTTTGAAAATGTGAAAAGTTGTTTCAGTATTGTTTTTTAAAAAATCTTTGTACTGCTATACTAAATTTCTCCATGGTTTTGTTTTTCCCTTTCATTATTTATGCTGTGTGTGTGTGTGTGTGTGTGTGTGTGTGTCGCACACACTGCTGAGGATTGAACCCAGAACCTCACATATGCAAATTAAGTTTATCTCTAACTCTCTCTTTTAAAGAAAATACTTTTTTTGTTTTTGTTGTTTTCTGATTCCATCCAGTTCTTTCTCAGAACTTAATTCATTGTGCTTTTCACTTGATAAGGTAGAAGATGAAGATCTTTTGAAAGCCCTGAGTCACTCCATATTAGAAAGAGAAATTATAATAAAATACTTATGATTAAATTGCACTGGTGATCCTAATAAATCAGATTAATTTTTTATTAGGAATGAGAACAACAGTAACAATAAAATCTGTTTTATAGAGTTGCAGTATTAATAGATCCTGAATTAATTCTCTTAATCATTCACACATGATACTTGTGTGTAAGTTAAGAGGGAACATTTGAAATTACCAAGAATATATTGATGTGAAAATATTATGAAACTGTCATGTTTATTAGCATTTTAGTGAATTTCTTAGCTATTGGTGGTCAGTGGTTCTGCATAGCACTGCTGTTTTCTGGCCAGGCAGCTTTTACCTCTTCAGGTAGACTCTGCCATCAAGCATGGTGCTGGCTCTGTAACTGTGTACCAGTTGTCAGATGGTGGCTTACCACATAGTGGGGTTGAGACTTCTGTGTGGCCGGACAGCATCGCACCTTACTTTTATGTCCCAAAGTCTTTCCCCACAGATGAGGCTTACAGGGAGTTGAGGTGATGATAGTAGGCTTATAGTTCAGCTGGAGAACAGCATAGATGCTGTATCCTGATTTGTCTGACCAGCATGGCTTAGCATTTTAAGCAGCTGCATGTAATCAGATACTGACTTTAGTCACAGAATATTATACTCATGAAGGCACCTCTGTTCAGCCTAGTAGGAAAGAAAAATTCAGATTACTCATCACATCTGTGCCTTCATTTCCAGTGTTTACAAAAGATAACAGTTTTTTTTCTTAATAATCTGTTTTCAGTTCCATATCAATGCCAGCTATCCCCGAATATGGAATATGCCACAGACATGGCAGTGTGAATTAGAGGTTTATAAAGCTACTTACCACTTCATCTTTGCACAGAAGAACTTCTTCACAGGTAACTTTCTAATAAAAAAGTTTTTTTCTTTAAAACTACTGTAAATATACATAATTGAATACTGTTTGGCTCTGAGGAAAGATAGAGTTATGCAACTTCCTACAACATTTTCTGCATCTGGAGAGAATCCTATTGAGTGAAACCAGTCAGAGGGAGAGGAATAGACTCAGAATAATCTCTCATGTGGGATATAAAGAAACTTCCTAGGGGAATATCAAATGCTCAGTGGCAATAGAACTGGTGTTCAGTAGGAAGCTTGCCACTGGGCCGGGGGGTTGGGGGATAAGTTAGAGAAGGAAACACTATTCAGGGAATTTTATGGTTCCATACAAATTTTATTTATTTTTTAATTGAATCACCATGAGATACAGTTACAAAGCTTTCATGTTTGAGTTTCAGTCATACAATGATGGAACCCCCATCCCTCCACCAGTGCACATTGTCTACCACCAGTGTCCCCAGTATCCCCTCCCCCTCGCCCGCCCCAACTCCTTTCCCTGCCTCTGTGGCAGACACTTTTCCCCATACTCTCTACTTTTGGGCATTATGGTTTGATATACAAATACTGAGAGGCTATCATGTTTGGGCCTTTATCTACTTTCAGCACACATCTCCCATCCCGAATGATCCCTCCAACCATCATTGACTTAGTGATCCCTTCTCTATTCCAGCTGCCTTCTCCCCCAGCTTATAAGGCAGGCTTCCAACCATGGAGCAATATTCCTGTCCCTTGTTTCTACTGTCCTTGGGTGTCAGTATCATACTATTACATACTCCAAAATGAGTGCAGTCATTCTATTTCTGTTCCTCTCTGACTCATTTCACCTAGCATGATACTCTCCATGTCCATCCACTTATAAGAAAATTTCATGACCTTATCTTTCCTTATCAGCTGCATAGTATTACACTGTGTAGATGTACCAAAGTTTCTTTAATCAGTCGTTTGTTCTCGGGCACTCGGGTTGTTTCCAGATTCTGGCTTTTGTGAACGGTGCTGCAATGAACATATAGGTGCAGATGCCGTTTCTACTGTGCTTTTTGTACCCTCAGGATATATTCCCAGAAAGTGGTATTGCTGGGTCATGGAAGCTCAATTTCTAATTTTTTAAGGAATGTCCATATTGTTTTCCCAAAAGGCTGGACCAGTTGGCATTTCCACCAACAGTGAAAGAGAGTTCCTTTCTCCCCAACCGTGCTAGCATTGGTTGTTCTTGTTCTTTTTGATTGTGTCTCTGTGGTGTATGATATCTTATTGTTGTTTTGATTTGCATCTCCCTGATGATTAGTGATGTAGAGCATTTTTTCATGTGTCTTTTGGCCATTTGTATTTCTTTTTTGAGGAAGCTTCTGTTTATCTCCCCATACATGTCAGAGGCCCGGTGGGAGTGGCAGGGCCAGGGCTTTGGCCATACAAATTTTAATAGAGTTTGTTCCATGTCTTTTAAAACAATCATTGGAATTTCAATTAGTTTTCCATTGAATTTCTATAGTACTTTGGGTAGAGTGGTCGTTTTAAAAATGTTGATTCTTCCATTTCAGGAACAGGGAATATCTTTCCATTTCTTGGTATCTTCAGTTTCTCTCAGCAGTAATTTTTAGTTTTTACTGTATGTCAGGCTGGAGCAATACACAGCGGGTAGGGCATTTGCCTTGCACGCTTCTGACCCGGGTTCGATTCCTCTGCCCCTCTCAGAGAGCCCGGCAAACTACCAGTAGTATCTCACCCACATGGCAAAGCCTAAGTATTTGATCTTTTGAGTCACTATTCTGAAGGAGTTAGTCTTTTTAATTTTTTTTCTACTAGTCATCGGGCTGGAGCTATAGCACAATGGGTAGGGTGTTTGCCTTGCACGTGACTGACCCGGATTCAATTCCTCCATCCCTCTTAGAGAGCCCAGCAAGCTACTGAGAGTATCCCGCCCGCACGGCAGAGCCTGGCAAGCTCCCCATGGCGTATTTGGTATGCCAAAAACAGTAACAACAAGTCTCACAATGGAGACTTTACTGGTGCCCATTTGAGCAAATTGATGAGCAATGGAAGGACAGGGCTGGAGCAATAGCACAGCGGTAGGGTGTTTGCCTTGCTAGGGCGTTTGCCTTGCGCACAGCCAGCCTGGCCGAGCCAGGTTCGATTCCTCTGCCCCTCTTGGAGAGCCTGGCAAGCTACTGAGAGTATTCAATATGCCAAACATAGTAACAAGAAGTCTCAAAATGGAGACGTTACTGGGCCTGCTCGAGCAAATCGATGAATAACGGGAGGACAGTGTTTGGACAGTTTTTTTGGGAGGATAGTGCTAGACAGTGCTACTACTTGTCATTATTTGTATACAGGAATGCCATTGATTTTTGTGTACTAATTTTGTAACCTTCTGCCTTACTGTATTTGTTTATTATTTCTAGGAGTTCTTTGGTGGTCTCATTTATAGTAACCTTGATAAACTTTAACCTGGAATATATACTAACAAAGTAGAATATATAAATGATAGGATTATATGTAATACAATATTACATATATAATATACATATATTATTACCTATATGATATAATGTACTATTTTCAACCTTTTTATGCTTATGTACCAGCAATTGAAAACCATTAATATAGACTATAAAATTTGGGGAGAATTCTAAATATCTAAGTTTAGAAAATGGTTAAGTAAATCCTGGCAAAACTCTTTACTGAACCAGCGGGTAGGGCGTCTGCCTTGCACGCAGCCAACATGGCCGACCCGAGTTCGATTCCTCCACCCCTCTTGGAGAGCCCGGCAAGCTACCGAGAGTATTCGATATGCCAGACACAGTAACAACAAAGTCTCCAAAGGAGACGTTACTGGGCCCGCTCGAGCAAATCGACGATCAACGGGAGGGCCTTTACTTTTACCTTTATATAAGTATGTATGAAATAGAATGGAGAAGTTTGAGTCCATTGAAAAATAAGGTTTAAAGCAGTGTTTCTTTTAACTTTTCCTCAATTTCCTTTACTTTTTGTTTCTGTCTCAACCCCAACCCTTTAGACTTAATACAAGACTGGTCTAGTGATAGCGCTCCAGACATGTTCTCATTTGTTCCCTACACATGGAACTTCAAAATCATGTTTCATCAGTTTGAAATGATTTGGGCTGCTAATCAACACAATTGGATTGACTGTTCCACTAAACAACAAGAAAATGGTAAGAATTAAAATTAGATTTAGCTTTGTTTGTTCATTCAGAAAAATGCCAATAAAAAACTTAGTTTTGACTTCGTAGTTTTAATAGAATTAAATTTTAGAATTTTTGAAATCAGCATACTTTAATTTTTTTTGGATATGTAAGATAATTTTAGCTTAAAAACTTAATAACATTAAATTTCTCTTTTCTCTCTTTTATATGTAGTGTATCTGGCAGCATGTGGGGAAACACTGAACATTGATTTTTCTCTGCCTTTTACGGACTTTGTTCCAGCTACATGTAACACCAAGTTCTCTTTAAGAGTAAGTATAGTTGAACAAACACCCAAAATGAGAGAGAGAGAGAGAGAGAGAGAGAGAGAGAGAGAGAGAGAGAGCGAGAGAGCGCAAAAGGGTATGCCCTGCCACAGAAACGGGGCGGGGGCAGGGGTGGGAAGAGGTAGGGGTGAGGGAGGCATACTGGGATCATCGGTGGTGGAGGGATGGGTACTGAGCATTGTATGACTGAAACATAACCACTAAAGTTTGTAAGTGTGTAACTGCACCTCACAGGGATCCATTACAAAAAATAAAAACAAACCACAAATTAAATAAAAAAAAAAAAGAGTAAGTGTAGTTGAACAAATGGTTTATTCACCATTTATAACATAGTGGTTTGATCTCCTGGAGCACATCTATCTTCTGCCCTCCATTGCACTTGGACTGCTGTAGTTTTCTTCTCGGTTGTGTTCCTAAGAGGGTCTGTCTTGAGAATTTGGACAGTGAAGTAAATTCCCTGCACTGCTGATTTACTCTTTTGACTAATTTTGTGCTGGAGCGATAGCACAGCGGTAGGGCGTTCGCCTTACAAGCGGCCAACATGGCCGACCCGAGTTCGATTCCTCCGCCCCTCTCGGAGAGCCCGGCAAGCTACCGAGAGTATTCGAGATGCCAGACACAGTAACAACAAAGTCTCCAATGGAGACGTTACTGGGCCCGCTCGAGCAAATCGACGATCAATGGGAGGGCCTTTACCTTTACCTTTACCTTTGTGTTCTTTTAAGTCCTAACTATGCAGTTCACCTTGTTTGTGAACTGGATTTTATACTTCTGTATTTCATTCCTAAGTGTAGTCATAAATTCAGAAAATAATTTTGAAGGGAATAATCAGTCTTTCTTATGTCTGGTAAAGGCCAAGTTGCAGAACTCATTTAACTTGTCATGTAGGTAGAGAGTGGTTAAGTTGTGATTTGAACCCAGACAACATACTGTTAGAGCTCTTTTCTCTGCCTTGTATTCTTATATATACCAGGTATCCAGATGAACCAAGATTAGGGGAGCCCAGAAGGAAGAAAGAAATCTGAATGAAGATCCTTTGATATGTTCATTCAGAATTCTAAGAGGGCAGTTGAAAAATCAAGAATTAACTATAACTGAGACAGTAGTTTTGAAAATTAGCTTACACTTTAGTAAAAATTGGAAAAAATATAGAACATGCTTCATTTGAACTCACGTTAGATGGTATTTTTGTTTTTCAGAAACGAATCATTTTCCATCATGGTCATAATGTCTTCACTCTTCTAACTCTTTGCTACTGTTACCAAACAGCATACCCACCAGATAGCCAGTGATATAGTAAAAGAGTCCAAGACATATGAAATGACTTTTGCCTTAAAGAAATCAGCATAGATTGGAAGACTAAGCATTAAAGTAAAAAAGATTTATAGAAGTACAAGCATTGAGAATGATTTTTACTTTCATTATTTTTAACTGAGTTACTTGCAAGATATACATACATTCTTGTATTTATGTAAAATTGAGCAGTAATTTCCCTGATATAAACATTTTAATCAGAATTTTAGTTTTAGATGATATAAAAATTTATTCCAGTTATTTTTGACTATTCAGTGTAAAAGTTGCTATGTGCAATTGCTTTCAAATTTATTTTCCAGATATTTTTGGATGGGCTTGACTGTAAATTATAATTTAGTGACAATAAAGTAACATTTGTTTAGGTATCTATTTCATTTTGGAGGTTATTACAAATTTATTTTTTAGGGAGAAGATGTTGATCTTCATTTGTTTCTACCTGATTGCCACCCTAGTAAATATTCATTGTTTATGCTGGTAAAGAACTGCCATCCAAATAAAGCTCAAGACTCTGGTATTCCTGCTGAGTGTCAGAGTGGCCAGAAAGCAGTTCAACCAAAATGGCGCAACGTTACTCAGGAGGAGTGAGTACCTCAGTCATCTGAATGTTTTGTGTTTCGTTGGGGTATTCTTAGGATTAAAAAGTTAAAATAATTATAAAAATAAGCAAAAGAATCAATGAATAAATTTTATCACCAGGAACTTCTCTTTGTTATTTGTAAAAAATATATCTTACGCATGCGCACAGGGGAGGGATGTGAAGATGATGATGTGTTGTTGGTGGGCTCTTGGGGCAGCTCTCCCTTGCCATCCGTATTCGGTGCTCTCAAGCCGCTGTGTATGGACAGGATTGGAATGGCTCCTCTTTTGTGCTCTGCTTCTGTGCTCTCTTCTGTCTGTCTCTCTATTTCTGACTCTGTCTCTGTAGTCTCTCCTCTGGTCTCTTCCAATCTCTCTCTCTCTGGAGCTCTTCTGCTCTCTCTGGAACCCTTTGCTCTGGATTCTGACTCTGGCCCTCTCCCTCTTACAGTCTTAGTTTATTTAGCAAACATATAGGGTGGTGACACAAAGGTGGGTTGAACATTAACAAATCAACAAAGAGAGGTAAAACCACTCCTCCAGGAGATTAGCTCAAGGATAAAATCTCATCTAAAGAGATTACTCCAGATTACTAGGAGATCTGCTTAAGGTCGGGATCCCATTCAGGGTGTGTCACTTTCTTCTTTCTTCAGCTAGTAATCCACTTAAATAGTTGTAGTAAGTCTACTTCTAATATTTCTAGCAATGTCATTCTGTATGAGCACGGTAAGAGTTATATCAACTTACAGTTTGGTTCCTCCTGAGGACGTCTTACCACAGTCCTCAGGCCAGGTTAGTCTTCTTAACCCCTGCAGCAAGGCTGAAAGGACAAACCCATTGCTACCCTACAGTTATTAAAGAAATTATTAAAGTTATTAAAATTATTAAACTTATAAAGAAATAAATACCTGACTAGAATCTTTGTTCTACTCTCTGAAGGGCTGGATGGGTTGAATGCTGGACTGTTCCAAGTGTCATGCTTACAATTGATTATACATGGCATCCAATTTATCCTCAAAAAGCAGATGAACAGTTAAAACAATCATGTAAGTAATTTATATCATTTTAAATTAGAAATTTTCTTATAAATTTTAAATAAAATAAAATATCTCTCTATCACTGTATCACTGTCCATCTATTTACTCAAGCCGGCGCCAGTAACGTCTCTATTCCTCCCACCCCTGACATTTTAGTAGCCTCCCCTTACTCGTCTTTCCCAATGATTGGAGGCTCTTTCAGGGTTAGGGGAATGAGACCTGTTTTCATTACTGTTTTTGGCATATTGAATATGCCACGGGGAGCTTGCCAGGCTCTGCCCATGTGGGAAATAAAATATATATTTTATAATTTCATATAATTAAATGTCTCGTCTAATGTTAGAATTGGTAGTAAAAATACAAGAAGAAATTAAAAGTTTGAAATGCCTCTATTTGTTAAAATAAATTGACAAAATTATGTACATTTGAAATTTTCTAAGGATTTCAGTATAATTATCTAGCTCTTATTGGTTATTTACTGTGTATGGACTGGTATTCCAAGCAGTTTACCAGTTGTCCTGTTATCTTTTAGCCCTCATGGCTGTATGAATTGGTGCTGCTCTTGTGTAATCTAGCATTTCTCATCCAGAGACCAGGAGACCCCAGTATGGGTTCTCAGGGTATTCCAAGGGAGCCACAGGTGAAAATCACAGACAGCATGGGATTATGGCATGTTTAGAGAATGTAGCAGTTTCTTCAAAGTTTGTCAAGCTCGACAGATCCGAAATATAAAGCAAGGTCTGTGTGGATTTAGTTTGAAGTGCTTGTTTTATAAAATGTTGTTTATTTAATGTATTTTTTAACAATTCTCCTTAATGCTGTTGCATTGGTGGCTCTCCCAGGGTCAGGGGAATGAGACCCATTGTATTTACTGGTTTTGGCATATCGAATAAGCCATGGATAGCTTGCCTGGCTCTGCCTTGCAGGTGGGATATTCTCATTAGCTTGCCAGGCTCTCCGAAAGGGATAGAGGCTTTTAGGGCGGCCTCTAATCACCCTTGCATGTGTTCCTATGGTTCAAACCATATTTGAACCCTATCAAATATGGTGCGGTCATCTTGAAAGATGGATATTAAGTGTCTTATGTGTCCCGACAATGTCCTGGAGCGTGGTGGCGGCTGGGTAGTGGAGGTAGTGAAGGTCTGCCAATGAGGTATTTATCTGGTACGGGTAGGGTGGGTCTTCTGTGTGTAATCTCTGGGTCACCGAGGTTAGTGGAAGCAGACAGGGCAGGGTAGGGTGGGACTTCTGGTTTTAATTCCTTGGTTGGAGATTGGTGGGAGCAGGCAGAGGATCTCTGTTCCTGGTCCTGTTGAGCCTGGAGTCCAAGGTAACAGAGTTCCAATTACCTGGTTCTGTGGGGCTTCACTCGTGCATGAGTCTTGGCCCGAGCGTCCAGAAAGTGTCCAGAAAGCGTCTTGGAGTGTGGTGGTGGCTGGGTAGTGGATGAGGAAGGTGAGGCTGATAAAATCTCAAGGCCGAACTAGGCTGCCAGCACGAAGGACAAAAATGACTGTCTGTACTTTCAATGCACGTATGCTGGCATCAGATGCATCCATCGGGGATGTGATGGTAGAAGTGTGAAAGATCAAGTACGACATGATTGGTCTAACCGAGACGAGAAGGCGTCAATCACATCACGCCATTTTCGATACTGGAGAAGAACTGTTCCTCGGAACATGCAACAAAAGAGGCATCAGTGGTGTTGATGTCCTTGTCAACGCGAACTTGGCCATAAGCATTGATTGATTCATTCATTCATTTGAATGCCTAACAACCCGAATCGGACGATTACACTTGAATAGATGTGGCTCACTGCTGGCAGTTTCTATCTTGGGAATGGGAAGGAATGGAAATGAAGATAGACTGTAGGCAACTACACCAGCTCTGCTTCGCCGATGACATCATTCTAATAACACCAGACATTAGCCAAGCAGCACAAATGCTGGCCGACTACAACTGTGAGTGTGGAAAGGTCAGACTGCAACTGAATCTCACCAAGACAATGTTCATGAAAAGTGAACTAGTCCCTGACGTTCCATTTGCTCTCAAAGGAATGAATATCTCTGAATTCAGCAGCTATGTGTACCTGGGTCGAGAACTCAACATGAGGAACAACTTGGCGCCAGAACTGCGCAGGAGGAAGAGAGTGGTGTGGAGTGCCTTTAAGAGCATCAAAGAAGTTGTAAAGAGGATGAAGAATCTCCCACTCTGGGCACATCTTTTCGACTCCACCATTCTTCCTGCACTAACATACGCTTCAGAGATCTGGGCCGTACGAAAACAGGATGAGAAAGCTATTCAGGTCTCCCAAGAAGGAAAGAGCTATGCTTGAAGTATCACACTTCACTCAAATGAGAGAAAGAATCTAGAGTTCCGACCTCCATCGATGATGGGTGTTCGATCATTGTATAACTGAAACCCAAGCCCAAAAATTTCTAAGTCTACAACTATACCTCATGGTGTTTCACTAATAAAAATTTTTAAAAAAATTTAAAAAAAAAGAATTGGGGATGCTGTGTTGTTTGCCAAGGCACCAAAAATCAGATGGGCTGGACACGTAATGAGATTGGAGATGACTGCTGGACTAGAGGCATTACCGACTGGATTCCATGGGACGTCAAGAGATTGCGTGGCCGCCCACCTATGAGATGGTCACACTTCTTCCGTCAAGACCCTGAACGATCGGTTTAAGGCTCTTCATGTTCCTGGAGCGAGCAAACACCATTGGGCTACACTAGCACGTGACAGGGACAAATGGAGACTTTACTGGCACCCACTCGAGCGCACTGATGAGTAATAGGATGTCAAGTGATCAAGTGAACAATTGTCATCATAGTTTCCCTGACATATATGTGCCCTACCGAGAGTATTCGATATGCCAGACACAGTAACAACAAAGTCTCCAATGGAGACGTTACTGGGCCCGCTCGAGCAAATCAACGATCAACGGGAGGGCCTTTACCTTTACCTTTTACCTTTACTAGGTCCTAAGAGAGAATTAGTAAAGTGATTTTTCTTTTTGCATTTTTCCAGTAAGTTAAGAACAATTACAGACATTATTTATTTATTTATTTTTATAGATGTTATTTTATAAAAAAAATTTTTTTTAAATGTAGGAGTACTGCTATTTGTTCAGCTACTGATTAGCTGATTGAATTGGGCATGATCTCCACCTTACTTTTTTTTTATAGTTTTATTTATTTTTCGTCCTATATTTATTTATTGAATCACTGTGGGAGAAGTTACTAAGCTTTCAGGTTTAAGTCTCGATCATACAATGATCAAACACCTCTCCCTTCACCAGTACTCATTTTTCCCCACCAAGAACCCCAATATACCCCCCTCCCAACCCTCCCAATGCCTGTGAGGCAAATAATTTCCACTTAACTCTTCTCTACATTGATTACATTCATTATTTCGACAAAATATGCACCATTATTGTTTAGAATTTACCCCCCAACAATCAGAATTGCTGAAAAGGCATTGTGAAATACTTTGTTTTCTATAGCAGGTTATGAGAATCATATAATTTTGGATTTCTGCAAAGAGCCAGATAATTACGAGATTGGTTTCTGTGCGTCTGGTGTTATGGCTCTGCTGGAGAGCCGCTTGTGGGGGGCAACTCAGGACCTCTGTAGGGCATGAAGGATGAGCTGGTACCGCCCGCCCTTCCCATGAGACTGCAGTTGCCCCATCACCACCGGCTCATACCTGGCTTTCCTATAAGCTCTGAGATGGTGACCACCTTGCTGCGGGTGGGGGGGGGGAGGCAGAAGGCGGAAGGGAGCAATGACCTTTCCCTCCCAGGGAGGCATGGCCCTGTAGTTTAACGCATGGTCCATTTACTTTTCTGCCGCAAGCTGCTGGGCTCTGGATTAAGTCCTTTTGCCTCTGGAGCCATGGCCGTGCCAGAGAGCCGCTCATGGGGGGCATATTTTATAAAAATTTGATACAGAGATTCAAAGCCGTTTGAATAATCTAAGTGAACCCTAAATTTGTTGTAGGGATTTGATAAGAATGTGACTTATTTTATTTATTTATTTTTAAAGCAAACAACACAAATTAGGTGCCTTTAATAACTTATCGTTTTTTTCTTGCACTTATTGACTCCCTTGGCCCCAGTGTACCACCTTCAAATGTGGTTTATTTTAAAAAGAGCTTTATGTTGATCATCTGCAGTCTGATTTGTGTATGTCTTTGCATTTCAATGCAGGTGCTTCTTTTTGCATTTTTAACTATTAATCACTCAGACATGTTTACATAGTAGACTGTTGATAGTGTTTCAGGGTAGTTGTTTCCATATTTGTGAAGCAGGATTCTTAGTTCCCGGACAACCCCTCAGAGATACTTCATCTTCCCCAAAACATTGTTTTTTGTTTTTCAGTGTCAGAAATGGAGGAAACAATGCTTTCTGTTCTGAGGCCGTCCCAGAAAATGGCAGACAGAAGCGTTTCCTCTCCTTCTCCCCCACGCCCACCTGTGGATCCCTCTGAACTTCCACCTGATAAACTTCATGTAGAAATGGAACTTTCTCCGGATTCCCAGATCACTCTCTATGGACCTCTACTCAATGCCTTTTTGTGTATAAAGGTATGTTTTTAAAAGAACGTGACATATTTCATGTATGTATGTATGTATGTATGTATGTATGCTTCTCTCCTCTTTCCTTTGTTGTTGTGTCCATATCTCTTTTGGTGTATTAGCATTGCACATTCACCTCATTATGGTGTGCTTAGGGTCATATTTGTTGTGGTCTGAGGATTACACCTGTAGTGCCAGGAGTCACACTCTGTGGTGTGGTTGGTTGCAGAATCCAGCTTACGGCTTCATGCCTGTCTGCCAGATACTCTCCCACTGTGCCATATTGCTGGATCCTAAGACCTAATCATTTTAAGCATAGGAATAGAAATTAATATTTAATTGAAGCTGAGACCATTTAGAAAAACTTGATAATTCAGTGTTGAGGATACATATCTTTATTATCTTTACTAGTTAGATGCCCACAGGTCTAGTAAAGACTTCAAAATGAATTTGTTCATTTTGAAAAATTGAAACAAATTCATTTTTTCAAAATAGCATTTTTCATGGTTCAGGTTTTTTTTTTTTGCATTCAGTTTGGGTCTAGGAATTGAGCTGCTTGCTAGAAATAGATGAAATATAACATGTTATAAAGAAATGAACTCGAATGTGGAATAGACATATTTTAATACATATATTTCATAATATAATAATTTCATATAAATATACATATATTTCATAAATTTATTAATATATTTCAATACCTTTTCAATACATTGTAATTAGTGCAACAGTAGAAGTATAAGAGAACTTTGTGTAGTAAGTCAGAAAGAAAAAGACAAATACCAGATAATCACACTCATGTGGAATATAAAGAAATAAAACAAAAGGTTAGAATTCCCCAATGGAAACATGTTGAGATAAGGCCAGTAGACTTGTGATTCAGGGTGCCAGAAAGGTAAACAGGGTGGGGGAAGAGACGTTGTGGGGGTCATGGAAGAATCTTGGCACACTGTTGGTTGGCCTGGGATGGTAATACTGCAAATAGAAAACAGTAATATGGGTACTAGTACTAAAATGAAAAAATAAAAATAATTCAACATTGGGCTAGCTTTTTAAAGAAGTTAGTAATTTTGAAAGTATATTTTATTGATAATCAGTAATTTCAAATATGTTAATTGATTAATGACAGTATTTTGTAGTAGTTTAAAAAGTCAGTGACCGACTCCTACTTATGACAACATCAATTAAACTATATATGTAGCACTGTAGCACTGTCCTCCCGTTGTTCATCAATTTGCTCAAGCGGGCACCAGAAACGTCTTCATTGTGAGACTTGTTACCGTTTTTCGCATATCAAATATGCCACAGGGAGCTGGCCAGGCTCTGCCCGTGCGGGCGGGATACTCTTAGTAGCTTGCCAGGCTCTCTGAGAGGGATAGAGGAATCAAACCCAGGTTGACTGCATGCAAGGCAGCTCTATCCGCTGTGCTATCGCTCCAGCCCTTTATAAACCAGAGACTCTCAAAATAAATTTAAAAACTCAGTCCTGTGGAGGAGTTGTTGGGACAGTGATGTTTGTTGAGTTTGAAAGTCATGTGTAAGTCATTCACATTCTACATGTAAGTCATTCATATACTACATTCTTCCTCTCCCCTTAATTCTAAGTCTCCAGAGCTGTGGAGCTTGATTCCAGAGCTGCACTGTACATCTCCTTCTGAAAGAAATGCTGTGCTGTTCCAGATGCCTGTAGGGTTTTAATGTTAGTAGTTTAGAATAAAACCCACTGTTTATATTTATGCTGGAATTTACGCAATAAGGACAGTTGTTAAGATGTTAATCAGAGTTTAAGTAGAAATCACTATTACTTGAGACAGATAACAGTAGATAGTAGAGGGAAAAGCAGAAGCTTTTGACTGCCATTGATTCATGACTTACAGCATTCTTCCTCCTCAAAGCATATGAGTGGACCTGATATCCAGACACTAGATAGAAAATAAATGTGTCAGTTATCATACTGTGGAGTTTACCAAAATACTGACTTTGTCCAATATGCACTTAAATATTGAACAAATGTAATGCACTTAAATTTGCATTAATTTAATGCAATTAACAGTGCAGTGAAAAAAGTCCGAATGCACTTAACAGTGTTAACAGCAATTTTTTAACTTTTGATCACAACTAACAGATCAAATAGGTAAAATTTAAATTCAGAGTCAATTGGGACAGTTTTTTAATTAAAAATTAATTTAAATTCTGGTGCAAAAAATCGAATATTGAGTTGAAACGCTTCTGCATAAAAAACCAGGATGAACTATGTGAAAGGATATTTTGATACTAGTTTATAAAACTTGCTTTTGTTATTAGTAATCCAAATTTATTATTATTGAAGTTAATAGAACATTCTTGGTAAATATTCCAATTTGAATATAAGAATTGTAATATTTACCTAATTGGATTTATTTAAATTTATTTTTCAGAATAATTAAGGAAGTATTAAAAGAAGTGATACTACTTATAAATATCTGCAACCTATTATGCTCTTTTGCCACTGCGTATTTGCTAAGCAGCCAAGTTGGTGTGTGCTTTAAGGACAGTTGTCTGTCCTTTTGCCATTGAACTTTTGCCAAGCAGCCAAGTTGGTGGGTGCCTTAAGCATGTATATCTTCCTGTGCCCTCTTTGAGGGGTGGAGAGAGAATATAGCAGGCAGGGTTGCATGCAGCTGAGCTAGGTTTGATCCCTAACGCCACATATGATCCCCGAGCCCCATCAGGAGTGATCACTAAATGTAGAGCCAGGCATGAGCCCTGAGTACCCATTTCTCAGCCTTCCTTCAGAGACCCATAAATAAATCTTGAAAGAGAGCAAAAGCTGCAGTTAATCTCAGACCTGAGCAAGGCTGAACAGACCATGGTAAATCGGAGGGGGGATGAGTCAGTCTGGTGCCCACCCAAGTAGAACTCCTGGCAGCCGCTTGCTTCCACAATCCAAAATCGCCACCATGTCCTTGGCCTGACTCCATTGTCTTAGATGGACCGCTGCACTGAGATATAATCTGCAGAAATTTCTGGTATGCAGGTTTTGTGACTGAAATCTCCAGGCTTTCTCAGGGTCAGGATGTGCTATTTTCTTCAACCTTCCTGGACTCACAGAAGCCTCAGCAGTCATGTCCACACCCCAAAGCTGCCACCCAGTTAAAAAGATACTCTAGCCTTTCTGTCCTGATAAAAATCCTGAAAGCCCTGAACAAACATGATGATCCTTGGTACCTGTATTGCAAACCATACTGAACAAAAATAGGGGTCTGTGCGTGAGTGGCAGGGTGTTAGAGGATGGCGGGAGGGAAATGGGGGACATTGGTGGTGGGAAATGTACACTGATGGGTGTTGGATCATTGTATGACTGAAACCCGATCTTTAACAGCTTGGTAATGGTCTATCTCATGGATATTCAATCAGGGATTTTAAAAAAAAAAAGTAATGTGGAGTTCATCCCTGCTTCAGCTTGATCAGTGGCTGAATAAATAGCAGTATGCCTACATTTTAAGAAAAGGAAAAAAAAAAACAGCCCAGAGCACTGCTGGTTGTGGTCCCAAACAAAACAAAAAACTGTTTCTACTTTGAGGGGAGGGACTCTGAATCCTTAGCTTACATTACACACTGAACTCCATAGTGAAGAGCTGCTATTGACTTTTGATGGCATTTGGTTGTTGAAATTTCAGGAAAATTACTTTGGGGAAGATGACATGTATATGGATTTTGAAGAAGTCATTTCTAGTCCTGTTCTGTCGCTGTCAACGTCATCCAGCTCAGGGTGGACTGCGGTGGGCATGGAGAATGAAAGTTCATCCAAGTCTATCCACCCACTGAGTTTGCGTCCCTGGGATATTACTGTTCTCATCAACTTGTACAGAGTCCATGGGCGTCTTCCTGTTGTGAGTACTTATACTCTGAAGTGGATTATAAGATTCAGCAGTCAGGAAAGTCGGTGACACACACTTTCATTTGTAAAATTTAGATTTTGAGACCTGTCTTCAAAGAGCTGCTTTATGATTTTCTTCACAATCATTAGTCTTTTTCTTTTCTGGTTCTCTGCTTTGACCTCATCAAAGGCCTCATTTGCATTTCTGTGTAACTTTAAATTCATGGATTTATAGTAAACCAATGACTATACTGGTTATACCAGAATTAAATATCTTAGCCTGTTTCCAAGTCCAGACCACTTTGGGACCTTAGGTGGATCAGCTGTAAAGTCAGGGTTCAGGCTTGGTCCTGGAGGTGGTATTGGGTCTAGCACAGGTTCCTGGTTCACTCTGTAGAGACCCTTGGGGCTAACTTGGAATAAGGCATCAATTCCCAAAGGACCCAGACCTGCCATACAGCAGACTAGGAGGATGGCACTAGTTCCTCTGCCTATCTGATGCAAGTACCACATCATGTTCTAGGACTGAAGAAGAGACATCACTAAGGCAGGCTAGGCTCTCTCAGTGCTAGCTAGCAAACCTAAACCTCTTACTGGGATACAGGCAGGTTTTTTTTTTTTTAATTCACTCTACCTAATGTTCTGACTGGAATATAGGCAGATTTTTAGTTTTTATTTAAACTCACTATTTTTGAAAAATAATATCTTAATCATATAATTCATTTTGTGCATTTCTTTGGTCTTGATATTTTCTGTCTTGTTTACATTCTTTTGTTTGACTTTAGCATGGAACTACTGATGGTCCTGAGTGCCCCACAGCTTTCTTGGAAAGGCTGTGTTTCGAAATGAAGAAAGGATTTAGGGAGACCATGCTGCAGCTTGTCCTCTCACCGCTGACTGTGTTTGTCAGTGATAACTATCAGGTAATGTGGATGTGACAGAACCTCAGTTTATGCAAAATAGCATTTGAGGTAGAGACTTGAACAGTTCTAGAAGTTGTATGAATATGTATGGGAGAGAATCATTTCCAGACTTTTTCTATACTTACGTGATCTCAAGTATTATATTTTATTTATTAATTTAGAATATTTGGCTGTGCTCACAGCTTATTTCTGGTTCTGTGCTCAGGGGTCACTCCAGGAAGGGCTTGGGAGATTTTATGTGTGCCATGGATCAAACTTGGGTTAGACATGCAAGGCAAGTACCTTAGCAACTGTACAATCTCTCTCGAGTACCTTAGCATCTGTACTCGCTCTCTGACCCAGCTTAGAAATTAGAAGTAACACTTTGTAATATACATATGGGAGGGAAAATTGTATAAAGTGTTGTTAGGTTCTGTTGAAAATCTTCGTAGTGATTTATTTTAACTAGTACCAGAACTAGCTAGCACATAATCTCCTTACATATGAGTGACTTTTTCTTTAGATTGAACACTCTTACCATATACTTTTTAATTTCTTCAAGATACTCAGTAAAGTATCCAGACTGCAGGAGGGAATATGTCCATTTTTAAGCTCAGGCCTACCTGGGGCCAGCTTACCATAGCACATTGACACTGGCACATACCATTGGTGGCTCACACCGAATGTAGTTTAATTACACAAATTACAGCAATGTCACTGTGTTAACCTAATGCCCCTTTACACCACCCTGACACTTGGAGAAGAGTACCATGGGTTAATGCTCCAGATCTAGATCAGGAATGAGATTAGGATCTCCACCGTTGGGGCAGAATCCTGCCACCTGTCTTGAAAGGGCAGTTCAGGAGAAGGAAAGGACTTTGCTTAGTACTCAGTCCAGTGCCTCAGGACTATTTTATTGTGCAGGTAAGCATGATGAGGAAGGATCTTATGGGGGATTCCAGGACAAAGGGGGCACCTGCCCTCCCAAAGCAAAAGCAGGATCACCTGCACCCTTGTTTGTATGATTTCTTCTTGACTCTTCTCCCACCAAGCTGTCTTTGGTTTCACTTTCACTCAGTCTCCAAAGTTGTTGGATTTGAATTGTTACCCTAAGGAGTGTGTACTGAGTGAGTCTGTGGGTTGTGTTTGAGATGGTAAGTGCTAGGTGTGTTCACACTTTTAACTTGGCAAATAAAATTTGTCTTTGGAATATTTGCTGCTTTTCAATAGTGAATTTGGAAATTATTCTCTGTGAAACAAGTAATTTTTATATTTATTTAATTCTCAAAATGTACTTAAGAGTTTCTTCATTTTATGATCTTCATAATATTTACTCTTCCCTGTTTTTCTTTTTAATATCAATCTCATGATCTGTATTTCTCCACGAAATATTGCCTCTTTCTTCCCCGTGAGCTCTATACTGTTATTCGTCGATTGCCTCGAGCAGGCCCCAGTAACGTCTCTTTCATCCTAGCCCTGAGATTATATTCAAGGCTCTTTAGGAGAATGAGACCCATCATTGTTACTGGTATTTGGCATATTTGGTACGCCACGGGGAGTTTGCCAGACTCTGCCCTGTGGGCAGGCTACATTTGATAGCCTGAAAGTTTGTCCAAAGTAGAAATGAGATAATAAGATGTCATAAAAAGATGTTGTGATAAGATGTTGCACGGCCGTGAATGCGGCTGCGCGGTTCCAGGAGCTGGATTTTATAGTCTCTGAGTCTTGGCCGCTGATGGGATTACACGGCGCCAGGGGACCAGGTGGTGGGTGTGACCCCCGCCTACTGGAATTTGGAGGATCTGGGTGGAGGATGCTCAACTCCAATCCGAGTAGCTCTATACTAATTCCTTTTATTCATTGATGCAGTTACAGAGCAGAGATGTGGTATTTGGGGGAATGGAGGTGTGATGACTGCCAGTGATGATGATCATCAGACATGGTGCTCCTATATGCAAACCACATCTCTAGCCCCTTAAGCCATCTCCTTAACCCTGAGATGTGTGTTCTTTTTAGGGCTTCACTAGCGTGCTTTGTGGTTGGGCTCTGTGGATGTCACTGAAGATGGTTACTGAGACCACTTATGGGTGTGAGGTTCAGTTTGGAGCTATGGATCCTGACGTCTTTCTTCTGTCCCTGGGAGAAAAGCCCCAGCAGTTGTACTGGTTTTCCTGTACATCTGTAGTCTGACTCTTATGTTTCAGCAGCGACCGCCTGTGGATGAGGTACTTAGGGAAGGCCACATCAACTTGTCTGGACTGCAGCTGAGAGCGCACGCCATGTTCTCTGCAGAGGGTCTTCCCCTGGGAAGTGATTCCTTGGAATATGCTTGGCTGATTGACATACAGGCTGGAAGCCTTACAGCCAAGGTCACAGCACCACAGGTGGGGCCCTTAAATGACTGACATTCTTTTACTTTTCTTCCCACACCCCTGATGAGATGTAGTGGATTACAATTTTTGCATTCAAAGAGATGTTTAATGACCAGGCTACCCTTTACCATTTGGATGACTTTACCATTTGGATGATCAGCCTTCTTTCAGAATTTTCTTAGCAATTGCATGAGTTAGATACAGGTTTGTTATAATTAACATTCTTTGGTGTAAAGTTATATAGTTCTGTGTGATACTTCCAAGATTTTGAATTTACTCAGAACTATTCCGGAAATCAATTTATGTATTAAAATTTTGTAATTGACTCGCCACTGATAAAACACTCTTTTTCCACTTACAGAATAATTTCTAAGAATTTTCCTTTTTAAAAAATACTTATAAAATATTTATGTCAGAGCTAAAAATAGTGTTCATGATATTATGAAGCAGATAATGCCCACAAGCCAAATAGCATCACTTTGTCCGTAGAACTTTGGTTTTTGGTGTAAGAAATAAGCAGTGCATGGAGAGGTGGGCATCCCTGGTCTGCAGTGGTCCAGGTGATTCTTTTGACATCTTCACCACTACTTCTACACCCAATCCCCACCAATCCACTTAATCTTTAGAAGTGTCAGAACTTTTGAGCTTTGTTGATATTCTTGGTTAGTTTTGTTCTGACACTTTTCAATGTGCTAACAGTGCTCTCAACTTGTTACTGCTCATTTGTAGCTGGCCTATCTTCTGGAGTGGGGGCAGACCTTTGTTTTTCATGTGGTATGTCGGGAGTATGAACTGGAAAGACCAAAATCAGTAATCATTTGTCAGCATGGAATTGACCGTCGGTTCTGTGACTCCAAGGTATGTTAACAATATGTTGGCATTGTAAGCATTATGTATTGTTTAAGTAAAAGGTTGAAACACCAGCTTTACTTAAGTATGTGAAGCCATGAAATAAACTTTTTAGTCCAGTTTCTTAGATTAATACTTTGCTTTTCAGAGTTTTAACCAGTTATCTTATTCTGTTTAAAATACAGAATATTATTAAAACATACTTTAGTTTTATATTTTTATGTTCATTCAGAGAGTGGAATTTGCATCTTTTTTGTTGTTGTAGCTGTTATTTTTGGTTTTTGGGTCACAGCTGGTGGTGCTCAGGGCTTATTTCTGGCTCTGCACTCAGAGATCACTCCTGAGGGTGGGGTTCAGAGGACCAGTGGATTGCCAGGGATCAGATCTGGGTCTGCTGTTTATAGCAAGTGCCCTACCTATTGTATTGTACCTATGGTACCCATTGTACCAATCTCCAGACTTGTGAAATACTGTTTTGAAGTAAATACTCTCTCTAATGAATTTGGGAAACTGGTAGCACTTGTGCGTGTGTGTGTGTGCGTGTGTGTGCGCACGCGCGCGCAAGGAGGGTAATATGGGGGTGGGAGGTAAGTGCTCAATTTGGAAATTCTTGAAAATCTGGCAATTATTTTAAAAAAAGCAAACCAATAATTGGCCATAATTCTACAGGACAGTTAATTATTGTTTAGTGTTCTTTCTTTTCTAATTTCTTTCTTTGTGTCTTTCCCCCACTTTGCCATGCAAACTGTTTTTGTTTGCATGTTGCTATGAATTGAAAATGATCCATCCTGCTTTTAATTTTAAAATCACCTGTAATCTCTATTTTTTAACAATAGGGGATTATCTGAAATTTGTGATAAAATGATTTTTCTTGTTATAAACACATCTGTAGACTCTAGGGGATTAATTAGTTCTTTCATGCATACATTTTAGACAGTTCATTTCTTACAGATAATTCACACATGCTTGGAGGTATCTTCCCTTCCTGTTTATCTCTCTTCCCTTGTCCCTAGCCCTTGCTCTTTTTTAGGCTCAAAACTTTTATGTTGCATTAGAATTTAAGGTGTTAACTTTATTGAGGTCTATTTTACTTAGAATAAATTTACCCTTACTAACTTTTATGTTGCATTAGGATTTAAAAATTAACTTTATTGACTTAGAATAAATTCACCATCTTCAAGTGGTTTAGTTTGAATTTTGGCAAATATCAGACACTCCAGCAGTGGGATCACATTTATGGTGAAAGTCTTGGTTTTATCTCATTCTTCGTGTCCCTTTACTGTCAGTTCTGATCCATGTTCAAACTCTGTTTGTTGTGGAGGAATGAGTTGATGTGGACCTCTGACCATAATGCTAGATACCTAACTCTGCCACTTTTGAGCAGACAGAGCGGGGAGGTTCCATCTCTCAGGAAATTTGTAAAGAGTACATTTTCTTTCAACCTAAACTTGTGCAGTGGATGTATTTGTGCTTCTGCATGAAAATAAATATGTATTTTCCTTTGTATATTATGGAAAGTTCATTACAGCTTTAAACTTGCATGTAATTCTTATAAACTTGTAGCATTTTTTCTTAACAGTATACTTTGTTATTCTTTATTAATATTATTAATAACAGATATCTGCTAGTTTTGACTTGCTACTTTTGTTTTGAATAGGAAAGGAATATATTTATAATTATTTTTCTAGTTGTTAACTCATTAAATGATGCTGCTAATCTCACTTATGATAAAAAATGAAATTTAACCAAGAAATTTTTTTAAGAGTTCACATGTGGGACCAGAGAGATGATATAGTGGTAAGGTGCTTGTCTTGTATTTGGCCAACCTAAGTTTGATCCCTGTATCCCATATTGTCCTCCAAGCTATACCAACAGTGTTCCCTGAGCACTGAGCCAGGAATAAGCCCTGATTATAGCTTGCTGTGCCATAAACCCCTGCTTACACACACACACACACACACACACACACACACACACACACACACAGACAGTTTTTGCTTATTTAAGTAAAATAATTTGTTTCAAAAAATGACCTCATGATGAAGAATTAAATACCTTAATTAAGATTAAATTAAGTTAATCTCTTTTTATTGTAGCTGAGTTGTATTCCTGGGCCTTGCCCAACTTCAGATGATCTGAAGTATACGATGACTCGCTTAGCAGTAGATGGAGCTGATGTTTATATTGTGGAGCATGGCTGTGCTACAAATATAAAGGTACATATTAATAATTTCCTTTTTACTATAGTTGCCTTCTCACTGACTCTATTCTAGTAGCTTCTTATATTGTGGGTAGTGACCTCATGTAGGCTTGGCAGCCAAATGTGGATGTTGTGAGAAGTTTGTTTTAAAATTTATGATTTACTGGTAAATGTTTGATTTATTTCTCCTTTATGTGTACTGGGTATCATGTGAAAATATCTCGGGTAGATAGGAGTAGCGAGTGGAAAAGTTTAAGAAGCCCTATTCTAGAAGCTAGCTTTCTGTTTCTTATTTCTGTTATCTTTAAAATGGCCTCATAGAGTATTTTCACTGCTTTTTTTTTTCTTCCACTGATTATAGAAGTTTAGTGGCTGGGATATACATTAATAATGCATTTAAGGGATTTTATTTAGAAAGTCTTTAGATTTTAGTTTTTTTTTTTTTTAATTTTTATTGGTGAAACACCATGAGGTACAGTTGTAGACTTACAAATTTTCCTGCTTGGGTTCAGATATACAGTGATCGAGTACCCATCCCTCCACCAGTGCCCATTCTCCACCACCACTGATCCCAGTATCCCTCCCCCCCCCACTCCCCACCCCCCCATCCCACCCTGCCTCTGTGGTAGGGTACCCTTTTGTTCTCTCTCCCCTTTTGGGTGCTGTGGTTTGCAAAAGAGGCACCAAGTGTCAATCATGTTCAGTCTATAGCCTGCTTTCAGCATGCATGCTAGGGGAAAAGGCATCTCAGATAGAGAAGGGAGCACTAGATTTTAGTTTTTAACTGTGGCTGTAAGGGGGAGAAGGGAGAGGCTTAAGGAAATTCTTGGCAGTGTACTTCCTCCTGGTGGTTTTGGGAGGGGAAAGCATACAGCATGGGGGTTGACTTTAGGGCCGTGTCCTGCCCTGTGTGCACCATAACTCTAGTCCTGCCTTCCTGGTTTTTTTTTTCCCTGTCTGGGTTCTGGAAATATTCCTTTGCCATCTTTGATTTATTAGTTACTCATAAAACTAAGCTTTGTTCAGTTTCTGTCCTTTCTTTAAATTATCACCCTTCTAACTTTCCTTCTCTAGTTTTCCTTTAGATTTAAGTTCTTTTCTTTTCATCTGTTTTTCTTTTTAAATCAGTGAACATCTGTTTGTATCCTGCTGCATTTTTATTTCCACTTTGGACTTTTCTTCCTCTCTCTTTCATGCATTTGAAGTAATTACCTATTCTGTATTTTATTATAAATTGCTTAAAAATATAGAAGTTACAATTTGTTTCCTTCTCTTTGTTCAACTTTAGATGGGTGCTATTCGAGTTGCAAACTGTAATCTCCATAATCAATCGGTTGGGGAAGGAATAAGTGCAGCAATTCAGGATTTTCAAGTGAGACAGTACATTGAGCAATTAAATAATCCCAGAGTTGGACTGCAGCCTACAGTTTTACGAAGGGCCTATTGGCTTGAAGCTGGGTCAGCTAATTTAGGACTTATTACTGTTGATATCGCATTAGCTGCTGATCATCATTCTAAACATGAAGCGCAAAGGCATTTCCTGGAAACTCATGATACCCGAACTAAGAGGTAAGTGCGGGTTAACAATGGCTATAGAAGGACCAGAGATAGGACAGGGGTTAAGGCACTTGATTTACATACAGCCAATCCTGGTTTAATTATTGGCACTACATAGGCCCCCCTCAGTCCTCCCACTCCTATCCAAGCCCAAGTAATCCCTATAGGGGTTACTCCATAGCATAGAGACAGAAACAGCCCTTGAGCACTGCAGGGTGTTGCCCCCAAACCAAATGAAAAAGAGCCTTGTCTTGAAATTACTAGTAATTAGAAAGGAAACTCTACTGTGAGCACTGGAATAAAGTACCTGATATAGCTATAGTTCAGCTCGTTGAACATAGAGGACTCACTGTTTCACAGACATGTTGTAGGAGTCATTTCATGTGATGGTATGTTTTGGCAGAAATGATGTTTTCTGATGTGTTTCTAGGTCCATATTCTATGTTTTAACAGTGAAAGGAATTTAGATTACTGTTTTCAAAAAATGTTTTGGAAAGTTGGTATACTCTCTCTCTCTCTCTACTTATATCCCACTCAGTCTTTTTCTCCAAGCCTCACTTCCAGTTTTTCCTCCCTAGAAGCCTCTTATCACCTCTCCCTGCCTCCTCTGCAGCCTTCTCAGCTGCCCAGAGACTTAAGTGCTTTAGCTCCAGTGAGAAAAGATCAGATCAACCTTTTCACAATCAGAAGGGCTCTGATTAAAATGACAGTGACTTTTTCTACCCCAGTAACTCTCAGTGTAAGGTTAATTTACAGTTATTATTATTTTTAAAATTTATTTTAATGAATCTCCGTGAGATATAGTTACAGACTTACAAATTTGCATGACTACGTTTCGGTCATACAATGTACCCATCCCTCCACCTGTGCTCATTCTCCATCACCAATAATTCCTGGTTATTTTTTAAAAACAAAGGCGAGGCTAGAGAGACAGTATAGTAATCCAGATATGCAGTCAACCAGGTTCAATCCCTGGCTTCCCATAAGGTCCCCCAAGCACTATCAGGTGTGATTCCTGACTACAGAGCCAGGAGTAACGTATGGCCCAAAAACAAAAAACAAACAAAGATAACTACTACAATCCAGCCACAGTGAATATGTCATCTTTTTACTATTTTAAATGTATTTTTATACTTCATTTATTGTTTTCATATTTTAAAAGTCTTTCATGTTTGTAATAAACTTATCCAAAACATCTGCCCTTATGATGTAAATTTTTATAAAGTTCCTTTTAAACACTAATAATATATCACCAAAAAGATATATGAGGACAGTGAGATAGTAGAGCAGGTAGGTCACTTGCCTTGCACAAAGCTGACCCGAGTTTGATCCCCACACCCCTGTATACTTAGTCTCCTCAGCACTGCCAGTAGTGATTACAGAGCCAGGAGTCAGCCCTGAGTGTGGCCAGTTGTGGCACCAAAATCTAAAACAAAAGCAAACAAAAAATGAAAAAATACATTGTACTTAGCCACTACCCTCCTAGTTTGTTTCAGTATTTCCCACTGTAAATAGTAAAAGGGCAAAATTATTGGTACATAAAAATCTCTATAGAGGGACTGGAAAGAAAGAGCACAGGGGTTAAGGAGGACATAAGACTCGCCATCATGCTATCCTGGGAACTACATGTAATTCCCTGAGCACTGCCAGGAGTGACCCATGAGCACCACTTAGTTGTGGCACAAAAACTAAAAATCTTTCTTTATAGGACCAGAGAAAGAGTTTAGGGGACTCAGTACAAGAGAAAGATAGACAGAGAGAATAAATTGTCTGCCATAGTGGTAGAGTGAGGGTAGAGGAGGGAAATTGGGGGACAACGGTGGTCGGAAATTCACACTTGTAAAGGGACTTATATTGGAACATTGTACTGAAACCCAATCATAAACAACTATGTAACTGTTTATCTCATGGTGATTTAATTAAAAATAAAAAAGGATTCAGTACATTGTTTTCATGCAGAAGGCCTGGATTCACTCCTTGGCACCACATGTCCCTGGAGCATCACTGGGAATTGCCCCCAATACTGCCAGGTGTGGCTCCCAAACCAAGACAAGTTTTTTTTCTCTTCTATGCTTGCTGGGCATTTCCTTCGAACAGTTTTCTAAGGGGGTCTAATCAGCCTTGAAATGGAGACTTTGGGTGTGTGTTCCTAAAGCACTTTCCAGAATAGGTTCTAGATGGTTTTGGCAAAGGTCAGGTTCATAGTGCATGGTATTTCCTCCACGTGTTTTCTCGTAACTGGAAGGATTCCTTTTTGCCTCATTTGTCTCTTCTTTATTTCAGAGATTTTTTTAAAAATGTTTGTTGACTTTTAATTTTCTCCTTTGTGAATTTGATGTTTATTTATTTCTTGATATCTTTCAGTTAGTTTGAGAAACCTGAAATCTTATATGGCTGAGTGTAAAAGCCCTTGTGTAGAGAATTTTGTTTAGAAATTTGGTGTTCCTCAATGGAATACTATGCAGATGTTAGAAAAGATAAAGTCATGAAATTTGCATATAAGTGGACCAATATGGAGAGTATCATGCTAAGTGAAAAGAGTCAGAAAGAGAGGAACAGACATGGAAGTACTGCACTCATTTGTGGAATATAAAGTAACAGAATGGGAGACTAGCACCCAAGGATAGTAGAGATAAGAACCAGGAGGATTGCTCCACAACTTGGAATCCAGCCTCACATGCGGGGGGGAAAGGCAGCTCAGATAGAGAAGGGACCACCAAGTAAAGGACGCTTTGAGGGCCGCTCGGGATAGGAGATGTGTGCTGAAGGTAGACTATAGACTGAACACGATGACCGCTTATTATAAACCACAACACCCAAAGGAAGAGAGAGAGTAAAAGGGAATGCCCTGCCACAGAGGCCTGTTGGGGGGGGGGGGCGGGGATGGTGAGAGACGGATACTGGGAACATTGGTGGTGGAGAATGGGCACTGGTGGAGGGATGGGTACTCGATTATTGTATTCGTTAAACGTAAGCACAAAAGTTTGTAAGTCTGTAACTGTATCTCATGATGATTCATTAAAAAATAGAAATTAATTAAATATATTAAAAGCTGAAAGACTGAAAAAAAAAATTTGGTGTTCCTTTTGGGTACGCCAGGCATGGGATCTCATCTTTGGGATTTATGAAGAGACTGGAGGGAGATTCAGCCCCACCTGTAATCTCATAAGTTATCTGCCTCTGTTCCGGGCGCCTGCACAAATACCTTTCTGTGTCTGTGCCTTTCCAGAATATTTACTGGAGCGATAGCACAGCAGGTAGGGTGTTTGCCTTGCACGCACCGACCCGGGTTTGATTCCTCCATCCCTCTCGGAGAGCCCAGCAAGCTACGAGAGTATCCCGCTTGCACAGCAGAGCCTGGGAAGCTCCCCGTGGCATATTCGGTATGCCACAAACAATAACAAGTCTCACAATGGAGACGTTACTGGTGCCCACTCGAGCAAATTGATGAACAAAGGGAGGACAGGACAGTTTATAAACTGAATTTGAATGTCTGGTTTTCATATTTGCTCCATTTAAACTTGTTTGTTTTTATTTGGGGGCTATGCCAGCAGTGCTCAGGGTTTATTCCTGGCTCTGCACTCAGGGATCACTCCTTTGGTGTCAGAAATCAAACTTGGGTCAACTACATACAGGCAAATGCCCTGTCTGCTATTCTATCTCTCTGGGCCTCAGATGCTTTTTTCCCCCTTTTTTAAAATATATGCTATATTTTCATTAACGTTTCTACTTAATCCTATCCAACCATCCTGAAATTTTTTTTTTCCTAAGAAAGTCCAAATGCTTAAAATGATATAGAACAGTAAAAATAAAACTTACATTATTTTAAAAAATATTAGTATAGAAGCCAGAGCAATAGTATAGTAAGTATGGCACTTGCCTTACACATAGCTGACCTAGGTTTGATCCCCAGCATCCCATACGGCTCCCCAAGAGTACTGCCATGGCAGAGCCAGGAATAACCCATGAGCAACACTGGGTGTGACCCCCTTCAATTTTCTTTTAACATTTGATTATCTTGTAAATGCTTTTTATTTCTTAGAGTTTTGTGTTCTCTTTATTTGTGCTATGTTTTGTCTAGGTTGTGGTTTTTGTGGCCGGATGATACCCTGAGGAATAAGAGATGCAAGAACAAGTGTGGTTGTCTTGGTGGCTGTAGGTTCTTTGGTGGCACAGGAACAGGCCTTGACTTCTTCCGACTAGAAGAACTGACCCCATCTAGCAGCTCTGCCTTCTCCAGCACAAGTGCAGAGTCTGACATGTATTATGGGCAGTCACTGTTACATCCTGGAGAGTGGATCATTACTAAAGAGATTCCCAAAGTTGTAGAAGGTAATATAGTGCGTGGTTACTTGTGCTTGGTTCTAGTGGTCTCGTCCCTTGGCACCGAAGGGGAGGTTGGTGCCAGTCCGTTCAGAGTAATGTTTTCTGAGCAGCTTTACAGGCCAGGTTCAGTACAATGTGCATTTATCTTATACTCTATGTGACTGAGGTCAGAGAAGAACAAGAAGTTTTAGAATTATATGAACAGGAGTTAGACTGCTTGGGACTCCTATTATTAACTTGGGCAATTTCACCAGCCAAGTTTATTTGAAATATTTCCTTATTTATCATCAGTTTCCTAGTGCCCAGCTTCCAGAGATATGCTTAGGAGTAGCTGTGCTCAAGTCTACAGTTATTTAAGAGGAAAACTCATTAATAATAACCATTGGCAGCTATATTTTACCAATAGTTTTGGTAAGATAGTCTCCTTGTGATTAAAACTGAGCATACGTGGTAGAGAAATGTCTTTACTTAGAGCTTGTTGGGTAAATACATGAGTTTGATATAAGTAGGGACAGGTGACTTAGTGTGTTATCTAGAATTTTTCTCTAAGCACCTTATGAGTTAAATACAGTATTCACTGCATAGGTTGCTGTACACTCAAGAAATAAAAGGTAGGGGCCTGAGAGATGGTCCTTTCTGTTTGTCAAGTTCTCTGGAACTTTTCAAATGGTTAACAAAAGGAAGTTTATTATTTTTATACTTAGAGTCTGCGTTTCTATGGGAAGTATATTGCCATGTGATCGATGTTTGTTAACTGTTCAGTGATTTCCCTAAAAACAGGGGCTTGACATAAGTTGTCATACAATTTTTTGTGTAGGTAATCTGAACAGCTTGAAGAGGAAAGAATGGGAAGCCAAGTCTGTGGGTCTTGAAGTGGAGAAGAAAGCGCAGCACCTCAGCCTGCAGGTGCCCTTACGATCACACAGCTCCTCCTCCTCCTCTGAGGAGAACAGCAGCTCCAGTGCTGCCCAGCCCTTACTGCCGGGGGAAAAGGGAAGTCCTTCATCCACTGCTGAGGACCACCTGACTCAAACAGAATTCCTGCATGGAGCCAGGAGAGAGGGTGGTCAAGTTGGGTGAGTATTCAGTAAGAGTTAGACCCAATTATAGTTGCTTGAAACTATGACAGTAACACTTCTCTCAACTCAACCACTAGACGAGTTTACCTCCTCCTGAACATACAGAATTTGGGGGTGTGCTGGGAATGAACCTAAGCCTCCTTCATGTGAAGCATGCATACTCATTGGCCCATGAATATGCCCATTTGTTTTTGTCTTTGTGATAATAAAATAATAAGTATGTAGTCATCCAGGTTAAAGGAAACACAGAGCTATGTAATGAAGGTGATCTTTCTGCTTGCAGGTGTCTGCCACTGCATTTTAGTTGCTGAGTAAGACAGTTTTCCTCTGGTCCCTTCCAGACATTATTGTTCACTTTCCTTTAGACTTTTCTGACTTGTCCTCCTGAGGTCTCCTTCTCAGGCTCCTTTTTTTTTTTTTAAATGTTCCAACACCAGTCTCTTTATTTTATTATTATTATTATTATTATTATTATTTATTAGTGGGACACCATGAGGTACAGTTGTAGACTTACAAACTTTTTATTTGGGTTTCAGTTATCAGTGTATCACTGTCCTCCCGTTGTTCGTCGATTTGCTCGAGCGGGCCCAGTAACATTGTGAGATTTGTTACTGTGTTTGGCATATCGAATATGTCAAGGGTAGCTTGCCAGGCTTTGCCCTGTGGGTGAGATGCTCTCAGTAGCTTGCCGGGCTCTCCGAGAGGGAGTTTCAGTTATACAATGATCAAGTACCCATCCCTCTACCAGTGCCCATTCTCCACCACCAATGAACCTAGTTGCCCTCACAGCCCCGCATCCCTCCCTACCCCACCCCACCTCTATGGCAGGGCATTCCCTTTTGCTCCCTCTTTCCTTTAGGGTGGTGTGGTTTGCAATAGAGGTATTGAGTGGCCATCATGTTGGTCTGTAGTCTACTTTCAGCACACGTCTTGCATCCCGAGCGAGTCCTCCAAACACCCTTTACTTAGTGTTCCGTTCTCTGAGCTGCGTTTCCCCCCAGTATGTGCTGCCAAGCCATGGAGCAGACCTCCTGGTACTTATCTCAACTATTCTTGGGTGTTCATCTCCCATTCTTTTACTTTATATTTTTCAGATGAATGCAGTCTTTCTATGTCTGTCCCTCTCTTTCTGACTCATTTCACTTAGCATGATACTTTCTATGTAGAACCACTCATTTACAAATTTCATGACTTCATCCTTTCTAACTGCTTTATAGTATTCCACTGTGTAGATGTACCAAAGTTTCTTTAACCAGTCATCTGTTCTTGGGCACTCGTTTTTTTTCTAGATTTTGGCTATTGTGAACAGTGCAGCAATGAACATAGAAGTGCAGATGTCATTTCGACTATACCTTTTTGCCTCTCTGGGATATATTCCCAGGAGAGGAGTGGTATTGCTGGATCAAATGGGAACTCAATTTCTAATTTTTTTTTTTTTTTTTTTTTTTTTTTTTTGCTTTTTGGGTCATACCCGGTGATGCTCAGGGGTTACTCCTGGCTCATGCACTCAGGAATTACTCCTGGCGGTGCTCGGGGAACCATATGGGATGCTGGGACTCAAACCTGGGTCGGCCATGTTGGCTGCATGCAAGGCAAACGCCCTACCCACTGTGCTATCACTCCAGCCCCTCAATTTCTAATTTTTTGAGAATCGTCCATACTGTTCTCCAAAAGGGCTGAACCAGTCGGCATTCCCACCAGCAGTGGAGGAGGGCCCCATTCTCACCACATCCGTGCCAAAACCAGTTGCTTTTGTTCTTTTGGATGTGGGCCAGTCTCTGTGGTGTGAGATGATGTCAACACCAGTCCCTTTAGCAGTATCCACTTCCCTCCAGTATTGTCTCCAATTACCCTGCTTAACCCCAGGCTGCCTTTATGACAGGCACTTTATTCCTCCTTTCACCACGCTGTTCTCCAGAGTGAACACTTCCTCCACTAATGTCAGTCTCTTTCCCTGACTGATGCCTTTGGGCATTTGTTATTAAATCCCCAAATGAGAGATCATTTTGTGTCTGTTCTTCTTTCTCTAACTTCACTCAACATGTTACTTTACATAGCAGCAAATTGTTTGCCTTTTTTCGCTCTCATCTTCCACCTCCTACAGACTGCCATCTGTCAAAGATACCTTCTTCAGGACATCTGCCCTTGGTCTCCACCCCCTTTGCACTGTGTCCCTTGACAAACTCAGTGCCTGTTTAGCTTCAGTGCTCATCTGTGACGAACACATTTGTTTATTTTTAATATAAAAAGTGTTTTAATTTGGTGCATACCTGGTGGTGCATGGGGCCACCTTTGACTTCTTCCTCCTCTAGTTTCTCTTATTTATTCAAAATCTTTGTATGTTTTATTGGACAAGCTTGTAAAGGATGTGGAAAAATCCTTGTAGCAGGCATTCATGTCCACAAATTAAAGATAGAAGATTATACCCTACTTTTTTTTTAAAAAAAGTTTTTTTTTTAAAGTCTTTTTATTTAGTCACTGAAATTATAAAGTTACTTATGGTTGGGTTTCAGGCATACAGTGTTTCCATGCTGATCCTGTTACCAGTGTCCACTTACCTCTACCAATGCACTTACCCCCTCCCTTCACCCCTAGTTTGCTCCCCACTCTGCTTTTACAAAAAAGAAAAAGAACATTTTGCAGTGTGGTTTATGGTACTGTTGAAGATGGGATTTCATACACTTGACCGTCTTTCAGCACCACCTCCTCCTCTCTGTTGAATGTTTCCCTTCACCATAAATGTTGCCCCTTCCCTGTCCTATCCCTTAGCCTCCTCAAGTTTCTGTTGTATTAAGCTGCCTCAGTTTATGTTGAACCTATGGGTTATGAACACATACTCTTATTTTGCTACTTTGTACATATGTATAAATTATTAAATTTCCCTTTATTTGTAAAATAGTTAAAATTTCTCAAAGGATTTGATAATTGTTTCTCATTGTGTTTCAACTTCATGATGTGGCATTCAGTAATAACTTTGTTTCCTGTTTCAGTGTTCCTACAGAGATATCTGCTAACAGCCCCGTGTCTCCCAACAATCAGGACAAGTTGGTGGGTCAGTCTCCTCTGAGGTCTCCCTTGAAGCGACAGGCTTCAGTGTGTTCCACCCGACTTGGAAGCACCAAGAGCCTCACTGCTGCTTTCTATGGTGACAAACAGCCTATGACAGTTGGGGTCCAGTTTAGCAGTGATGTTTCTCGGAGTGATGAGAATGTCTTGGACTCACCAAAGCAGAGAAGGAGCTTTGGGTCTTTTCCATACACACCATCAGCCGACTCTAATTCATTTCACCAGTACCGATCCATGGATTCCAGCATGTCCGTGGCTGACAGTGAAGCCTACTTTTCCGCAGCCGAAGAGTTTGAGCCCATTAGCAGTGACGAAGGTCCTGGAACATACCCAGGGAGAAAAAGGAAGAAAAAACAGACTCAGCAGATGGACTATAGCAGAGGTTCCATATATCACAGTGTGGAAGGCCCTCTCACTGGCCACGGAGAAAGCATTCAGGATCCCCGAACACTGCCGTTCAGAGCCCACCCCTCACAGGCATCTTTTGTTTCTGCCTTGGGTGGAGAAGATGATGTCATTGAACATGTGTACGTCCTGGAAGGTGACAAAAGTGCAGAGATTGAGCATGTTCCTCCTCCAAAACCTGTGCTGAGCTGCTATCAGGCTCACCTGACCCAGTTCCAGGTGGCTAACTGGTCTGTGAAGCACCCAGCCACCAAGAGAACCTCCAAATCATCCTTGCACCGCCCACTTGATCTGGATACCCCAACCAGTGAAGAAAGCTCATCTTCCTTTGAGCATCTCTCAGTTCCCATTTTTAAGGTATCAGTGTTAGTTATTGCTTTGTAGTGATACATTTATTTAGAGAAATAGAAAAATTAAATGTTTTGAAAATTTTTCTCCCACTCATTTCAACTCCTGAGTGAGTTTTGGAAGTTCTAGTATTATATGTCACTGATTGATGAGTCATAGTATTGATTTTATACGTATATGCTTTATCAAATTGAGGGTTAGTTTTAAATTTGATTGCTACCCTGTCTTTATCATGCAGCCTCTGTCAACATTGTATTACGCTCTAATTACAATGAAGTATCTTAGAACCATTTTCTGTCTTAAAATTTTGGAATTTCTTTTTCCCTTTATTTAAACACTGTGGTTTATAGTTTTCATGATGCATTTGTTTAGGCATTCAGTATTCTCTAACACCAATCCCACTCTCAGTGTGACCTTCCCTCCACCATTGTGGCCCCTCAAGCCTACCCTCTTAGCAGGCACAAAGTGATTGGTTTTATATTGCTTGTTACAACAAAACGACTAATGGAATTATTTAAAAAAAATTGAACACCAAAAAAAAAAGTACTTTAGGGGGCTGGAGCGATATCACAGCGGGTAGGGCGTTTGCCTTGCACACGGCCGACCCGGGTTTGATTCCCAGTATCCCATATGGTCCTCCAAGCACCACAAGGAGTAATTCCTGAGTGCATCGCCGGGTGACCCCCCCCCCAAATACTTTCATAAAAGAAAATTTGTGAAAACTGCTATATATATCTCACCATGGGATCATTAAGTCCTGGTCTGAGGATTTATTAAAGCTGTTTGTGGCTAGTTGAGCCTTCTGTGTTGCTGTTTTGCTTCATTGAGTTTAGTTGACTTCTACTGACTTTCCCCTTTAATTTGGTGTGCTCCTACTGGAGTATCAGTATTGTGGAATTTGGAAATGTTACAAACTCCAGGATATTTAACTGGGCTGTGAGTTTACATGGTGACAGTTATAGGAGGTGGGAGAGGCTCCTCCGCGCACCCCCCTTCCACCCCAGAAGACCCCAGAATTCTCAGCCTATTGAGTGGTGTAGTTAGAAGTTTTGGTAGTTTAGCATCTCTGCAGAGTTTAGTTATGAGGCAGTGGAGTGAGGCTGTTGGTATGGCTGCAGCTATGGAGTGTCAGTATGGCTGTTGGCGCTTCAGCAGGGTAGGGACTTGGCCTGCCCCTCTCCCGAGAGCACCCCAGAGTTTTCAGCCAGGAGGCCAGTGTACCTGTTAATTGAGGATAGCTGATCCCTTTTGAGACTTAATCTGTAAAGTTTGGCCAGTGGATGAGTCTCATGACAGTAGTATGGGATGCGGGTCTGGAAATATTTTTAGTAGGGGTGTTCTTTCTACTACTCTATCTTGTTTCTGTGCAAAGCTGATTCTGTTTTCTTTACAAATCTGACATCTTATAATTTTGTAAGAATTGGTTGTCTGCTTTCTGTAGCATATTCTGTAAATCGTCCTTTTAGGAAAGCTAAACATCCCCAAATAAATTTAGTGGTAATAGTCAATATAAAAACTAGTTTTATAAAATTATAAACTTGCAAGAGAAATCCTAAAGATTTTTATTTTTTATTTTATTTTATTTTATTTTGCTTTTTGGGTCACACCTAGCAATACATAGGGGTTACTCCTGGCTTATACACTCAGGAATTACTCCTGGTGGTGCTCAGGGGACCATATGGGATGCTGGGAATCAAACCCAGGTTGGCTGCATACAAGATAAATGCCCTACCCGCTACCTGCTGTGCTATCGCTCCAGCCCCAAGATTTTTATTTTTATAGATGAAGATTATACTTATAATGTCTAATGGAACTAGTGGAACTAATCGACAGTAGCATAAAGGAATCTTGTGTGATTCCTTTAAGTGCCAAGTGCTGATGAACTAACTACTTCTGCCATTGGGTACAGGTGTTGGATGTCCTATGACGAGAGTGCAGGGCTGGAGGCAGTGATAGGTGAATGGGAAGATAGACTCGAAGTTAGTAATAATCTTATGGAGAGAACTAAAGGGCTTTAGTGGTGCCAATGTTCTAACCAGGACTCAAACCTTGTGACTTAATCCCTATACTATTTCTCCAGTCTTGTAGTGGAACATTCTAAAGTGGCCATGTGGGGTGTTAAGAGAGACAGAAGGTGAAGCATTTCTGCAATAAACATTGAAGGAGAAAGAAATATGAGTGACAGTTGCAGAATTTTAGTTTTAAGTTTGTCCGCTTTCTTATCTTGCCCACAATAAATTGATAAGATTTAGGAGACTAGGGAAATAGTACAGTGCGTAAGGCTTTTGCATTGCAGGCACTGACGTGGATTTTGTTTCTGCCATATAATCCCATATACTCCCCGAGCAATACCAGGAGTAATTTCTGAGTGCAAAGTCAGGAATAACTCCTGAGCATCACTGGGTGTGACTCAAAAAGACCCCCCCCCCAAAAAAAAAGAAAAAAATTGGATAAGATTTTAAAATGTTTTCTTCATTCCATGAGAAAAATATGCCAGTGCATGAATTTTCCACTATCAAATTGAGTATAAATTAGCACCTAAGAATTAGAATTATTTTATTATATTCAATGACTAATTTCACTGTGCAATTATATATTTAAAGCAAATAGGGCATTTGTATTTTAGACAACTTCAAAAATATAAGATAGATGGAAAGAACATTTTTCTTCATTAAATAGAAATAACTGATTAGCTTATAAAGGGGCTCAACTCAGTTATTCAGGTATGTTACTTGTTGTCTTTTATGGGTACGCAGCACAATCTCACTTTTCCTACATACTCCTTTTCTGGGATGATTTTTTCTTTCCCATGTAAAAATTACACTAGGAGAAAACTCTCTAAAAGCTGCTTAGGAAAACTCAATTTAGAAAGTAGTCCTGGAGGGAAGACATATGACATTGGAATAGGCAATTTTAAGCTTTTTTTGTATTTATTTACTCACTGCAGGCCTGCCACATATTAAGTACATAGAGTGTCAGATTGACAGTTGAATATTTTTTCAATTAGTCTCTTAGTGTTTATGTTACATATCAGTCATATTAAGGTAATCTGGATATTCACAAATATTGGTTAGTAGCATAAAGTCAAAATTATTTAAAAGTTCTAGACTACAAGTAATGTCTTATATTCTAGGTCATCAAACAAGGACTTACTGCCAATTCCTTACTTGATAGGGGAATGCAACTTTCAGGATCAACATCAAAGTAAGTAAAAATTGTCTTCTTTCCTGACTTGAGGTGAGTGGTTTATTCTAAGGAATATTTTTCTTTCTTTGACTCGGTTTTATTTAATGAATAAATTTTTAAAAATAATTTGACTCTTGTCTATATTTCGGCTTTGACTTTACATTTAATGAACTGTCAGTATCATTTTCAGTAGACATAATATGCAAGCCATAACTTGGCTTTTCACGTTTTGAAACTGACAAGATTTTAGTATTATAATTTTTATAGTTTGAAAAAGTGGCATCAAGTAAAAACAGAATTTTCCCCATAATTTGGGGAAAGGGACCCAGCCCTGGCAACCTACCTCCACTACCCAACTGCCGCTACTCTCCAGGCAGCCGCATTATAAAACACTTTCTACCCATTTTCCATAATTATCACACTATATTTGATGGGGCTAAGACAGTAGGCAACAAATAATAGAGAGAAATATGTAAACACATGCCTCTTGGAGAGCTCGGCAAGCTACCGAGAGTATCCTGCCTGCACAGGCAGAGCCTGGCAAGCTCCTTGTGGTGTATTCGATATGCCAAAAACAGTAACGATAACAGGTCTTGTTCCCTTAACCCTGAAAGAGGGTCCAATCATTGGGAAAAGACGAGTAAGAAGAGGCTGCTAAAATCTCAGAGCTGATGGGGCTGGAATGATAGCACAGCGGGTAGGGCGCTTGCCTTGCACACGGCCGTCCTGGGTTCGATTCCCAGCATCCCATATGGTCCCCTGAGCACCGCCAGGAGTAATTCCTGACTGCATGAGCCAGGAGTAACCCCTGTGCATTGCCAGGTGTGACCCAAAAAGTAAATAAATAAGTAAAACCTCAGGGCCGAGAAGAATAGAGACATTACTGGTGCCCGTTCGAGTAAATCTGTGAACAGAGGGATGACAGTGATACAGTGAATTTGTTATGTTAACTGCCTGTGTTTTAGTATCTTGTTTTTCCTACCTTCAAAAGAATCTGAGACATTTAATATCTAGCCTAATTCCATGAAAAATTTCAGTTGTAACATAGTTTAAATGGTCACCTATGAAATGGAGGGTTGTCACTAGACTTCAGATGAGTTCTTCTCAACACTAGTAAGCAAGTCTTGGACTTCAGCCAGGTGTCTGAAAATTTGGCTCTTGTTTTCCATCCACTTCTGGTAGTGCACAAATGTCTACCTTGGAATTTCATTTAGACTCTGTCTAAATATTGCTCTGAGTAACACTTTACCTACTAGGTTGCCAGTTAACTACAAAAGGGTGAAATAAAGGGTATAAAGGATGCAGATGAACCTCCAGATGGAAGATATATACTTAGGACAAGATGTGGGGACTGAGTGTGGAGCTTCCAGGCTTTCTTCAGGCACCACTTTCCCCAGATCTCTAGGTTATCATCAGCCTGGCAACTCTGAACCCATCCTTTGGGGGCTCTTCTAGAGCTTGTTGGCTTAGACATGATTAGTTCACTGGCCATTGACAGTAAACTCAGTATTGCCATTATCTCCCTTAAGATCATAGAGTGGAACTTAAAATTCCAACCCTCTAGTTACAGAGTTTGTTTTCCAGAGTCCAAGCCACCTCATTAACCCAACAAAAGACAGACACATTGATTTACATCACTTGGGAAATTTTAGGAATTTTTAGGAGCTCAGTGGCATATATATATATATGTACATATATATATCATATATGTACATATATGTGTTTATAATATTATAAACTTTTTTAAAAACTCAGGGCTAGGATGAAGGAGATGTTACTGGGGCCTGCTCGAGGCAATCGACAAACAACAGGATAATATTATATTAATATATAATATAATTTATATTCCTCATTGTAAACACAGTATCATTGATCATGTTAAGGAAGCCCCAGTTCTGTTACAGTCTTTCTGACAGATGATTTTCTTGTTAAACTGTGTAGCACACCATATACTCCTCTGGAGAAGAAAGCAGTTGACAATACAGATGATGAAACATTAACAGAAGAGTGGAGCCTACGGCAGCCAGTGTCACAGACCAGGACCACAGCTGTGGTGGAAGTGAGGGGGACTGTGGATGCTGTTCTCACCCCCTTAGTGGCTGAAGCTTTAGACAGGTAGTAATTCTGGCAGAAATAAAATTACTGTTTAGAAAGTGATTTAAGCCTGTGATTTAAGCCTACTGTGTTAATGAGAAGAGCCCTGCCCCACCCTCACCTATTCGTTCTTTGAACTGGTCTAAAATTTAAATTGACACAAGACAGATGAGCAGGAGACAAGTAATACGTTCACAGGGAAGGAGGGCTGTGAACTCTTTCAGAATTATCAGTTGACATATTTTGGTAACTTCCTCTGAGTCCCAGAAGAAGATTGGTGGTAACTATTTGATTGAACAAAAATGTATGAAGGGGTCTATGTTTCAGTTAGCGTTGTTACTTTTTTTAACCCTAATTAGTCATATCACAGTATCACTATAATTATATCGCTTCTTATTTTTCTTTCTTCTCTGCTTTTTGATGAGCGTATGATGATCAAGTCAACTCAGAAACTGTCATATGCTATTCTAACTACTTTATCCTTAATAGGATAAAAGGCATAAAGGTGAAATAAGAGATTCTTGGCCCTGCAAAGAGCTTGTAGTTTGTGTAGGGAGATAAAGCTAATATGTATAGAACCTGGCATGGAGCAGTTTATAAACTGGGCTGTGGCAGTGATACTCAGGCTTATCATTCACTGTTTTTCTCGGTGCAGATATATTGAAGCGATGGTTCATTGTGCTAGCACCCGACACCCAGCTGCCATTGTGGATGATCTTCATGCCAAAGTCCTCAGGGAAGCTGTCCAGAATAGCAAGACTACCTTCTCAGAAAATGTAAGAATGTTTTATTCAGTGAGTATGGCACATTGAGTAGCCATGTCATTTCCAAATTTGAAAAGCCTAGAAATTATTCGTTTTGTTAACTATCTAAATGAGAATGTGTGAATGTCTCCATGTCATGGCTCCATAAGAAATGGCTTCTGTAATGTGAATGTTCAAAGGGGCCTTTCAGCCCAAGTCTCCCCTAGCACCTTTTGGTCCTAAGTGAATGAGAATTCTTTAGGACTGACTGATACATTCATTTTGTAAAGAAACAAAGCTGCACATTTCTTCTATAGTCATAACTTGTATCAGGATTTTTCTGCATGATTTTTGTTCCCTCAGTGAACTGTGTCACTGTTCCTGTTGTGATCATCTCTGCTTGGGCTGTGTGGTCCATGCCATGTCATAACTGTGCACCTTTGGTGACTCTATACTTGGCATTCACATTGATGTGGGCCATTTTTGGACTAGGAGCAGAAGCCAGATTAGGGGAGGGAGACTGATTGCTTTTATTTAAACCATTATTCCAAATAATGATTTACATGTCAATACATTGACATTGGATGTTATAGGGAGTTAGAATGGGAGTTAAGGAAAAAATGACCATTCCCCACCAACAAGAAATGCTAGAAAACAAATCTGCTCTCAAGTAAGCAGAATTTAGTGAGCCTAAAAGGCCTTGTGTTGTTGTTATCACTAAGTTTCTATTTTCTGTGGGCTGATTTCAGTTCATTGTATATCACTTCTCTCAACCCTGAAGTTTGGACAGTGGGACTGCCAAACCAGTGGGCATGTGGCCAAGCATAGAGGAGCACAGTGAATCAGCACATGGCTTGTGGGTGAAGTGCAGATGATGAAAGTGTGTGAAAATGACTCTGTTTTCTATCTTTTTTAGTTATCTTCCAAACAGGATGTGAGAGGGACAAAACCTGAGCATCCTACCATAGGAACCACTAATCCTGGACAAGCACAGACAAATCTTACAATGAAGCAAGATAATGTAACAATTAAAGGTCTTCAGGCTAATGTTAGCATACCAAAGGTAATAGTATCATAAAAGTTTCCTGAAAGAACTGAAATGTTTCTGAGAACATTTTGTTGGATTCTGTTCTTTGTATTTCTTGAACTGAAAGGTGAAATCAAATGTAATATAAAAAAATTAGATGTTATTTTGTTGGTAATCTAAAAGTTAACTTAGCAAATAGTTTACTTAAACAGAATATTGGGTAATATTTCTAAAATATTTCTCATCCATTGAGTAAGAATTTAATTATAAGGTTTGTCTTCATCACTGTCAGACACATAGAAACAATATTCCTAATAACAATGTTTTTCTTCCTGTGTATTTTTATATTTAAGTGGTAAATTTTTGTGTTCACTTCTTAGAATCGTGATATTTGTGTTTTAGGTAAACCTGTGTTTATTGCAAGCCTCAGTGGAAGAAACTCCAAGTACAGCCCCTGGCCGAGGTGTAACCCATGTCTCTCTAGTAGCCTTGTGTTTTGACAGAATTGCTACACAAGTACGCATGAACAGGTAAGAAAGATTTTACCAATTTTATTTTAATTTTATTAATTTGAGCCATCTTTCCAAATATAAAAGCAAGCCTTAATTAAATTTTTAATGTGTTTATGAAAATTCTGGTGTTAAACTGGTTTTTCAGATCTCACTTTATAAAGTTAACAAAGTAGGTTTATAAAAATCTGTATTTTTTTTTTTTAGTGAAACACCATGAGGTACAGTTGTAGGCTTACAAATTTTTGTGCTTGGGTCTCAGTTATACAATGATCAAGTACCCATCCCTTCACCAGTGCCCATTTTCCACCACCATGCGTTCCAGTATCCCTCCCACCCCCAACCCCCCCTATCCCACCCTGCCTCTGTGATAGGGCATTCCCTTTTGTTCTCTCTCTCCTTTTGGGTGTTGTGGTTTGCATAAGAGGCATTGAGTGGCAGTCATGTTTAGTTTATAGTCTACTTTCAGCATGCTTCTCCCATCCTGGGAGGATCCTCCCAACACCCTTTATTTGGTGCTCCCTTCTCTATCTGAGCTTCCTTTTCCCCTAGCATGTGTGGCTGGCCTCCAAGCCATGGAGCAAAATTCCTGGTACTAATCTCGGCCAATCTTGGACTAACCCCCAATAGGGTTAGTCTCCTATTTTGTTACTTTATGTTCCCCAGATGAATGCAATCTTTCTATGTCTATCCCTCTCTTTCTGACTCATTTCGCTTAACATACTTTCCATGTAGTACCACTTGTATGTAAATTTCATGACTTCATCTTTTCTAACAGCTACATAGTACTCCATTGTGTAAATGTACCAAAGTTTCTTTAACCAGTCATCTGTTCTCGGGTACTCAGTTTTTTTCCAGATTCTGGCTATTGTAAAGAGTGCTGCAATGAACAAACAAGTGCAGATGTCACTTTGACTATACTTTTTTGCCTCTCTGGGATATATTCCCAGGAGTGGTATTGCTGGGTCAAATGGGAACTCAATTTCTAATATTTTGAGAATCATCCATACTGTTTTCCAAAAGGGCTGAACCAGTCGGCATTCCCACCAGCAGTGAAGGAGGGTCCCTTTCTCACCACATTCGCGCCAGCACCTGTTGCTTTTGTTCTTTTGAATGTGGGCCAGTCTCCATGGTGTGAAATGGTATCTCATTGTTGTTTTGATCTGCATCTCCCAGATGTTTAATGATGTAGAGCATTTTCTCATGTGCCTTTTAGCCATTCAGATTTCTTCTTTGTGAAAATTTCTGTTCATTTCCTTGCCCCGTTTTTTGATGGGGTTGGGTAGTTTCTTCTTGTGGAGTTCAACCAGTACCTTGTATATCCTTGATATCAACCCCTTGTCAGATGTGTATTCGGCGAATATTCTTTCCCATTCTGTAGACTGTCTTTGTATTTTGGTCACTGTTTCTTTTGAGGTGCAGAAGCTACTCAGTTTAAGATAGTCCCATTTGTCTATCTCTGGTTTCACTTGCTTGACTAGTAGCGTGACATCTTTGAAGATAGCATTAAGGTAAAGGTAAAGGCCCTCCCGTTGATCATCGATTTGCTCGAGCGGGCCCAGTAATGTCTCCATTGGAGACTTTGTTGTTACTGTGTTTGGCATATCGAATACGTCATGGGGAGCTTGCCAGGCTCTGCCGTGCAGGCGAGATACTCTCGGTAGCTTGCCGGGCTCTCCAAGAGGGGCGGAGGAATCGAACTCGGGTCGGCCATGTTGGCTGCGTGCAAGGCAAACGCCCTACCGCTGTGCTATCGCTCCAGCCCCAAAGATAGCATTAGCTTCAATATCATGAAGGGTTTTGCCAACTTTGTCTTCAGTGAACTTTATGGATTCTGGTCTGATATTGAGGTCTTTAATGTATTTTGATCTTACTTTTGTACATAGCATTAGGCAGAGATCTGAGCCCACCTTTTTGCATGTAGCTGCCCAGTTTTGCCAGCACAATTTGTTAAAGAGGCTTTCCTTGCTCCACTTTTCTTGCCCCTTTATCGAAGATTAGATGATCATATGCTTGGGGAGAGATGTCAGTATATTCAATCCTGTTCCATTGGTCTACATTTCTGCCTTTGTTCCAGTACCATGCTGTTTTAATTATTACTGCTTTGTAGTAATAGTAATAGAGTTTGAAGTTAGGGAGGTTGGTTCCTCCCATTTTCTTTTTCCCAAGGATTGCTCAAGCTATTTGTGGGGACTTATTGTTCCATATAAATTTCAGGAGTGTTTGCTCCATTTCTTTGAAGAATGTCATGGGTATCGTAATAGGGATCGCATTGAATTTGTACAGTGCTTTGGGAAATATTGCCATTTTGACAATGTTAATTCTCCCAATCCATGAGCAGGGGATATTTTCCCATTTCCTTGTATCCTCTTTTATTTCCTGAAGTATCGTTTTGTAGTTTTCTTTGTACAAAATCTGTATTGTTTTTATTGCATTTTTCAGTCAGTATTGCAGAAGTTGCTTCTCATATTGGTTTAATTGAAACTAATTTTTTAAAAGCCACCTTAATGTTTTACTTAATTTTATTATTTAAATGTTAACTTTCTTGCTTTTTATTTTTTCATTAGAGGTGTGGTTGAAGAAAATTTAAACAACACAGAACCCAGTAGAACACCAAATTTTGATAGATATGTCCATGCCAGCAAGATGCAGCCTCAGTCTTCTGGGTCACTCAGGTCAAATGCGGGAGCAGAAAAAGGCAAAGAAATTGCAGCCAAGTTAAACATTCATCGTGTTCATGGACAACTAAGGGGTCTTGATACAACAGGTATGAATCTACAAGAAATTTTTTTTCTTTGATATATATAAGTGTAAGACAATTTTGTGAAAGGAAACATGACTTCTTTTGAATATTGTTAGAGTTTGAATATTTTCTAAGAAAGATTCATTTCTGCATAGTACACGCGACATTTAACTATTCATTACTCATGTTCTTTGCATAATGGAAGATAAACTCTGGTAGGAATGTCAGTGGTACAGTTCCAAAATAAGAATTACTACTGTTATAGCTCCCATTTGCTTTCTTTGTGGTTTTACCTTGTGTACTATAGACCACATTATGATCTTTCTTTAATTTTATTTTTGTAGTGCCTGGGATTGAACCAACATCTTATGCATGCAAGGCATGCACTTTATTGCTACCCCTTACATAGATACATCATACGTCAGTGCATTTTTATTAAAAACTGATTGCAATATCAAAGACAATACAAGTCTATAAATAACAAGAGTTGTGAATAGAACTATGCACCTTGAGATCCCTGGGGAGGGGGAAAAAAAAAACCCTAGAGACATCATGTCACCATTTCAGTATTTCTAATTCAGTTCAGTTCATATGCTCCTATAGGGACCTAAATGGTTTTAGATTGTTAGAGATTTGATCCAGAAAGAATTGAGTTAGAATAGTCTAGCAAGAGACTCATCCAAGCACAGCTTCCAATTAAGTTCCAAGAAGATAGTTTTATAAAGGAGCAGGAGAAAAGTAGAGCACAAATGTTTGTTTGTATACACATATCAGTGAAAGGTGTTCAACAATCTAATGCTACTTGTTTCATTTTAATGAGTGGATTAGATGTTGAGGATTTTTATTATAACGTTGGTTGTAATTTTTAAATTTATACCCTAATCATGCTTTTTGGGGAGGAGTGATGTCTCACAAATGGTGTTCAGGAGGTGTGGGGGCCCCATTGGCAAATCACTGCCAACGAAGCTGTTCATTTCAAGGAACTGAGGATGGAATGCTGCTTAGTACTTCAGTGCCAGGCAGGCCTTCAGGGCCACATCCTACAGTGCTGTGTCTGGCAGTGGTTTGTGGTCCATATTGTACTGGGAATCAAACCTGGATCAGGTGCATGCTAGCTAAGCATGTGCTCTAGCTGCTGTATTGTCCCAGCCCCTTTGCATTCTTTTTCAAGTAACCCCATTCATATTTTTGGGACTTGGATCTATGCGAATGTATTAGCACTGTAGCACTGTCCTCCCGTTGTTCATCTATTTGCTTGAGCGGGCCCAGTAACGTCTCCATCGTGAGACTTGTTGTTACTGTATTTGGCATATCAAATACGTCATGGGTAACTTGCCAGGCTTTGCCATGCGGGCGAAATACTCTCAGTAGCTTGCCAGGCTCTTCGAGAGGGGCGAAGGAATAGAACTTGGGTCGGCCGCGTGGGCTGCGTGCAAGGCAAATGCCCTACACACTGTGCTATTACTCCATCCTGCGAATGTGTTACTTAGTGAAAAGTTTTAAATAAAATTCAAATGATTCCTCTTATGCTACACATATGCATAAATTAAAGACAAAAGTAAAAAAACACTTAGAAAATTGCAGGCAAATATTTACTTGATCATGTTACGACTTTCTTTTCATAAACACATTATATGTTTTCATATGAGATGTTATATAGTCAATGAAATAATCTTCAGTGAATTTTTAATGACCTGAACAAATTTTCATTATATATTACATGAAAAGCTGGAATCAGAGCTGGGTTAATAAAGTGGTAGAGTACTGAAAGAAGATTTGCTTCAAATATAAACACATTGTCTTTGTATGGTCAATTCACATATGATTGTTTAAAAACCTTGCTTTTCTAAATCATTTGCAGTTGAGAGAAAGAAGTGGAAAAAAATACAACTTAAAAGTTTCTGCCAGGCGTTCATGGTATTGGCTGCTCATTGTAAGCAGAGTTTTAGCAACATCTAGGATAAATTGTGATAGCATAAACTGGTCTTTGACCAGGAGGATTACTCCACAGCTTGGAAGCCGGCCTCACATGCTAGGGGGAAAGGCAACTCAGATAGAGAAGGGACCACCAAGTAAAGGATGCTCAGGATCTGAGATGTGTGCTGAAAGTAGACTATAGACTGAACATGATAGCCACTTAATACATGCGTTGCAGACTATAATACCCTAAAGGAGAGAGAGAGTAAAAGGGAATCCGCTTGCCACAGAGGTGGGGGGTGGGGAGGTGGATGGGAGGGATATTGGGAACATTGGTGGTGGAGAATGGGCTCTGGTGGAATGATGGGTACTTAATCATTGTATGACTGAAATGTAAGCACGAAAGTTTGTAAGTCTGTAACTGTGTCTCACGGCGATTCATTAAAAAATACAAAGTATCACAGCTTCAGATTTTTTTTTACCCAAGATTAAAAAAAATAGTAATAAACTGGTCTTTTAATAAAAGCAGTCACTTTCCTAGAGAATGTTTTTCCTAAGGCTGGGTAATTAATTGAAATACTAAAAAGTTTTAATGGTATTTAGGACGAGTTACCTATGAAGCTTAATTATTTAGAATTTTAATTTTTTTATTATTTTATTTTGGGGGTTTTGGGAGGTCATACCTGGCAATGCTTAGGACTTTATTCCTGGCCCTGCATTTAGGGATACTCCTGGTGGTGCTCTGGGGACCACATATGATGCTGGAGATTGAACCACGGTTGATCTCCTGTAAGGTCCCTAAGTTTAGATTTTTCGAATACTACTCCATCTTTAAGAAATGAATTCATGCTGACTTTGAGCATTAATTTTAGAACCTTCTTCTCTCCCTCTTCAGCATGTTATGCTTTTGGCACTTTTTAAGTTGTATGGCATTAAACAGCACTATTGTAGAAGCTGGCTTATGTGTTTTTTTTTTCCTTGACAGAATACTAAGATTTCTTTATCATATAGTCTATGTGCCAAATGTTTACATCATGTCATACAATTCTCTATCTCTAAAATGGTTCCTTGTTTTCTGTTGATAATAGATATCGGTACCTGTGCCATCACTGCTATTCCCTTTGAGAAGTCCAAAGTTTTATTTACTCTTGAAGAGTTGGATGAATTTACCTTTGTCGATGAAACAGATCAACAAGCTATTCCAGATGTGACTCGGATAGGTCCCAGCCAAGAGAAGTGGGGTTGGATAATGTTTGAATGTGGACTTGAAAATTTAACCATAAAAGGTAAATTTAAAAAAAAATTTTGAATATAAAAAATTCAACTCCCAGAGATTCTTGGTTTTGTTACTGCTAGGCCCCACTTGTACAGGATGCCATGTGGTGCTGGGGATTGAACTCAGGCTCTTTGTCATAGACACAAAGCATGTATTCTAGCCCTGAACTGAAAGGTCAGAATTTTAAAAAATATGTTCTGCTTATGTGGGAGACAAGATGGCTTCACTTTGTTGATAAGGTTTTTTTTTCCAATCATAATTTGGAGTTAATTTAATCAGCATCTTCAGAGCAGCAAGTGTCTGACCTGCTCTTTCTACCAAAGTGAATGGTATAACCCAGTTTCCTAAGTGTTACTTGCCTCTATTGTGAAATTCAGAAGTAGCATCTAGATGTATCTAATTAAATCAGTGTCTGATGAAACAATCTATGGTTCAGAAAAATTCTCTTTCTTTAAAACTTTTTTCATTTAGTAGCAACTTTACTTAGATTATAATTTCTGTCACTGTTCTCCCGTTCATTGATTTGCTCGAGCCGGCACCAGTAACGTCTCCATTGTGAGACTTGTTACTGTTTTTGGCATATCGAATACACCATGGGGAGCTTGCCAGGCTCTGTGGGCAGGGGGATACTCTCGGTAGCTTGCCAGGCTCTCCGAGAGGGACGGAGAAATTGAACCCGGGTCAGCTGCGTGCAAGGCAAAACACCCTACCCGCTGTGCTATTGCTCCAGCCCTGATTATAATTTACACACCATAAAATTGACCCATTTCAAATATACTATCAAAATCCTTGTGAATATCATTACAGAGCTGTGTAACCATCTCCACAATCCAGTGCTCAAACATTTCTATTAACGTAAAAAGATAATAGTACCCACTAGTCATCACTCCCGATTCTCATACTCAATCCGAGAGAACCAATCTACATTCACTCCTTATAGATTTACTTTCAGAAAAAATTCTCTAATAAAATAGAAAGGCACCCAACTATTGGAAGTTCACATCTTTGGACACTGGATCTTAGATTAGCGAATTTTGACATGCAGAATGAAAATGCTGTAAATCCTATAGTGCCGAATATGAATTGTTTGCTTTTACATTTTTGAATGATATAATGAAATAGATTGAAGTGTAAGACTGGATTTAATTATAATGTAATAGTGGTTGTAGATGCTGAGTATTCTTTACCTGATAATTCAATCTTATATCAACTTTTATATAAAGGCAAATTTTGGCAAAGAAATAAAAAAGTTTTATTTGTTATAATTATGAATATTGTAGCGGTACTGCATTGAAGTCCCACTGTTTTCAGTTAATCCATTCTTTGATTTTTATAGGAGGAAGACAATCTGGTGCTATTTTATATAACACTCTTGGAGTAATGGGTAAAGCAAGTGTCACTGAAAGGGGTGGGGTACTGACATCCAATAATTCCTCTGACTCTCCAACTGGAAGTGGCTATAATACTGACATCTCTGATGACAATCTTCCTTGTGACCGGACCAGCCCATCTTCAGACTTAAATGGGAATTCTGGTTCAGATGAACAGGTTGGTCAAATGTTTGGTGTAGTAAGAATGTTTGGTGGTGGGGCTAGGGGAGGAAGGGCAAACCAGAAAACTACATATCCAGTTTAGGATTAATATCTGGAGTATATTTGCTTTCTTTCCACATTGTGAGTTTTGCTTGGTGATTCTGCTACTTCTCTGGTAGAATTTTTGTTGTTTAAGACTGCTTCATAGATGTTTTATGTCTCATGATATTTAGCGTAATGCCTACCCACTTTCAGTACTTTATAGTATTTGTTAAATGAACAAGTTCAATTTAGAAAAAGTGGGCATTGTTTTTATGTCTTTTTATTATGATTTGGTTTTTTAAGTAGTTCTGCTACTAGCAATGTTTCATTTAGAGTCCGGTAGAATATCCTGTGATCATGTCATTTTTATTGTAGTATTTCATGGTGATGAGTACAATACAAATAATGAAAATATCCAAATTTTTAGATCATACTTAACTGGTGATATGAGCAAGTTGTTTATCCTGTAGTATTTCTGTTACTAACAGTATTGCAGTGCTCTTTGCCTGTTAAGAATTGTAAAAATTGAAGAAAACAACAAATGAGGAAGGGTTACCTCAATTTTTACGCAAGAAAGACTTGGTACACACACACCCCTTTGGTGTGAAAATTAGACCTTGAGTATTCAGTAGTCATTAGTATATTAGTATCATCTCTTGACGCTAGGTTTCTGGGAATTTACGTTTAAAACGTGTTATGATTTAAAATATAATTCAAAACAATCACCATTTTCTTCTGAATTATTTGAAGGGTGGGTGGAGATTTGCATTTTGGTTAAGGATACTAAAATTATAGTAGTTGCTCTCCTGATGGAATTGGTGGCAATAGCCTCACTATTCTTTTTCTCTTTTCTCTGACTCAAATACCCCAGGAAACTTGTGTGTCTTCCTGAATCTCTCTGCTGCTTCTCTTCCTGCTGAAATACCTGGAGTTTTGCAACATTGCTTTGTGTTCAGTGACTCTCCCTGATCCTCTTTGTCTTTCCAAATGTGGATATTCTTCCCCATGTTCTGTTCTTTGCTTCTTTTTTCCTGGTGCTGTATGTCCAATTCCTTACTTCATCCCCTAGGGCAGTGCCCCGATGTGGTGAACTTCTCCTTTCTTTTTGTTATGCCCTTGATCGAGCTCCAGACCCGTATCCAGAGACCTCTGAGCTACCATCAATTATACAAATCGTATACACAAAAAATCCAGTCTCAACCCAAAGGTTTTTTTTATTAATTTGCCGTATATAGAGACATTCATTACAATGGAGTTACAAGCTCCTCCATATTTACTTTTTTATGTGACAGAAAACAAACCTAACGACTCACACATGAAAGGAGTGTACTTCTTTCTCCTCCTTACCCCCACTTTTTAAATTTCAGGTTCCTCAAGATAAACTTCTTTGTGTACAGACAGACTTATCTTGCTGTCTGAAAGTAGAGGATTCCTGTTTTTTCTAATTTGGTAGGTGGTTTTTGGCATCTGACAATGCTCAAATTTTCTTCTGTATAATTTCCCCAAGAACTGCTTGGTATAACCTTAGTGTTCCCCAAACACAACTTGCCTGGAGCACCAAATAGTGGCCCAGAATTAGTGGGGGTCCACCCTTTGAAAGTTTTTTCTATATTAATTTGTGGCGGTAGCATTTTGTTTATTGCTTTAATATTATGCTTCTTACCTTCCTGCAATCTGAATAACTATATTGCAAAAATTTTAATCTTACTTCTCAGTGTAGATTACTAGTCCATTACTAAGAAGTTTTTATTAGTAGAGTGTCCTTTTGAGCATGGCTACAATAGTATTTTTTGCTGCACTTTATTTGGAAGTTTTGGAATAGTCAGTTAAATGGAGTGGAAAACTGATTACAGTGGAAAGCATAAAACTTAAATTCTATCTTTAACAGTTGTATAACTTTTTGACAAGTCACAGCACCTCTGCATAACACTTGACATCCCTTAACAAATTTTACAATGGGATTTTACAATGATTTTACAAAGGACTCAAGCTGAACCCGTCAAATTTTCAGATCTGCCACTTAGTGCCTGATAGCATAGCAGTTTTTCAGAATGCTCTTTCAAATTGCAGAAACCCATGAATACTTCTCAGGCAACAATGAGATTATGTTGAGTAGGTCCTATGTACACATTAGAACTGATTTGATGGGAAGGTTTTATGCTTACAGCATTAACTAATGTGCATGTAGCTTTAAGAACTATACTGTGAATAAGGTTTTGGTATTCTGTTCTATGTAGGATGAAGGAGTTGAATCTGATGATCTGAAGAGAGATTTGCCTCTCATGCCTCCACCTCCAGATTCCTGCAGCATGAAGCTGACCATCAAGGAGATCTGGTTTAGTTTTGCGGCACCCACTAATGTGAGGTCTCCTGCACACGCCTTTTCAAGGTAAGAAGTTTTAAAAACATAATGTGTAGCCAGAGAGACAGTACAGTAGATGGAACATTTGCCTTGCATATAGCTGACCTTGGGTTCTATCCCCACACCCGATGGCTCAAAAACTCTACATGCACACACACACACACACACACACACACACACACACACACACAGAAAATGCTACTTTTCATGTTTATGCAACACACAATTCTGTTCTATTTATCTTTAAAGATTAATTGTTTGATAGAACTAGATTAGAGTTGCTTCCTTACTTGGTTCTTTCTGTCTTCAGCCTTGCTTTTTGCATATCACTGGCTGTGACTTTTACATATTTATGCATGTACAGGAGCCCTTGTTGCAGAGTTCATAGGGCCCAGACTACTCACAGTGATTTGCACCCTTAGTTTGCTGGTTTGTTATGGGAATGGCATGCCATGTCAGGGTCCTCAGGGCCTCACTTACTGCCAGGCATGTGCTCCACCACTTGAGCCATCTCCCTAGATGATCTGCCATGGGTACATTTAGTTCTTTCACCTCTTTTTTTTAACTCTTTCACCTCATTAGAGTCCTTTTCCTTTTTTTTTCCCCGCCTGTTATTTTCAAGTCAATTTACTTGATGGAAAAAAGGAAAAAGTAATTTTGTGACCTCAATTTATATGTATTTTAATTTTAAAGGCAGCTGAACCTTTTAAGCACTGCAACTCCAGCTGTTGGTGCTTGGCTTGTTCCCATTGATCAACTCAAGTCATCTCTAAACAAGCTAGACACCGAGGGGACCTTGAGAGTCTGCGCTGTGATGGGTTGCATAATGACCGAAGCACTGGAGGTATACCTTTTCACATTACAGGGATCTTGCAAAGTTAATTCTTGAAATGATCTTTTATATTTTTCATTGGTGTTGGGAACCTTTGACCTGCACATTCCTAGTTGCTATATGTCTTTCATCTGTAACATCTTTGGTAGATACTATCCTAATTTGGTTTTGCTTTGTTCCAGAATAAAAGTGTACATTTCCCCCTGAGAAGTAAATACAACAGACTTACAAAACTTGCCCGCTTTCTCCAAGAAAACCCTTCCTGTTTGCTGTGTAATATACTACACCACTACCTCCAGCAGGCAAATCATTCCGTCATTGATGATGCCACCATGGTGCGTCACTGCAGCTTCTTGTGAGCTTTAAGAAACCTCTGTTCTGGGGGGTACATCGGAAGTCCACAGGAGAAAGAAAATCACAAGCACTGTTGACAGCACTGGAGCTTACTGGTGTGGTGTGGGAGTCACACCCAGAGGGTGTTAGAAGCCACAGACACAGATGAGACTTATGAGGTTAACAGTGAGAAAGCTAGTCCTGAATGGGTTGCTGAAGAATACCACATAAAGAAAGGGGATGGAATGATTTGATGTAGGGGCACAGAGTGATGAAGAGGGAAAGAAAAGTAGAAGTGGGAAGAAATAGGCAGAAGACAAAGGTAGCACTGTAGCACTGTCCTCCTGTTGTTCCATTAACTTCCTCAAGTGGACACCAGTATCGTCTCCATTGTGAGATTCGTTGTTACCGTTTTTTAGCATAACGAATATGCCATAGGTAGCTTGCCAGGTTTGCCATGTGGGCAGAATACTCTTGGTAGCTTGCTGGGCTCTCCAAGAGGGGCGGAAGAATCAAACCCAGGTCGGCTACATGCAAGGCAAATGCCCTACCTGCTATGCAATTGCTCCGGCCCATTTTTAAATCACCAGGAACAGTTTTCACTAGAATATTTAATAAAATAAGGACTAATTAATGATGGAGGGGGAGAATGCATTTCAAAATAAATACATTATACTTGGGATCCTGGAAAGCACGCCAGAAGCTAGCACATCACTATTAAGGTTAGAGCTTAAGGCTTTCCTTCTTTGCCACATTCTGATCAATTAAAGAATACCAGGGTCAGAATTCCCAAAGCTACTACTGGTGGTCAGGCACACTCCTGATCAGCTCTCATAAAGGAATCTCATCTCACCTTGTGTGTTGAACTTGGGAGTTCCACTTGTAGAGGATACACCTGCCCTATTTCTGAAGTTCCGCCACAAGTGGAACTGCTGAAATAGGGCAGGTGTATCTCCAGCAGAGCTCTGCCCAGACAGGCAAAACCTTATGGTAGTTAGGGATGAAAGGACATAGAGAGGAAAGGCATTTTCTCCTTAGATTGAGACTCCCATATGGGAAAGATGGCGACTTTTATTTATATTCATCATCATATTATTCTTTTACTGGCAAAAAAAAGCAATGTGAATTGGACACTTATTAAGGAGAATCTTAATTTTGCACCCATGTTTGTATTCTGTTTACCTGATACTGATGTTTGATATACGACAGAAAGATACTCTTAGAGACTGAATTCTGTGCTCTCATGTGTGCTTGTACAATTTATTTAATGTACAAGTTCTAGGTTCCTTGTGGTTTAAATGAATAAATATATGCAACATGCTTAATGGTTACAGTAGTTGGCTTCTGATCACACCCTTGTTTTACAGAGTGATGGACTTCCTGCCTTGGTAACTTTGAAGAAGGGCTTGGTTGCCCTGGCAAGGCAATGGATGAAGTTTATTGTGGTGACTCCAGCTTTCAAAGGAGTTAGCTTGCATCGGCCAACCCAGCCTTTGAAACCACATTCGGCTTCAGAGCAGGAACATGAAGACGGACTTGGACTGGATAGTGGAGGTGGTCTTCAGAGTGATACCAGTGCTGATGGTGCAGAATTTGAATTTGATGCAGGTAACTTTGTAAATATTTTACTTAGATATAGTCTGAATGATGGCTTTAATGATTTGTTTCCTTCAGTGCTGTTAGAAGCGGCTTCCCCAGGCCACACTAGCAGAGGCCTGAAAGTGACCTTTTCTTCTTTTATCTCGCCGCCCCAGCCCCCAGAGGTTTCCACAGCGGCTCTCTTCTGCTGGCTGTCCTTGTCAACAGTTTCTCCTGATGTGAATTTTCCTAGAAATTCACCCTCGACAGCAGGCTGCTTAAAAATTTTCTACCCTTCGGGGCTGGGGCCATAGTACAGCCTATAAAGAGTTTGCCCTGCACGCAGCTGACACGGGTTCCAGAATCTCCCAAAATAGTTGTGTACCTGTGACCGCATTTCATCTAAGAAATGCCACTTGGGTGAGCAGATGCTGCCAGGGCTGGAGCGATAGCACAGCAGGTAGGGCGTTCGCCTTACAAGCGGCCAACATGGCCGACCCGAGTTCGATTCCTCTGCCCCTCTCGGAGAGCCCGGCAAGCTACCGAGAGTATTCGATATGCCAGATACAGTAACAACAAAGTCTCCAATGGAGACGTTACTGGGCCCGCTCGAGCAAATCGACGATCAACGGGAGGGCCTTTACCTTTACCTTTACCTTTCCTAGATTTAAAACTCTCATGGCTAAATTCTGTAAGTATGATTTGCTTTAATTTAAGGTGCTACTGATGTTGGAATCCCTACACTGACTTCACTTTTTAAGTTTGTTTTGTGAAATAAACTTCTAATCCACACAGTACAAACAGCATTCTTTATGTATTGTGTGACACACATTTGTTTAAAGTTTAAAACTTGTAGTTTTCAGGAATTTAGTTATAGGTAAGTGGGACTCACTTTGTTTCTTTCCTGATACTGTGAAGAGATTGATGTTAGGGGAGAAAAGGAAGAAAGTGAATATTATAAAAGATTCCACCGTGTGTCCAGGAATGTGTAAATCTGAGTGTAGTCATGCAACACTGGAGTTGATATCTTTAGAGTAAATATTCTCTGATTTATTTGCCCTTTGACCTGTTTCAGCCACAGTGAGTGAGCACACCATGCTGCTGGAAGGGACAGCCAGCCGACCCCCTCCTGGGGGCTCTGGACCTGTTACCGGTGCAGAGATAATGAGGAAACTTTCTAAGACTCACACTCACAGTGACTCTGCATTGAAGATTAAGGTAACGTATTCTGCTTATTTGTGCTCAGTTGTGAGGCTCACAGGGAAGGCCTACATTTTTATCTCATTTTCATTTTTTGATTCATTATTTTTGTGTTTGGGCTATGCCCAGTAGAACTCAGGGACTACCCCAAACTCAGTTCTTGGATATCACTCCTGTTGTTTTCCAGGGAACCATATGGTGCTGGCAATTGAACCAAGTCCTCCCAAATGCAAACCAGGCACGCTCAAAGCCTTTGAGCTCTCTCTCCGGCACGTCCTAAACTTTTATTATCTGACATTTAAATATTATGTATCCAACCTACTCAAAGAGCATTTTTTTAATTTTTATTAAATCACTGTGAGATACAGTTACAAAGTTTTGAGTTTCAGTCATACAATGATGGAACACTCATCCCTCCACCAGTGCACATCTTTCCACCACCAGTGTCCCCAATATCCCCCCCATGCCTCTCTTCCCCCTGCCTCTATGGCAGACAGTCTCCCCCATATTCTCTTTTGTATTACTTGTTGTGAATAGCACATGATAAGGCTGCACGCTCCTGGAATTCTAAAATTTTAGGTAATTAGGGTCTGGAGAAATCTCTGCAGCAAGCTGCTTGGTTCAGAGATTCTTTTGTGTATCTCTAGGTCATGGTCGTTAAGGAGCTTAAATGGCTGTGAGATACAGTTACAAAGTTTTGAGTTTCAGTCATACAATGATCGAACACCCATCCCTAAATAGCAGCCCAAGGCAGTTTATGGACGTGACTCCAGGGTCCAGTGGGCACAGGAGCCTGAGAAGGACCGGCTTATCGTCTATCTCTTGAGGACTGAACCCGTGTACCCTCACTTCTCATTGGGTTCTGGAAGCTGGCAGCTGCTGGGGTTCTTGGTGGGCAGGTGGAGAAACGATGCCTGCTCCCGTTTGAGGCACCCCGGTGAAGCTGACCTGGCTTTAAGTCCGGAGGCATCTCTGCAGCGAGCTGCTCAGTTTGGAGATTCTTTTGTGTGTCTCAAAGAGCATTTTAATGTTGAAATTAACTAGTGTTAATTATGTTGAAATGAATCACTTGTAGTGCTTTCTATGATTTTATCATGAGTCAGTAATTGATACCAAGTACAGATTACCAATTTTCCACGGCTGGAGACACTTGCTTTACAACATGGCCAATCCTGGTGTGATCTCTGCCATCGTTTATGGTTCCCTGAGCACTCTTTTTTTTTAATTATTTTTTTAACTGCATCTCATAAAGTTGTCCATGATTGTTTTTCAATCATATAATGTTCCAACACCAGTTCCCTTCACCAGTGTACATTTCCCAATGCTTATGTCCCCAGTTCCTCTCCTGACCCCTCTCCTCCATACCCCCTGCCTCTATGGTAGACACTTTTCTTCTCTCTCCCTCCTTCCCCCCCGCCTCACTTTATTTTTAGACATTATGGTTTGCAGTACAGGTAGTGAAAGGTTATCAAGTATATTCCTTTATTTTTCAACACTCAGTTTCTGTCCAGAGTGATCATTTTCAACTATTATTGACATACCGGTCCCTTCTCTATCTTAACTACCCTTTGCACCCAACACACACACTTGTGGCAAGCTTCCAACCATTGACCAGTCCTCCTAACCAGACAACTGGATAAAGAAACTGTTGTACATCTGTACAGTTTAATACTATGCTGCCATTAGGAAAAATGCAGCATGAAATTTGCTTATAGATGGGTGGACATGGAGAGCATCATGCTGAGTGAAATGAATCAAAAGGAGAGGAACAGATATAGGATGACTGCATTCATTTGTGGGATATAAAAACAAAATTGAGACTAATGAGACTAATATCCAAGGCTAGGGAAAACAGGCCAGGAGTCCTGAGCACTCTGATGAGTGATCCCTGAACACAGAGCCAGGCGTTAATTCCTGAGAACCTCTGGCTGTGGCTCAGAATAAAGCACTTAGCTTCCCGCACCTCTGAGGCCGAGGGTTGCTCCCCACGAGCAGCTCTCCGGCACGGCCATGGCCCCAGAGGCACACGGACCTAATTCGGAGCCCAGCAGCTTTCGGGAGGGAAAGGGTCTCTCTTCCGCCTCCCCCACCCCCCCCCCCCCCCCACACACACACACATACACACAGCACAGTGGCCGCCACCTCAGAGCTTATTGGACAGCCAGGTATGAGCTGGTGATGAGGGGGCAACTGCAGCCTCATGGGATGGGGGGCAGAACCAGTACGTCCTTCCCGCCCCGCCAAGGTCGAGAGTTCCCCCCCACAAGCAGCACTCTGGCACAGCCATGGCCCCAAAGGCACACAGACCTAATTCGGAGCCCAGCAGCTTTCTGAAAAAGTGTGAATGGTCTATGCATTGAACTATGGTGCTGTGCCCCCGCCCCAGCCTGCGGGAGGGAAATGGTGTCTGTCTCTTCTGCCTTCCCCCCCCCCCCCCGCCCCCCTGCAGCACAGTGGCCGCTGCCTCAGAGATTATTGGACAGCTAGGTATGAGCTGGTGGTGAGGGGGGCAGCTGCAGCCTCATGGGATTGGGGGGGAGGGGGGCCGAACCGGCATGTCCTTCCCACCCACCCCACCAAGGCTGAGAGTTGTCCCCTATGAGCGGCTCTCCGGCATGGCCATGGCCCCAGAGGCACACACAAACCAATCTCGGAACTATGCAGCTTTTGGCAGAAATCCCTCCAGACTTAGTTATTAAAATACCAGAAATACAAAATCATTTGACCGCGACATCGTATGGTCTTCATAACGAGCAATAGGAAATAAATTATTTCATGATGCCTTTTCAGCCAATCTGATTGTTGGGGAAAAATTCCAAATAATAATGGTGCATCTTTTGTCAAAATAATGAATGTAATCAAAGTAGAGAGAGAGAGTTAAGTGGAATTCATCTGCCTCACGGGCATCGGGAGAGGTGGGATGGGGGGTATATTGGGGTTCTTGGTGGTGGAAAATATGCACTGGTGAAGGAATGGGTGTTTATTCATTGTATGACCAAGACTTAAACCAGAAAGCTCTGTAACTTTTCTCACAGTGATTCAATAAATAAATTTAAAGCAAAAAGAAAAAAATTTTCTGCTTTATATAGTTCTGCATAATGCACTCATAATAAGCACAATTTTGTTTCCAAAATTTTATTTTTCACAACATCAGGGTTATGCTTTCTACCAGTGTAATCACAGAGGTAAGCATTTAGTCTATTTACAGGGAAATAGTGCCAATACAACTCTATTATATACAAATATTTAATTTTATATGGCTGAATGTCATGTAGTTGTAATTTCATAATCCACGTTGATTCAATTTAAATAAATGAATAAAAAGAAAAAAATAAAATGTTGAAATTTAAAAAAATAAAGCATTTAACCAAACTTTCTTTACGACTGTCTTAAAAAATATTGAAAATAGTATGCAATAAAATAAGATGTTGAGGGGCCTGGAGTGATAGCACAGCGGATAGGGTGTTGGCCTTGCACGTGGCCAACCCGGGTTCGATTCCCAGCATCCCGTATGGTCCCCTGAGCACTGCCAGGGGTGATTCCTGAGTGCAGAGCCAGGAGTAACCCCTGTGCATCCGCCGGGTGTGACCCAAAAAGCCAAAAAAAAAAGATGTTGAAAGAATTGAAAATGTTTATGATTTTGTAATAGTTTTAGCAGGAAGCTTTTTAGCACTTTAGCAGGGCCTAGTCAGTACACAGTTTGAATTAGATTGTACAATGGCTTTGAGAAACTTAACCAGTACTTGGTAAGATCATTGGTAGCAAAGAGATGGACTACCTGCCAACTCAGGAACTGACTATCTTGGTTTCAGTCTGTTTGCTTTGAAATGAAACAAACTTTTAAGCACAGGGTGGATGAGCCCTTTGGGGACTCAGTTCCAACAGTTGTATCCTTTGTAAGATGGTTATAAAAAAGAATGGAGGAACACATGAAAGGTACGTAGGACAGTGGTTTCACACTTAAGTTGTTATTTGCACTCAGCTGTCCTGTCCTCCTGTTGTTCATCGATTTTGCTCCAGCGGGCCCAGTAAGGTCTCCATTTTGAGACTTTTTGTTACTGTGTTTGGCATATCACCACTGGAGCTCCAGTGGCGCAATTAGTTAGCGCGCGGTACTAAGTTGTTATTGCTGTAAATAATTTATTTTTGTGGTTTTTAGTGCTCAGATTATTTTAATTTTTAGGCAAATAATAATGTGATCATGGTATCTCCCCTGCCAGGTAAGTGGGCTGGAGCAATAGCACCGTGGTAGGGCGTTTGCCTTGCACGCAGCCAACATGGCTGACCCGAGTTCGATTCCTCCGCCCCTCTTGGAGAGCCCGGCAAGCTACCGAGAGTATTGTGCACGCATGGCAGAGCCTGGCAAGCTACCCGTGATGTATTCGATATGCCAAACACAGTAACAACAAAGTCTCTAATGGAGACATTACTGGGCCCACTCGAGCAAATCGATGAACAACAGGAGGACAGTGACAGTGAATAAATAATGAGATATTTTAACTTCTTTTGAAAAATACTGGTGTAGACTTACATAAATGCTCAGAATCCATCACTGTCACTGTCCTCCTGTTGTTCATTGATTTGCTCGAGCGGGCCCAATAACATTGTGAGACTTGTTGTTACTGTGTTTGGCATATCAAATATGTCACGGGGCAGGCTTTGCTGTGTGGGCGAGATACTCTCAGTAGCTTGCCAGGCTCACCAAGAGGGGCGGAGAATCGAACTCGGGTCGCCCGATTGGCCACGTGCAAGGCAAACACCCTACCTGCTGTGCTATGGCTCCAGCCCCTCAGGGTCCGTTTTGCCGCCAGATGTTTTAGACTTCCAAAGGGGTGAATTAGTTGTTTAAAGTGAGACTTGTCTGTTAGGGAGCTGATGTTGAGTGTGCTGTCTTCCTGTAGGGCGTTCACCCATACCACTCTCTGAGCTACACCAGTGGTGACACAGCCACCGATTCTCCAGTACATGTGGGACGCAGTTCAGGGGTACCAGTGAAGGAGAGTCCACGGAAGGAGAGTCTTCTCAGCTACTTGACGGGCAGCTTCCCCAGCCTGCACAACCTTCTGGAAGGCACTCCGCAACGCAGTGGAGCAGCCATAAAAAGCAGCTCACTGACAAGGACAGGTATTCCCTCAAGCAGACAGCTACACACTCACTTCCTAGGGAGAGTTGGGATATACAAATGGTACCTGGATCTAATTGTAGATTTTGTTCTATAACTCATTTTTTCTTTACATCTTATCTTTGAAAAAATGGTTTTTGGAAAGCCACTATTTCAGGTTTGTACCTTGTTGTGTTCTGCTCTTTGATTTATTTCTTTGTTTAAATAGGGACTATACCCAGTAGTTCAGGGGACTTAGGTCCACTTCTGTTGATGCACAGACCCAGCTATGGATTTTATATTTCAGTGCTTGTACCCAGAGATGTTGGGTGTTCATGTGTTAGGGCCACCAGGACTATACCTAGCAGTGTTGGGGATTGAACTCGAGGCTTTATAAACTTGGTACACATGTGCTCTACTACTGGACCTGTCTTCCCTGCCCCTAGTTTGCATTTTTAGATTCTCTTTAACATTATTAATAACTTAGGTTTGCTATGGGATCCTGTCGAGACCAGCTCAAAATGAATGCCCATTAAAATCAAATAAGTTACTTAATACAATAATTATTATTTACTATTGAAAATATTCTAGATATCAACATCACACAGTGTATTTGAAATCATCAGCAAAAAAGGAATCTATTTTAACATGGCTTTTCAAAAATAAATTCATCACATTTTCTGCTCCATCGTGTATTAAATGATACAGTCCTCATTTAAACTTTGTTTTCAGGACATACAATGGCCACTGATATGCTGTCTGAGCACCCTTTACTGTCTGAGCCATCATCTCTGAGCTTCTATAACTGGATGTCCCATGCTGTGGGCAATCGAGGCAGCAGCACGGTGCCAGAGTCTCCAGTCACAAAATCAGGGCACAGTAGCCTGCCCACAGGTATTGTCATCACATGTTTTATGAGTCTAAAGGTGACCTGTAACTAGAGCCTGTTCACTTTTCAGAGGGTGGTACAAACCTTACACTGTGCTGCGCCATGTCACTGAGCTCAGTACATCCTGATGTTGGTAGACCATCTCTGATATAGCAGTGGGGTGGCAGCCAGTTTCTGTGTTCCTGGAGGGTCAGGCAGCATGCCCAGTGTTCTTTGAAGGGTGGCAGATGTCATCCATTGTGGCTGGTGGAAGAGTCAAAATTCCTGAAATGTAAAAAAAAAAAAAGGGTACAGTCACAACATCACCACCTACAAGATAGAAATTGTTTCAGTTTACTCTCCGTGACTCTGAGATATGGCTTGCGTCCCTTTTTTTTATAGTCACTACAGTAGCACTGTAGCACTGTCCTCCCATTGTTCATCGATTTGCTCGAACGGGCCCAGTAACATCGCCACTGTGAGACTTGTTATTGTGTTTGGCATATCAAATATGCCATGGGGAGCTTGCCAGGCTCTGCCGGGTGGGTGAGATAGTCTCGGTAGCTTGCTGGGCTCACTGAGAGGGATGGAGGAATCACGGGATGGCCCGGTTGGCCGCGTGCAAGGCAAACACTCTATCCGCTGTGCTATTGCTCCAGCCCAGTCACTACTTATTAAAATATTAAGATGTATCAAGAAGGATCAAACTCAGTTTTCTCTCTCAAGATGGGGAACACAGGCATATGTTTGGTTAATCACAAGTAAGTAAGTTTGGTAATGCCAGGGCAGCAGCCTCCTTCCTGTTATTAGGCTTTCGTAGTTTTTGTTTTGTTTTGTTTTGTTTTTTGCTTTATACCGTTTATATTCATGTAAAAATACATTCAAAATATTTGTGGAGTAGCTTTTGATCCTGGTTACTGAAGCAACTGATTAATTTGCATAATAGCTATTTGTTTTGCTGACAATTTCTCTTTAGACAGAAAGTACAAAATTATGAAAATCAATGGTTCTGTGACTCCTTCTCTGTTCATTTTCTTACTGATGTGTGGGCCACTTTGGAACTGGAGCTGATTTTGGGAGGGAGGTGCTTCCACAGACTTTCAGGTCCCATCTGGGGCTATTCTTTGACTTTTACATTCTCAGAGAGGGAGAAAGTGGGAATACCTCCTCCAACCTTGCTCCTTTTTCCGTGTCCTCTGTCTGGGGTGAAATTGGACAAGGAAAAGGTAGTCTTCCATCTTGGTCCAGCATTGGGATGGCATTCTTGTATATAAGAAATTATTATACCCTCTGTCTTGAGTGAAAAATAGAGGGAATAACCTGCTTCAAAAAAACTGACTTAACTCTAGTACACACTTCATGGATGAGGGTGACTGATATTTTCTGAAATTTCGGTTTATTTTCATTTCTTGCTCATATATCTATAGTTTTTTGGGGGGGCGGGGAGTGGGGCACCCTTAGTTGTGCTCTGGGATTATTACACCTTGCTCTGTACTCAAGGATCACCTCCGGGGGTGAGGGGGGCTCAGGACCCTATATGGTACTGGAGATTGAACCCAAGTTGGCTGTGTGCAAGACAAGTGCCCTAGCCACTCTACTGTCATTCTTGCACCCATCATGTCTGTAAATTAATCCAAAAATGCTCTTTTTCTTTCCTAAATTAAGTTGCCTGACAGTACACTGTAATGCAAACTTCACACAAATTTACTTTGTAGTAAACTTCATGTGTTTTCATTTCCCAGGATTGTAATTTTTCTTGACTGTTTCCTCTGTTAGGTGTTGCACCCAATCTTCCCACGATACCCTCAGCCTCTGATTTCAACACCGTCTTGTCTAGTGACCAGAACACTCTGGATGGGACACATTCTCAGCACAGCACGAGTCAGGATGGTGAGGCAGGCGTCGAAGAAGCCAACCGAGGGTTTCCTGCAGTTCAGCTTGCAGATGCTCAGGTGAGCCTGTCTAGTCCCTACTAAGTATCACCCTTTCAGCAGTATTTGGCATTGGAGAGTGATGAAAAGCTTTTTATTGATTGTCTTCTCAAAATCTTCATGCAAAAGAGGTAATGCACTAAAGTATCATGAGATGTATTTATAGATGGTTTTGTTAACCTATTGATGTCCCAGGTTTTTTATGGAGACATGGTAGATATACAAACCTCTTTCAAGGCAAGAGTAGAAATATTTAACTAATTTAATTTTTTCTTGAACACTCAAAACACTCAGGTTCTAGATTAAAGGAGTATTTGTCCTTTTGTTTAATTTGAAGATGAGTAACATGAAATACCTACTCAAAAATGTATTTTCAAGTAAAATTTGAGCTTTATTAGTCATGTAAAACCTTTTTTTTTCACACCATGTAATTGTAAGTGCCACTGTATCACTGTCATCCCATTGTTCATTGATTTCCTGGAGCAGGCACGACTAACATCTCCATTCGCCCTAGCCCTGAGATTTTAGCAAGTGCCACATTGGAGGCTCTTTCAGGGTCAGGGGAATGAGACCCATCATTGTCATTGGGTTTTGGCATATCGAATACGCCACGGGGAGCTTGCCAGACTCTGCTATGTGGGCAGCATACTCTCGGTAGCCTCTCAGGTTCTCTGAGAGCAAGAACTAGAAAATAAGAGGTCGTGCAGCCACAAATGCTGCCATGCACTTCCAGGAGCTTGGTTCCAGAGAGTTCCAGGAGTTCCAGAAACTTCCAGGATCTCTGGATCTTGGCCGTTGATGGAATTACATGGCGCTGCGGGCAGGTAGTAGATATAAGTGTCTAGCTACTGGAAGATGGGGGATCTGGGTGGAGGAAGCCCAGTCCCAATCCGATCAGGTTTGGAGATCTCAGCCCCGGGTCCCACACACCTGGGTTCCTCTGCCAGTTCGTTCATGCATGAGGCTTGTCTGAGCTTTTGGAAAGTGGTCTTAAGCATGGTTGTGGCTGAGTTTGGGAGGTCTTCAGCTGCTGGTGTCTAGGTAGGGTAAGAAAAATCCATAGTGAAGAGCTTAATGGGACTCTGAGGAGAATGAATTCTGTTTTTCAGGTTGTTTTCAAGCCTCTGCTGAGTCACACAGGAATCCAATCCCAAGATGCCATGCCTCTCAGCTACCGAATGTACTTTGGAGAGCACCTCTCATTCTCAGGGACTCTGGACTGCCTCAGAGCAGACATTGTGGATTCAGATACAGCCAAAGAGAGGAAAGGCAAAAGGGCAAGAAGGTGCCTTGCTTTGTGATTGTTGTATAAAATTTTACACAAAGTTTATAATGCCTGTTTGTTTAACTTACTTTCTTCTAATGCTAATGAGGAGATAACTTTAATATATTAATGAGAAAATAGTTTTATTTAACAGAAGTGCTAAGCGTATTTTCCTATTAAACTGTTAATTTTATTATACTGGTAAAATAATATCATTTAATCATGCTCAAGCCTATTTTGGGGCCTGTTTTTGTCCCAGGTGGGGTCAGCTGAAGTATTTATGATGGTATATACACTTAGAATTTGTTTACTGTTGCAGAAGTTGGATTCTGTGGGTGTGGGTTGTAGTTTACATGTTTTACTTAGAATCTATTCCTCATGGTCTTTCTGAAGTTACTAGCAGGTGATAGTTTTGACTGGGCCTGGAACAGGAGTCTTGTGGGCATGCCTGTGGGAACAAAGGCACGAATTGACAAGACGGGCCACTGGGGCAAAGACCAAAATCCCCCCCAAAGTTCTTGTTTCTTTTCCTGCTCATGTAGGAAGTAGTTGGCCTACTAATAAGATGTGACTAATCTTTCGTGACATTTATAGGAGTAGTGGAATACAGACCCAGACAGCATTTATAATGAAGTTTGCTATTTATTCTTGGTTTCATTCAGTTTGTGCTTTTTGCACAGGAGTAAATTAGAAGTAAAATGTGTACTTGTCCAATGTATAGTAAGATATTTTTCCGTTTGGAATTTTCTATTTAAAATTTTAATTGACTTAATAAAATCAGCTTTGGAAAAATCATACCATATGTAAAATATAATTTAGTTAAATTTAGTTTCAAGTTTAAATATCAAAGACATTTTATTGATGCAGGAACATGGAAGCTGCATTTTCTATTTAAAACTAACCTCTCTTTGCTTTTCAGTCGCTTACCACTGAGCAAAGACCTTAAATGGAAGAAAGCACTCTCGGTGACCTCAGCCATCACTGAGTTGAGTGGGAGTTACTTAATTTTTTGGCCTTGAAAATGTTTGTCAAAACATTAAATACGCTGAGACCCTTACTATTATAAGGAGAAATACTATTATATGGAGAAATGAAATATATAGTTAAAACTACTGTCTTGAACATTGTAAGTCAACATATTACAAACATGGAGGATTTCTTGAAGACTTCTCACAGCACCTTGAACAGGCCTGTCTTTTCAGTCTGCTTGTGGTTACCATCTTGAATGGTTATTTTTTTCTGTGTCTTGACCACATGTCCTGCTTTGTTCTGTGGACCCCTTTGGTTTCCAACGTTTCACCCTTTTACCTGTCCAAGATTAGAAAGTGTCTTCATGAGCTCTTTTGATTCTGAAGGTCTTTGCCAGCATGATTCTGAAGGTCTTTGCCAGCATGACATCCTCTGGGTTATCCCCTTTTGTGCTAGAACCTCTTTTCTCTGTGCCTCATTTACTTTCTCTGACTATATTATCAAGAGTTTATAGAACCATGATAAGTCAATATTCTCAAGGCAGCTCTTTCTTCTAAAACCCATGCCTATTTAATTTCACATCAGTATTACCACTTTTCTGCTTTGCTGCATTTTCAAGCTCTCTGTCTAGTTCTCTCGTTTGATTATCCCCTTCTGTGACTCATCATTTGGGCTTGTTACCAAGAAGTAGCACAATCACAGGCATGACTGACCGTGAAGTGAATACAAGTGTGTGCTGGCCTGTCCCTGATAGATGGGGACAGTGACCAGGATAACATCTGCTCAGGCACAGCCACTGGGCAAGCTACCCCATTCCTTTTGCAAGGAGAATTATATTTTTTAACTTAACTGCAGTTATGAACATATGGAGTAAGATCAGGAAGGATAACTTAAGGCCAGCTTCCAATTTATAAAGGGATAACCCAGTGAAAAGGAATTTCAGCTTCATCTCCAACCTGAAATTATCTAAGTTGTTTGTAACATATTTCGTGTTAGAGACATTTGTTAGTAAACTAATAAAGATTATGTGGTTCTGGCAAAAAAGGAATGAAAAACTTATCATTTCCTTCTGTTTTCACAATTTTAGACAAGGCCATGTGAATCTCCCTCCCCTGGAGTTCAAACCTGCATTGATGTTGGAGACCTTTAGCATTAGTGCTGTAGTGATGGAGAAGTCAGTATGCACCCCTCAGAACTCGACCAATGCCTTTTCTTTTCATGATCTCAACAAGCGCTATTATAATACCTTTCACTGCAACTTCACTATTTCCTGCCAGTCAATAAGCCAGCATGTAGATATGGCTTTGGTCCGTCTCATTCATCAGTTCAGTACAATGATAGATGACATCAAAGCCACTCAGACAGACATTAAACTCAGCAGATACACAGCTGGATCAGCTTCCCCTACACCTACCTTCAAAACCAGGAAACACCGTGACTTCCGCTCTTCCGACTTCAGTCGCAGCTCTAGAGGGAGCCTTAATGGTGGCAATAGAGTAAATAATGCAAAGAACAAACGGGCTAACAATGAAAATAACAAAAAGGAATCTCGGAACAGAAATTCTTCAGGAAGACCTGAAAGAAGAACTTCGAAAGTGTCTAGGAAAGGTTCCAAAGACGTGGTGGACCACATGACTATCCACATGGATGACTCTGATTCTATTACGGTGTCAGAGCAAAGTGAACCTTCAGCCGAGTGCTGGCAGAACATGTACAAACTGCTCAACTTTTACTCACTTATCTCTGATCCAACAGGAATATTGGAGAAATCTTCAGAGACGTTTGGACCAGCAGGTAATGGATATTTTTTATTTAAAAATTTTCTTTAAAATAGCAATCGTACTTAAAAAAAAAAAAGATTAAACTGCCTTAGTATTATAAGTGGATCATTAACCTGCAGAGAAAATTAGGCGGTTGCCCAAAAAGAAGGAATTATCGTGGCAACCAGGCTTCTATCAGTGATTTTCACCCTTTGATGCTTTCCATAGCAAACTCTGGCTCTCCAGCTGTCAAGGGAACCAGGGGAAATGTTGAAACACTAAAGCTCACAGTGATAGGAAGAAGAAAAGGAAGGAAAGGGCCAGTTTGGACTGTGAAGGGAAGAAAGCAAGATGAAGTTTGGGATGCCCTTATGTTTCACTGCCCTTGTATCTAAACCCCCATGTTTCCACTGCTTCTCACAGGTGTTCGAAGCCCTACAGAGCCAACATGTAAAGTGATTTTTGAGAATGAGCAAGATAGTAACAGTTTGACTAAGACACAGAGAAAGCGCAGCTTGGTAACTGCAGACCCTCAGCATGTCACTCTGATAGTGTTTGGCATTGGCATGGTGAACCGCACACACCTGGAAGCAGACATTGGGGGACTCACCATGGAGTCTGAACTGAAAAGGATCCACGGAAGTTTCACTCTGAAGGAGAAGATGAAAGGTGTGGTCTTCTTGTGAGGGGAGGCCTCTTCTCTGAGAGGGTCAAGGCCCTATCTCCTCTTGCTTCTGAGCTTTCCATACCACCAGGCTCCTTGATGCATGAGGGGCTTTTTGCAACCATCATCTGGCTAACTTCAACCCAGTGTTGATCTCTACAAATAAAAATTTTTAAAGTAGAAAAATTTTTTGAGTAGTTTCAAAACAGTTTAACAATTTTTACTGTAGTTTAAAAATGTCACTGAATATATTATGGATGCAGTGCAACTTTATTATGAGGTGCAGTTTTCTTATTTCCAAAATTCCTGTTTTTTTCTCACATTTAAGATGTTTTACATCAAAAGATGACAGAGACTTGTGCCACTGCCCACATTGGTGGAGTTAACATTGTGCTGCTTGAAGGGATCACACCAAATATACAGTGAGTATCCAGGTTTACTGTTTCTTTAAACTTGTTTGGTATCATTTATAGGAAACTTAAAATTCATTGGTTGAATCCCACCATACCTGATGAGTTTTAAAATTTATATACTTTAAATTCCCTGATACTGGAATTCTATCCCTAGAATATCTCCAGTGAATCTTTTTTCAGTAAAAATATCTTTGCCCTTCTAAAGTCAGTTTACTTTAGCTAGCCTCCATCCCACTCCACCCCACCAAAAATGTACTTCCAGTACATTGTATGATTGTATAATAAGAAAAATAAACTGTAATTTTAGTTGAACACATAGGAGAGGCAAAATGTTCACTAATACATATTAATGAACCATATAATTCATATAATCAACTGTAATTATACCCAAAGAATAGAAATAGCTTCTTTATGTTTCTATCATTGACCACTACTATCTTCACATTGGGTTTTAGAACTTTCTTTTGTCATTTTTGCATTTAAAGACTTTAACAATAAAACCTCAGTGATTTTTCTAATGATTTGGGTTAGTCTTTTGTGTAGCTTTGGTACAGTTTACCATAACATAGTGCTTTTCTTTTGACTCTTTGCTCTTTTTTCTTTGTTCTATTCTTGTATCTCTTCAGAATTGCGGATAATGATTACCTTTTTAACATGATATTCAGAACACTAACTTCTGTCAGTAGTTTTAACCATTGAATGTTTGTGTACTTGGGAGTGAGTATACAGCTCACTAATATGTCATCGATAGATTTTTGCCATTGACTTTGTTCATACACTTGGCAGTAGAATGTTCATTCCTAACTTCCTTTCTTTGAAGCAGTTTTATGCCATAACCTAAATGATGTTTGTGGTAATTTAGGAATTTTCTTTTGTAAAATTGTAAGGTCTTATTGCCATCTTAATGCCATCCTCCAAAGCATCCATACTCAAAATATCAGGGAGGGCTTTCTCCTAAGTCTATACTCTGGGATCACCCCTAGCATTGAGGGACCATATGGGATGCTGCAGATCAGATCTGGGTCCCTTGCTTGCAAAGCAAGCACTCTACTAGCTGAACTATGGCTCTGGCCCCTAAGCAGATGATTTTATTTAGCATTGTAAAACTTAAATACTAGTCTTAAATTTAGGCTCAAAAATTAGGTCATAAGGTCACGGTCCTCCTGTTGTTCATCGATTTACTCGAGCGGGCCCAGTAACGTCTCCATCATGAGACTTGTTGTTACTGTGTTTGGCATATCGAATACATCACGGGTGGCTTGCCAGGCTCTGCTGTGCGGGTGAGTTACTCTCAGTAGCTTGCCGGGCTCTCTGAGAGGGGCAGAGGAATCGAACTCGGGTTGGCCATGTTGGCCGCTTGTAAGGCAAACGCCCTACCGCTGTGCTATCTCCCCAGCCCAGGCTCAAAAATTATATTTAAAATATCATAATATTTTTAAAAATGGATAATATGATAACTGTTTTAGGGAACACATCCTGAAATGAATATTTAAATCTTGATGGGGAAGTTTAAACTTGAAAGTCTAGAACCAATGAGAGAATATTTCATCACAATTGCCAAAATTTGTTCAAATCACATTTCCTAAGCAGTGTTTTCAGAAAAGACTCTTATTAACTTCAGTAATTTGAGAGGGATCTTTTCAGTTCAATTAGTGTAGTTGAAGGTGCTATTATGTAGATATTAATGACTAGCTGAAGATATTAATGACTGGCCTTTTATGACTTTATTTCATTTCCTCCTCACAGATATGCTGTGAATTAAGGTAGTTTGATTTAAACCATTTTACAGAACAGCCATTTGAGAGGCTGAAAGATCCAAGTCTACCCATAGTGCTTAGTGATAACTGCTGCCTTTTCCACCTCACTTGTGCACAAAGTCACCAGGGGCTCTGACTCCAGGCTGCTTTGTCAGCTGTGAACTGAAAGCCCCAGTTCCTTTAACCTCTCTGAGAGGAGCTGATATTTGGCTGTGTTCTTTGCATCGTACTCTCTAGGACTTCTTATCCCCATTGTCTGTTGGAGAAGGGCTTCAGACAGCCTTTAAACTTGGAAAATATAGTACTCATAAAGTATGTGAAGTGTTATGTACTTGCCCTTAAAAACCAAATACAAATCCCTTATGTTTGGTTTGAAAAGTAAGTTACTACTTTCAGTTTTGTTTTGTTTTGTTTTTGTGTTTTTTTGGCTTTTTGGGTCACACCTGGCAATACACAGGGGTTACTCCTGGCTCTGCACTCAGGAATTACCCCTGGCAATGCTCAGGGGACCATATGGGATGCTGGGAATCGAACCCAGGTTGGCCGCGTGCAAGGCGAACGCCCTACCCGCTGTGCTATTGCTCTAGCCCCAAGTTATTACTTTCAAAGACTTGAAATACTAAGACTTCCTGCATTCTTTTGCTTCACTTTCCTGATTTCTTTAAGAGAAAATGTAAATCTAAAAAAGTAGCTGAAAAGGGTCTTTGATGAAACATTTTAAAAGTGGAAATAAAAGCTTTTCCTTATCTGAGCATGTTGTTAACAGTCTGTACCTGAATGCTCACTCCTTCTCTTCTGTTCTACTCCCTCGACCTTCGTCTGTAGGTTGGAGGACTTTCCTACGTCTCCTACAAGCACAGCCAAACAGGAGTTTCTGTACGTCCTTATTCCTTTCTAGACTATCTGCATGGCTGTAAATGTCTATAGTTATTACTAATGTGTGGTTTCATAGGTTAAAGGTTACTGGTTTCAAGAAAAACCCACAGGTAAGGGCCACCTTTTCGGTAATTTCTATCTAGTTTTGTTGCTGAAGCATTATAACCCGATAGTGTATGTGGCTTGTGATTTTTTTAAGACATTAAAATTTATCACAAATTCTCCTTAATGTGTGATATGATGATAGGAGCTAAAAAGTTTCACTTTGCAAATGAGTTCAGTAATTGGAAAAAATATAAACACTAATATGTGGAAAGAGCTCACTGATATAGTTCTGATCAAATGATGGGGAGACAGTTCATGTGTTCCTTTCACTGTACTTTAGATTCTGAGAGCTGGATCTGACCCATGTCATATATGACATACAACTCTCCCAAGTGCTGCATGGTCACCACGAGTCACACTGATGTATGACATAGCACAAGCTACTCTTTGGACATTTACTATAAAATTTGAAAAATGATGAGTAAATAGATGAATTTTTATTTTCCCTGTGGAAAAATGATCATTCATGGTGAGATTTGCACTGAGATTATTATCACAACAAGCCATGGACAAAATACCATCACTTAACAGTCCTTTGTTGAGATATTATAATCTTAATAAGAAAATGCATTTTAATTTTTTCCGGAAACCATACTTTCATGTTAGTGTCATGTAACAAACTTAGTAAAACCTACTAAGTTTTCTATTATTAGAAAATATTACTTGATAATAATCTATCCTTTGGTAGTGAAAGTAGCTTGAGATCTATCATTTCTTTCCTTTTTTAGTCACTGAGTTATCTACATGTGTAACCAATAAAAGGTAAATTCTGTTTGGCATTGGCAAGAACACTTTAAAAAAATTTTTTTTTAGTTTGGGGTGGGGGCACACCAAGCAATGCACAGGGATTACTCCTGCCTTTATACTCAGAAATTACTCTTGGTGATGTTCAGGAGACCATATGGGATGCCAGGGTTTGAACCCAGGTCACACACATGCAAGGCAAATGCCCTATCCACTGTACTAGCACTCCAGTCCCAGAGAAGATGTGTCTTTTTATTTTTCCCACCAATGTTTTATTTTTCACTAATGGAAATTATTTCACAATTAATATTTTAACACAATTTTTTTTTGCTTTTTTGGGTCACGCCCAGCGATGCACAGTGGTTACTCCTGGCTCTACATTCAGGAGTTACCCTTGGTGGTGCTCAGGGGACCCTATGGGATGCTGGGAATCAAACCCGGGTTGGCCGCATGTAAGGCAAATGCCCTACCCGCTGTGCTATCTCTCCAGCCCCATCTTTTTAAAATTTTTGTTTTGTTTTGTTTATAGACTTACACACTTTCATGATTACGTTTCAGTCATACATACAATGGTCAAGTACCCATCCCTCCACTAGTGCCCATTCTCCGCCACCAGTGTTCCCATCATGCCTCGCCCCACCACCCCCACCCCATCTCCCCTTTGCCTCCAAGGCAGTCACACTCCCCTTTATCCCTCTCTCTCTTCTTCTGGGTTTTATGGTTTGCAATACAGGGAGTAAGTGGCCATCATGTTTAGTCTATAGTCTACTTTCAGCACACATCTCCCATTATGTTACTTTATATTCCACAAATGAGTGCAGTCATTCTGTCTGTCTCTCTCTTTCTGACTCATTTCACTTAACATGATACTCTCCATGTCGATCCACCTATATGCAAATTTCATGACTTCATCTTTTCTAACAGCTGCATAGTATTCCATTGTGTAGATGTACCAGGGTTTCTTTAACCAGTCTTCTGTTCTCGGGCACTCAGGTTTTTTGCTTATGCTGGCTATTGTAAATAATATTGCAATAAACATACAAGTGCAGATATCATTTCTACTGTACTTTTTTGCATCTTCAGGATATATTCCCAGAAGTGGTATTGCTGGGTCAAATGGGAGCTCAATTCTAATTTTTTTAAAAATGTCCATATTGTTTTCCAAAAGGGCTGAACCAGTCGGCATTCCCACCAACAGTGAAGGAGGATCCCTTTCTCGCCACATCCACGCCAACAATGGTTGCTTTTGTTCTTGTGGATGTGGGCCAGTCTCTGTGGTATGAGATGATGTCTCATTGTTGTTTTGATCTGCATCTCCCTGGTAATTAGTGATGAAGAGTATTTTTTCATATGCCTTTTGGCCATTTGAATTTCTTGTTTGAGAAAGTTTTGTTCATTTCATCGCCCATTTTCTGATGGGATTGGATGTTTTCTTCTTGTAGAATTCAACCAGGGCCTTATATATCCTTGATTATTAACCCCTTATCATATGGGTATTGGGTGAATATCCGTTCCCATTATGAAGACTGTCTTTGTATTCTGGTCACTGTTTCTTTTGAGGTACAGAAACTTTTTAGTTTAAGATAGTCCCAGTTGTTTATCTCTGTTTCCACTTGCTTGGTCAGTGGAGTTTCATCTTTGAAGATACCTTTAGCTTCAGTGTCATGGAGGGTTTTGCCAATCTTTTCTTCAATGTACCTTATGGATTCTGGTCTGATATTGAGTTCTTTAATCCATTTTGATCTGACTTTTGTGCATGGTGTTAGGTAGAGGGGTAGAGGTCTGAACCCTTTTTTTTTTTGCATGTAGCTGTCCAGTTTTGCCAGCACTATTTGTTAAAGAGGCTTTCCTTGCTCCACTTCACATTTCTTGCTCTTTTATCAAAGATTAGATGATCATATGTTTGAGGGTGTGCGTAGGGATTTTCAACCCTGTTCCATTGGTCTGCAGCTCTTCCTTTGTTCCAGTACCATACTGTTGTTAATTAGTACCGCTTTGTAGCACAGCGGGTAGGGCATTTGCCTTGCACGCAGCCAACATGGCCGACCCGAGTTCGATTCCTCCGCCCCTCTCGGAGAGCCCGGCAAGCTACCGAGAGTATTCCATATGCCAGACACAGTAACAATAAAGTCTCCAATGGAGACGTTACTGGGCCCGCTCGAGCAAATCGATGATCAACGGGAGGGCCTTTACTTTACTTTTGTAGTATTACCGCTTTGAGGTTGGGGAAGGTGATGCCTCCATCTTCTTTTTCCCAAGAATTGCTTCAGCTATTCATGGGGGTTTGTTGTTCATATGAATGTCAGGAGTGTTTGATCCATTTCTTCGAAGAATTTCATGGGTATCTTTATAGGGATCACAATGAATCTGTATAATGCTTTGGGAATATTGCCATTTTAACAGTGTTAATTTTCCCAATCTATGAGCAGGGGATGTTTTTACATTTCCTCATGTCCTCTTTTATTTCTTGAATTAGTGTTTTGTAGTTTTCTTTGTACAGGTCCTTTACCTCCTTAGTTAAGCTGATTTCGAGGTATTTGATTTTCTGAGGCATGATTGTGAACAGGATTCCTTTATTTATATTGCTTTCTTTTCTCTCATTTTTTGCATATAGGAAAGCCATGGACTTTGGGGCATTGATTTTATAGCCTGTGACTTCACTATACAAGTCTATTGTTTCTAGGAGCTTCTTGGTAGAGGTTTTAGGGTTCTCTAAATATAGTATCAAATCATCTGCAAATAGTGAGAGCTTGATTATTTCCTTTTTTATCTGGATGCCCTTAATATCTTTTTCTTTCCTAACTGCTATTGCAAGTACTTCCAGTACTATATTGAATAGAAGTGGTGAAAGTGGGCATCCTTGTCCTGTCCCTGATCTTAGAGGGAAGGCTCTTAGTTTTTCCCCATTGAGGATAATGCTTGCCATAGGCTTGTGGTAGATGGCTTTGACTATATTGAGGAAAGTTCTTTCAGTACCCATTTTGGTGAGAGTTTTCATCATAAACAGGTGCTGGATCTTGTCAAATGCTTTCTCTGCATCTATTCTACGATCATATGGTTTTTATCTTTTCCTTTATTGGTATGATGGATTATGTTGATTGACTTCCGAATGTTAAACCATCCTTGCATCCCCAGGGTGAATCCTACTTGGTCGTGGTGTATGATCTTTTTGATGAGTTGCTGGATTCTGTTTGCTAATATTTTGTTGAGGATCTTCACATCCGGATTCATCAGGGATATCAGCCTGTAATTTTCTTTTTGTGTGTGTGTAGTGTCTCTGTTTGCTTTTGGTATTAAGGTGATACTTGCCTCATAGAAACTATTTGGGAGTGTTTCTGTTTCCTCAATTCCCTGGAAAAGCTTGAAGAGAACTGGCAATAGGTCCTCTTTAAATGTTTGGAAGAATTCACTAGTGAATCCATCTGGACCTGGGCTTTTGTTTTGGGGAAGACTTTTAATTACAGTTTCAATTTCCTTGATAGTAATAGGTCTGTATTCCATATCCTCTTGGTTCAGCCTTGAGGGATTATAGGAGTACAGGAATTTACCGATTTCTTCTAGGTTCTCTTGTTTCATGGCATACAGACTTTCAAAGTAGTCTCTGATGATCTTTTGAATTTCTTTGGTTCCTGTTGTGATGTTCCCCTTTCCGACGAAATCCGACATGCCATTTCGTCGGTAAAGAAGCAAAGAGCACCCGGCCCAGACAAGGTCAGACCTGAACACCTGAAGAACCTGCCATCAGTACTCATCAATACACTGGCTCGGCTCTTCACTCGCTACCTGTCTGAATGCAAGGTTCCGTCCCAATGGAAAACCAGCAGGACCGTACTACTGTTCAAGAAGGGAGACATCCATGACATTGGCAACTATCGCCCGATCTGCCTATTGTCTGTCATCTACAAGTTGTTCACTCGAGTCATCCTAAATAGGATTGGCAGAACACTAGATGAAGGACAACCATGCGAGCAAGCTGGTTTCCGCAAAGGATTCAGCACCATCGACCATATCCACACAATAACCAAACTCATTGAGGTTTCTTTGGAGTTCAAGATGCCGCTTTGTTTAACATTCATTGATTTAAAGAAGGCCTTTGATTCTGTTGAGACGGAAGCGGTCATTGAAGCCCTAGCCAATCAGGGCATTCAAGC